ATCGAGACAGGCGCCGCGTTTACACTTTATTTCCTGATTTCTTCGTGGCGCCATGTCTGTGACCAACCTAACCCTCTCACTTTAGGGAAATTTGAATAGTAAAAGGCCCTAGAGAAATTATATTCAAAGTCAACCGGAAATGGATTTCAATTTCTCTCCAGCGCGAGCGGCTTAACCACCCACGCGACATCCGTCACTTTTAAACGTCATCGACGGTACTGTTTATAAGAACCGGTTTCTTTTTTTGCGCGCGAAAACTCGATTAGATCATAAGTAAAAATACCATGTTATCGAGAAGCCTGAAACGTTATCTTAACGGTTCTTACGGATATTAATTCCTGATAAGCGGAATTCGTTTTCTCAAAGAAAATGGAGGAGCATAATGGTGGCATGCCTAATACGGTTGAGAATGGCCGGATAAACGTATCGACTGCGATTATGTTACGTTTTTCGTATTTTTTTTTTCTTTTTCTTCTCTTTTTCTCCCGATGCGCGACCACGTCCTCGACAGAGAGAGTTACCAAGGAGAAACGTCTCCGTTAGTTTATTATTAGCGTCAACACGCTTGTGTTTTGGAGGAATGGACCTTGTTCTAGGAGGAGCGTGCTCGAAACGTTCTCGGCTGAAGCTGTTCGAGGAAATTATTCGTGCCACATACTTGGAATTATCGATAAGTTATTACACAATTTTTTATCACACGTTATTTCATAAATAATTCTCGGTAAATTCCATGCAGAGAACAATTTCACGCCATTTTCCATAGAAGATTCCATAGAAAAATTGTAACGGTTACGTGCAATGAAGCAAAGATTTAAAGCGGTTGAAATTTTTTGGTTAATAGAAAAAAAAAAGAAGCTTACGCGATTATCTGGTTCACGGAGAAAGCGAGAAATCCACGGCTCGACAAGTGACCGTTTCGAAGCAACGAAAACGTACGTCACTCTTCACGAATTCTATTTCTAACTTCCACGCGATCTCGCGGAACGCGAAAGAGAAGGTCGGCGACTACGTTACATGCAAAAACGAGAACACCGATAGGAGCGCGAAACCTCTCGCTGAATTGCACGAACAACGCCTGAATTTTTAGCATAACAAGCGATTATGACACGCGCGACAAGTACTGTTATATGGTACGACAAGCAAAAGCGTGCCGGAAGAAAAATCAACATTCATAATGTTAAATGTAACACGAATCACGTAATCCGAATAGTACGTGAATTTTAATACAGATAAATCGTTATCTAGAAAATATATCGAACCTCGAATGATCTGGAAAAGTCTCGCAAGCTTCACAGATAAACGGCAGAATTTGAACCGCAGACGTTGGCGCAACGTTATCGACGTCTTCGATACTCTAACCGTAGCTTCGATTATATCGAATATCGAGACTTACTTGATATCTCGAATACGCGCAGAGGTAACCTAATTTAGATAACCTATATACCAATGACATCGTGTATACCGTTTGTAGCATCGGACACACGCGAATGGAAAAAAAGATTGCACCACTTACGGGGAACGGACGATCCAAATCAATCGGTTCTCCGAATTCGGATGCTTTGTCCACGATGACAGGCGAGTCCATTTTCTGGACCTTTTGGTCCGTGCCTGATTTAGAATACGTGATTTCCTGTTTTTTTTTTTTTTTGTCTTTCTCACACTAGGGAGAAGTTTAGTCGTGGCCTTTTTTGCAGGTTAAGTGTTTTTTTTCTATGGTTTCAAAGAATCAGCCAAGAAGCTCACTAAACAACAGTGCCGGCGTGTTAACAAAATGCGAACGAAAATTAAAGTTTTTTTGGCAGCACACACTCGTTTTTTTGTTTAAGGATCTTTCAAAATTACCGAGAGAACAACGCGTGACAGTTGTCTCAGCTCCTACGTTCGATCTTCCTTTTCCCTATTTCTCTCTCTCTCTCTCTCTGGCGTCTTCCTTTTCGTTATATAATAGAAACACTTGTGTTTAGTTCCTTGCACTATCACACACTCGCGTATCAAGGTTCTTTAGTCTTGGAAGGAATTGTTCTTCTCGAATAATCGCAAAGACGCACGCGTTAACAACCTACACGATGCAGGTCAATAGTGAAACTGTCAGTACGCGGCCAGAGGACTTAAATATATTTGTTGTGTGGGACGCATTGGGAGCCACGTGACTACCTGGCCGAACGAGGCCGAACGGTCACGGAAACGATCGAAGGAACGCACCAGAGCATGCTAGAACATTCGTCCCTGTTTGGTTTTTTCGAGAAACACCGCACGCGACTATTGACAACCATTAAAGAAACGATTAGATACATAAATTATTGTTAATACCGTCTATTTTATTTATAAATAATTAAAACTGGAAAATGAACCGAATGTAACTAATAAAAAGAGAAATTGTCATTATTATATGTAATACAATGTAATTATTCGAAATGCATGAGTGGCAACATTAAAAATGTTGTCTTTTCATCTTGAAAAGGCGTTGAAATATCCTTTGAATGTAATTTATTGCTCCCTTTCGCGTTTCCTTCGTTTTCGTTTTATAATCAACCTGCCAGGCAAGGCTGTACCCTGGACTTGTTTACCTATATCCTTTTATAGTAAGCACGAATTCTCATCGATTTCGTATTACCATCCGAAAAGTTGGTCAACACACATTTTCATCGTTTATGTATACCGCTATATAAATAGATTACCAATTAGTTAATCAAAATTGATGGTCGTAATTATCAGCCGAAAAATTCGATCTACATTTTCTGATTTTTTATTTAATATAACCGTGAATCATCAAGCGTGTATTAATAGCATGTGTCTGATTCAAAGGACACTGCTTCATCGCAAAATATATAGATCGCATATTGTGCCCGATAAAGAACTGAATCGAGCGGTTAACAAATAAATCGATTCGATAGAATGTATTTTTAGAATCACTCGAGCCATAAATAGAATCGTTTGAAACCTTCATATGGCATTCCTGAATCTATATAACGAGTCAGCAGTAATGTTAAGTGATAACTGAAGAACCCTGACTAACCGACGGCGAACATGGCCTCGACGGGAATCATTTTTATCGAAAGAAAAACAGAATTAAGAATAATTTCACGGTTCATTTATTAATCCATATCGTTCCAGGAACTGTTCTATCGTTCTAACCTCAACTTGGCCTTTTAATTCTCGATCGCGTTACCAATGAAGTATAATGTCCGCCATCAAAATTATTAGTCATGCGATCGCAGAATTTGGCGCTGATCCAAACGCTTCTACCTGCCGTGAAAATATGTATGCGTATCGTACGGACACTTCACGATCAAAATCTTACGTTATTATCAGAGAAAATCACCAAAAACATTCTGAAGCATATAATAAATTATTAAAAAAATTTCGAATCGTACGGTACTCGTATGATACGTCGCCCCTTTAGCAAGGCTTTTTGATTGACAGGGAAACATTATAATGATTCAGCTACTCTAAATATCCAAAGATAATCTGATCAACAATAAACTGAGTCATGATAATAATTACGAGTCGATCATATTTGATACAATCAACAACAGTGTGACATAACTTGGCATGGTTATGTCAGGGACGGATCCAAGAGGGGGGCAGTTACATTGGAATATAATTAACACGTTCCCTCACGCGATATCGCGTGGGCCTGTTTATAGAAATTTATCAAATGATGCTCGACACCTTGGATATAAGCCAAATTGGACTAGGAATAGGGTTTCATAATCTAATTTACGATTTGAAATTGCTCAGGCTTAGAGGAAACTTCCTCTTCCTTCCTGTCTAACGATGCCTCTGAAGATTTTGAAAAAGTCATTCTTGGCGCCACTTACCAATTAGCGAAACGATCTAGCACCACGTGTTGTCGTCGCGAAGCGTCAGAGTACGATTACGATGATTTTAATTAGAGTTTCGAAGAGATTTTTTTCTATAGTTTCTCGAATGCTTACACTGCACTTGACAATAAGCAGGAAATACAAATCGCATCCCACGCTTCAACGAACATCGTCGATTCACGCGCACGTATGAGCTGCTCGACAGATGACTCACGGGTCCCCTACGAGATACAGATTATGTAATCGATCGAATAGCAATACATCAACGAAGTACCATCTGCGGATTCCACGAAATGTTACGCTTCGGTGGTCTACGAGATCGCGAGAATAAATTAGATGTATCTGTTGATACTTGACGCTTCCGAGTATCAGCAGGAACGTGCGATCTTTAATTCCATCTTTCAGATGTTTCAGATTATACGCTTTGAATTGCCATTCATTGGATTCCGCATATTTTCATTCTAATGCGTCTCATCGTTGTACAAACACGAAAATTATGTACAAATTATTATTTTTTAAATGACACGACTAAACAGCTGAATTTTCTATGACCACACAATCGTTTTAATAAAGACAATTTTTGTCTGTAACAAAGATAAATGAACATCGCTTGCGTAACGTAGCTGTGAAACGGATCGTGAAACTACCGCCTGAGCTCGTTACACGGAATGACTGAAAGGATTGCCGCCTAGCAAGGCGCAACTTTTGAGGTTAGGCGCAGTGTTCTAGTTTCTAACAGGGGCGAACAAATTTAAGGCGTTTAGGACGATTCCCCTATTTTATAAATCTCTTCAATTTATAATTAAGTTGATGAATAAAAATAAATAATAAAATAAATACTGATTAATAAATTAAAAAGTATCTACTAATTTATATAATTGGTCTTAGATAATTCAAAAATTTGTTAATATATTGCGCAGAACTCCGTTCCTCGTTGAGCCGTACCTGAACTAGATAGAATCGATTCGAAGAACTTCCGCCACTTATCGAGTCTAACCTTGCAATTTGAAATAGAATTAAAATGAAAATAATAAATATACCGCGTTGATGTATTGCATATAATTTTGAATTATTTTGGTCTATTTCTCTATGAATTAATGATTATAATAATCAAGTCATAATTCGCATTGAAATATATAAAAAATAACATGCATTCTTTAGTCCGGATAAAACAGCTGGTATCTAAACACCTGAACACAAAAAGTGTTGCCATCTAACGATACACCGGGCAAGTTGAAAATACATAACTGCAGGATAATAAAATTATAAATAACAATCTAACAAGTGGAACTGTTACATTACCTAGTCATTATCAAACTGTATATTACAGTACCTAAACACACAACTGAAAAAACACCTAACCTAATTTTCATACTAATTAACAATAGTTATTGTAAAACAAGCAGTCTCTTAAAATGTTGCGATCTTTAATTATAATATATTGTTTAATATTTTAATCGTTCTTAGTTTCTCGTTTGAGCTAAAGAGAGGTTAGAATCGATAGAATCGATTGATCGAATGATAGATCTCGAGTTTTGAGTACGCGTGCGCCAATTGGATCTCGCTTTCGATCTTGTTTTTCGATTCTGTTCACGCGTCTCGATCACTCGCACGATCATCGATAATGATGATCGATGATCTACGGTGATCGATAGTAGTGTCAGGAGCGCATGAGGCCCGAGGAAGTTGATTCTACCACCACTTCACGACCCAACGCAACGTTTTCTTGACGTCATCGGGCTTGTAGACAGGTTCCCTTACGTTACACGAGTATGATACATTCCCCTGTTGCGTACACACGCATTCTAGCACGTACGAAAGCCGCGTGCATTTCATTACACATTGAAAGCAAAAGTGCTACCGCGTGGCGTAAGGAAATCATCAAATTCTACTGTAGATCGTAAAAACGTTGAAATAATTAAGTGGTAAATGGCTAGTCGCACGAAAAGGTCAGAAAGTAGATTCATATCAGCGCAATTAAATTACAGCACGTATTCGATTGCGCAATGGTACTAAGGTTGATTGAAATATCCCTAGCTAATTCTTCTACGGAACTGTAATTAATTTTGTTACAAATATTTTCACAATCTATCCTATAATTGGACGGTACCTAACAATATTTCATTCAAATACAAAAATAATTAATGATGAGATATAACTCTAGGTGATTGGGTAATAGGAACGATATAAATCAGGAGGTTCGATGCGCGCATTTTCGCACGCAACGAAGCACCACGTGCACGTGCTATTCAATAGTGAAAGGAAAAGTGGAAGAGGAGATCCCTGTTACAGTGAACCCGGAATGCTTCAATGATGCCCTATATGATACTGGCAGGAGTTATCAATATTGGCTCCCTCACCATTCTTGAAAAAAAAAAACCCTAGCTACCCCAATGGTTATCAAGGTATTAATATTGCTCTTATTAAAAACCTAATAGGCAAAGCATTTAAAAAAACTCTATCCCCTCTGTCTCTAGGCTACAATAGCAAAGGTGGATCATTATCCTTGAGATTTCCCAGTTCAATTGTGTAACCGATACACCAGGGTGTGGCGCTAAAAGCTAAAAGCTTGCTAAAAGCATGGAAGGTCAAGGTATATTTACCAGATTCATTTGCCATCTGTAAAATCAAGTTTCATCTGCTTCTTAGAATGTATGCAAGAACACGATCGCTGTAACGTTACACCAGCATCGTCGCGGACAAGATAAAGCACACGGCTGACTTTTGGTATATATATTTCCCTATCATTAACACCGGTGGATCGTTATAAAATTAGAAGCCAAACGAAGATCCAATGTATCACTGACACTGTTCTTTATTTCAGTATAAGATATTCGCATGCTTCAGGTGAATTCTGAGTGGGAAATCATGCATTATGCAGAGGGTGATAGCAGTCTTGACGAATCATCGAGTTCCGTGGTTCATGATCCCACGAGTAACCGCGACCTACCACTCCCCGATAACGAATCCAACACGTAACATGCTCTACGCAAAATAAAGCAATTACGGTATAATCAATATCAATTAGAATCGAGGAAATTAGAAAACAGAAAGCCCTTTCCCTTTGGCGATTCACAGAAGAGACGATAAAGAAGATTGGAATGTTGCTTTATGAATGACTCTGACCAAGGGAAAATGGAAGGGATAATCAAGGGTCTGGGACGTGTTTCGTGGAACGGAGAAAGAGATCACTCGCAAGATCCATCCCGATGACTCATATGAGTCATGCGATGAAATTCGCGCCGGGTCATCGGCTGGGAAACCTGAGGAAGCTCCCATTCATGAAATTAACCTTCTTACGCAAAGATATCTTTTAATTTTCGCGCACAGTTCGAACAGAGTGAACGGAGTATCGTTTGATGAAACTTTTTCATTCACCAGACATCTGTCTCGATATCATTTTCCAAGCCCAATATTCGAGGGAGAAGCGAATGAAAAGCTTGGAAAAATGGGGAGAAAATCGAGCAGTGACGGCGGTAATCTTACCAGTGCAAATATTGATGGAAGAACCAGACGACTTGATACGCAACGAAAGATTTTTCTTTTCACCCTGAAACCTCTTACAATTGCAGAAAGACGTATCATTTTTATAAGACGCGAGAATGAGGTAGAATGCCGAGAGCACGATAATGATTTAAAATAAGAAGAAAAATTGAGGGTGTAAGAGAGGCGAGTAAAATGTCGCGTGTCGAATCGACAGATTGTTCTGGATCGAAATTCTCGGTCTGGAATGGCGAGAGAATCAATGGCGGCTATTTTGAGGTCTCGGCGTCGTCGACGTCGTCGTCGAGAATGTTCTCGCGTCTTCGAAGACGTTGAAGATCGCGACGTCTTCGACGCGTCTTTTTCGAATTGAAAAATAAGCCATCTATGCGACTATTTCTTCATTTTACAATATACACTTTTCTAGGATCCCTTATGAAAAAAAAAAAATAATCATAGGCGTAACTAGTAGATCAATTGTAAATCCACAGAATTTCAAAAATTAGAATCTTAGAATACTGAAGGAGCCCTGGCCCTACTTTGCCCCCTATCTAATTACAGCCTGAACAATTGAAACTATTTAAAAATGTTTTTTACAGGAATGTGAAAGAACTTTGGTTCCTCTTATCAGCGGATCAATGAAACGTTTTAATACGAAAGGACAGAAGGGATGAGGGTCGGTGTTGCACGTCCGCCGATGTGAATAAGTGGTAAGTCATCTGCCTGCGGGCATTTGGCAACAAACGCGTTATTTCTGGGTCCTTTGCGAAGTGTGTGCGCTTCTGAAGAGGCAACTGCCTCTCTTGAGGCAAGTGCTTTCGAACCCTAGCGACGCACTATCAGCCAGCATGGCCAGCATATTGATCTCATTTCGAGTCGTCAAACGGGCCACATCGTCACCCTCTTCCATAGGGACGTTTAATGCAACTGGGGTGCTTTTAATAGCTCCGCTGCTTCTATGATCACGCTATACCGAAGACATCTGCGACAAGGATCATTTTTGCTACAGTTTCTTACACCCAGATTTGTTTGATAATTCTTAATCAAATGTAAGCCAGTCGACAGAAATAATGCGGTTGGTTCTGCAAGAATTGAAGGCAAGGTAGCTGAACTAAGCCAGTAACACCTTCCAACTACGAGCGATCGGCAAGGACTATGATTGCTATTTTCAACCGTTTCTTCAAGTACAAAGAAATCTCGTTCTTCGCCGTCTCGTTCGTCTCTTTCGCTGCTTCGAATATCGTTTGCCATGTTTAACGTGCACCGTTTAATGGTGCTTTCGTACGAGCGTGCCAAGTAAGCATAATGGCGCGCGTTCGAGTATTTTAAGTTGTGAAGCACGTGCCCCGAACGAACCGCGAAAGTTGGTTGCCTCGAATTTGAAAGTCAATCGCCTCGACGTGTACCACGGTGTTTTCATTCCATCGGATTTCGCGATGGCAATGAAACATATTCCATAAATGGACGAAACAGAACTTTCCCGATTGAAATAAATACACTGATGACTAGGGGGGAGGGGGGCGACCAGGAACCCTAAAAAATGTGCGCTGGTATACATCTCGTTATTTAAAAATTCTCAAATTCTAATATTCTATAAAGAAATTAATTTGAAAATTTCAGAATCTGAGAATTTTTATAAAATACCGACGGTAGGTAACTTTCCTATTTTACAACTAATATCACTAAAAATATCACTAGCTAACTAGAATCCGTAACTAAAATCATAATTTATATCATTAAGATCACCGAAAGCGAGAAATATTCGCTTGTTTACACGAAAGTAAGGTCACTGTTCAAGCCGAGCATCGGAATGATCGAGAGAAACAAAAACACTGAACCCTGATCTAAATTTTCTGCCAAAATATTTGCTCGATATTTAAACGGTAAAATCTCAGCGATACGTATCTAAATGACTACGATAAGATAATTGGGAAGACATAACGATGCCAATTTCAACTATAACGATCACGAGACCGTCAGCAACTATGATAATTGGCTCGCTGATAATGCGAAACAGGTGATTTACTACAATGAGCGTTAGTTTCTCATAATGTTGAAACAAGTGTAGAGAAAATGGTGAATCGCATGAAATTCGTCAACGTAATTAGTGAAAAATGTATTCCAACATGGTGCTTGCACGATTTGAATGAATGTCTGGTGGCAAAAATTTTAACCTGATATATACATTGTTAAATGAGAAAAAAAGATTTTCGACGCCATATTAGAAACTATTTATTTATTCGGATTTTTATCACTCGATGTACTTCGTCGAATTCCAGTGGCCAACAAACACGTTTTTCATCGGTTCTTTGCCTTCTGAAAATATCAGGATCGCGGCAAGAATAACCGGCGAGGAAAGAAAACTAAATACACGTCGGTGAAACGACGTAGAAATTGGGCCACTCTATAAATAAAGAATTTTCGTACGACGGTATTCAAATCGTGCAACGACAGATCGATATCGATCATTCCGGTAAATTGATAGTTCTTCATTTCATTCTTACGAGTGTAGATACTCGTGAAAACGTTACGCGGACAGAAAACAAAATGGTGACTTATTGAAAATGTATGTCATAAAAACTCACCCTCGAAAAAGAGGAATGTCGTTCAAAGGGATCTCGTCCTGATCTGGTGGTTGGTTCGAAGAAGGATTTGCTGTCCTCGTCGAATTGCTGTTTGATTTCTTGTAGAAGTTCGTCACCGGATTTACCACGCAGTCTGTCGCTGAATTTCGGCTTGTCGCGGAAGTAGAACGACATTTTGTCATGTATACGCACAATAAATTTTTACATGTACAATGAGAACGGTTACACTTGTTACTATTTGATCGACACAATATTTCAAATTGAGAAACGTTTATTTTCTCACGGCGTAACAAAAATCGTCGAACGCTTCATAAATACCTCCCTCGAGGTGTTGCGCGTGACTGAAACCGCGCGCCGAATTGTACGGGGAGTAATCAAAGCACACGCATGCGCGCCGCTTCTTCTCGTAATCGTACCTTTTCGGCGCGAATACGCGCGCTTATTGGCCTGCTTTCGATTGCTAGCCAATCACAATGCGTATCGTCACCGATTTATCTACCCAAAGAATCTTGATGCATGTTCTGATGCACACAACGCTCGGCTTCTTACAATCTAAATTTAATCGCTGGCTATTTATGTTTTGTATTTTTTTTTATTTATAAATTGACACAGAACGCATCGCGTAATACTTTCGTTTATTGCAATGTAATCGAGAAGAAATTACGTTCCATTTTATGTAACCACCGAGAAACCAATAATACAATTATCCATTTGTTTCTAATTTTAAACATAGCGTTTTTAGAACGTAATTATGTTGCATATATTGTATTCATTTGTATATATATTACTATTTGTTAATTATTAATGTACCCATTAACAATGTATCAAGAAAAATTTATTTGTATAAATAATATAAAAATTGTGATGGTTTAGCAAATGTCTAATACAAATAAATTCTTCACATAATATTTAAAATAATCTTTTATGATTATTTGCCTACCTTCGATATCGACTTATTTCTATATCTATCAAAGATCTTCACGTGGACGTAATATGCGTTCTTTCTACTAAACTATTCGATGTTAAATGCAATAAATTGATCTCATTATTTAGTACTTTATATCAAATAGTATTAAACTGTGACTGTTAAGTTTAGATATAATTCATTGTTTCAGTTTGTAACTGTTTCAGTTTCTTTTATTGAGTATTTATATAACCTAACAGGTTGTGTCTTTCAAAGGTAAGTTTAAATTACTACATGCTTATTTTTTAATTACCATCTTTAGAAATATTTATATTTAATTTTTGTTATAGGTACTTGAAAAATAAGCAATAATTTTATATAGCATAATAAATAATTTATGTTATATTCCATCATTATTGTAAACACACATGAAATGAGTATTTGCATAACTTTGTTGCAAAATGAGTAGATTGTACCAATGTATTATCTGTCAGTACATAAATACTTCTACTATGAATTTACATAATCATCATGTTCAACACCATAGTCCAGTAGAATTATCGCAAACTATTATCAATCTCCAAGGTTTCAAAATATTAAATAATGTGAATAATACAGAAAAGAGATATTTGAAACCAATTAAAGTAGGTGACAATAACAATAATATTCATAATAACAATGAGAATTTATATAATCGTGTCATTATTAAGACTGAAGAAAATAAGAAATTCTTACATGATAAAGCAAGTTGCTTATTAAAGTGCGGTCAGTTCATTCCTTGGGAGCATGAGCTAAATAAAAGGAAAGAGATAAATGATGAGGAATTTGTTAACGTTATTGAACAGCTTTGTTGTGATTTAAGTAAAAGAAAGCAGAGAGGAAGAAAAAGAAAAAGTGAAATAGATAGTACAGAAATAAAAAGTCCTGTTAAAGATATTCAGAATGAGAACATTATGGGTACAAGCAATAAAATTATGAATAACTCTGAAACTGTACCTTCCCAAATTTCTACAGCAACAGTTTCATCTTGGAATGCTAAGAGCTCAACTAATATGGCTGATGATAGTATTCTTAAGTTAGAAATTGATGAAAAGGAAGTGGACACTGAAAATAATGATTCTATGACATTAGAATTACATAACATTGATACAAACAAAGATGTTTTAATCTATGATCCATCAACTGGTAAATTTTCTTGGAGTTCAATAATGAGTGGAATTTCTTTTGAAAACAAAGCAAGCACGAATTAAGAAACAGTATACTAGTTTTGAACCTCAATAAACTTTGCCAAAGATCATCATGCAAGAATCTACAAAGATTAAATTGATTAAAATAATTTTTTTTTTTTATGGTAAGCATGATCTTACCTTTTAAACTTACAGTTCCCATATTATGAATTTGTTTATATGATCACAGATAGGAAGCTTTTATTTTATTTTTTTTTTATTATATAAATGCTATATATCTTACAAAAACAAAATTTTACATTAACGATTGTCAGTAATAGTACTAGTTGTTTAGTATGATACATGTATAAAGACTAAACTGATCTATTTTATGTTAACTATGTACACCATAAATGATGTTTCTCTGTCATACAAACCCTGTAAAAAACATTGTACATTTTTCTATGTCAAATAAATGTATTTTTAATAAAATACTTTTAATTAATTTCGTCCGTAAAAATAAGATAAGAAAAAGTCGCATACCATAGTTCCATAGGTGTAAGTTCTATTTTTGTAAAATCGAGACATTTTATTTATAATTAATAGCAGTCCATTGAATTCACGTCTCCTTTTTTATACACAGTTAATATATCATCTATTATAGATTCAAAACTAGTCGTGTATGTAGCCAACCATCGGTTCCTATCTTCGATGTAAGCATCAATATCTGAGTTAAATATTCTTTGAAGGAAAACTTGTCTAGTAACACAAGAAATAGATCGGAATGTTTTTTCATCCATTTTTTCCGTTTCTTCGTCCATTTTCATTGATTTTTTGCAAATAGAAGCAAGTAAATTTGTATCATTAGCATCCACAATTTCTTCTATTACACTAGTAGAATTACTATTCATCTGTTTAGAAATGGAATTCGTAACATTATCGGGTGGTTCATATTTAACATAAGAATTATCTATTGTAGCAATGTTTTGGGGCAGAGGCGATTCTGGTAAAGGTTCATTGAGTTTGTACTTCAAAAGGAAATCCTTTAGCTTATTTATTATTGTTGCTGACCTTTTACACACTTCAAAATCGCTTTCGTCCTCAAGAGTTATCAAAAGTACCTGCAATTTAATGAAATAAAATGTAACTTATCAATTAATAAACAAATATAATGAGTTAACTTACTCCTAAGCAATTTTGCCTTGCTAATTCATCCAATGCTTTGTTAAGCCTTCGTTTTATTTCGATTTCATTTAAGGAAACGATCTTCCTATGTTCTTTGGAAAACGTTACGTTCGGAAACTGACCATCGAGTACTCCTTGATCAGATAAATGTGATTTTATAAACTCTATCCAGAAATCAAGAGCATTTATCTTCACTTCCCAATGGAGATCAATAACAGCAGCTGTTGACATTGCTCGTGACATTAAATCAATAACGTTTTTCCTAAATAATAATGTAATCAACAATTTTGAAACAACACACGCAAAATTTTGAACAATTTTACTTACTGCCAGTTATGATGTACATATAATTCCTTCATTAAAATTACGGCTTCCTTTCTAACTATAGCCTCACTATCGTCACTTAATAATTTCATTGCCATATCCTGAAATATAAAAAAACAATTTTATTTTTCTATACACCTTAATTAGTAACTTTATACAGAAACGTACGGGTAAATTAAACTCTGATAATTTTTCATCCCATAATTTGTTAATTCGAATAGTACTTGAAATAAACGTTAAAGCAGAAGCGCGAACATAACTTTCAGAATCTGTCTTAATAATTTCAATTGCCACTTGGAGAAACTGATTTGCTAATAAAAATTCTTGAAACGCTGGATATTCTGTAAATAATTATGAGTGTTACATATTATACGAATTACCCATTTTATGATATGTACTTGATTGCTTACTGTCTTCTGAAATGATTGCAATAGTGTTCAAAACTTCCAGTACACTATCCCTAACTTCCCAATTTACGTCGTGCAATCTTTTGAATAACGTCGGCCCTATTTCATTCATGTGGCTGTCCGTTTCAATCAGTAACACTAAATTAGATGGCATAAAATTTTGAATTGCTAATTTGCATACTTTTAAAGCTTTCACACAGATCTGAAATGAAAACTTCACAATATACAATGCACAAATAAATTTTTACAAATATCTATTTATATTTAAAATATACCATAGGCAACGTTGCTGGATGATTTAAAATTCCTTGTGCTATAGATAACAAGCATATGGTTTCTACACATTCTTGCCATTTTAATTTAAATTTCTCTGTCATAACTGCTAAAGCGTTCAAAAGCGATGCCAGTAATATAGGATGATCAACTATCGGATCTCCTTCTAGTGGCGATTCAAACGCCGCATTTTTCTTTGGTCCATTATCCATGTTTGTCCAATTACTCATCCCTGTGTTATCTGAATCTTCACTGCATGTATCTGGTACATAATTTTTTAGTACATGAGACAGTATTTGAAATGTAATAACTGCAACATCCTGAGGAGAAAATACACAAAATACTCCATTATCCCCTAAATGTAAAGGTGTTAATTATAAATATAATTACTTCTCATTATACATACCCTATCCATAATATCTACTATTTCTAAAACCATATCAATAGATGTCTTGGCAATCTGAACTGCAGGTAAATCATTCTTGATAATAGTATCTCGTACATTATACGCTAGTCTATGTATAGCCGTAGATGTAAGATCACATATTTTAGTAACAAACATACTGAAAAAATCAGTATCCTTGTATGTGTGTTTAATCAATACACACAAAGGTAAAACCTGTTGGTGAAAAAAATGTATAACTTGATTAAATGTTATAAAAGAAGGATGATATAAAACGTGCTTACCATTAGAGATATCACTTGATGTTCAAACTTATGTTCATGGAAAAGATTAAATGTTCGTAACGACTGAAGTTTTTTCCAGTATATCATTAAAAGTTTATTCATTTGTATTACTTCTGTCAAATATGATTTTGACAAAAGCATTAACAGTATATAAGTTAAATCACAACAGAATTTATGTGTTACTTCTTGAGTAATGGATTCGTTCTCTTCTTTAATCGCACGTTTTATTGGAATGAATAAACATTGCAGTAACAACTTTTCAATGTATGGTACAAGATTTGTACTAATACATGCCTCAAAAAGAGCCTTTGCCCTCATTTCTAAGTCAATAACTTCTTCGCATAATTCAGGTATTATATTATCGATATCTACAAACAATGTATTTTCTATAATATTATTCAATAAATCCAATGTAGTACATAATAGTTTATTCTGATCTAAACAATTATCCTTTAATGCATAATATATTTGTGACTCAATAGTAGTGGTTATTAATGGTGAAGCCACTTCTGCAATAACCTCTTTACAAAAATTTACATTTTGTTGTTCATGTGACAACAGAAGCCATATAAACTTTTGACTTGCACGTGTAACGTACAAAGTATGATTCCAATGGGCATACTTTACAATGTCCTTCCAAATACCTACAAAACATATATTTTTAAAGCATACATTCCTACAAGTTCTTATAAAAATGTATTATATCAATTACCAGCATCTATAATCCACTGTCTTCCACTTCTGTGTGTAATCAGATCGGATAACATTGTAGTATAAGCCATTTTAACAGACACTGGTATATTATCCCCACGTAGTTTAAAAGTATCGCATAGTCTTTTATATACATCTTGAAATTGCCAGTAATGAAAACGTAATTCAACACGTGAAATTATACCCACAAGTTTCAAAGTAAATACAATTACAGGCTGTGAAGGTGAATCTTCAATACTCCAAACATTCAATGCCTTTAATACCCACTTTTGGAATAATTCACAGTGCTCATAATCATTTGTGTTACCTGAAATTAAGATAATATTTAATTTAAAAAAAATGGAAAAATAAACATATTCATAATGTAAGTTTACAAAAGAATATAAAGGATACAAGGAAACATTTCTAATGATTAATTAATAGTAAAAAATATATCCTTACACTCTTTTATATTCTCTGAAATGTGTGACAACATAAGTTCAAGATAAGTTGTGGATACAATGTTGTAATTAGGTGACAAGAATAACTCCAAAACTTCGGATAACTTTTCATCATTATTCTGCATTGTGCTCTCGTCTTAAATTTTTATTATTTACGCAATTTACTGTATATTATTTCTTACTTTTTCTTCCCTGCTTTAGTAATGGATGCTACTTTGAATACTCACATATTTACCAAGTTTTTTCCCAAAAACAAGATATAAAAATAAAAACTATTGAACAGCAGATAAATGTTTATTCTTAAACATTTATTCTTTAAACACTCCGAAGATAAGAAATAACCTCTACATACACATAAGAATTAAGTACCATTTTCATCAAAAGATGTTTATTTGTCTGTGGCGTCACCTGATATTAACAAGAAGAACTATAAATTGATATATCGTTTGCGCTCTCTATCGGCAAAACCAAAAAGTTCATTTTTAACACTAAACACTAGATGGAGTCACATATTTATGGTGCCATTTTTTAAATATAGAAATTTTAATGAATATTCAACATACATTCATTCACAAATAAGGCCTCCTATCAAAAAATGTTACCCTACATTTTTGACTTATTTTTTATGTAGGTTTAGATCCTTTCTGGTTGTGCCATTAAATCAAAAACATTCTAAATATTTAAATATATACATACCAAGAAATATTCAAATGAAGTTGAGAACCCCTAATGAAAGTGATATTGTTCATTTCATTTCACTCTTTTAGCAACAAGCAGAGTTCTATTCCAGTGTGACGGATATTTATCGTGACTTTATCTTTACAGTGCAATGAACTTTAATTTCTTATTTTATTCATTATAAATGAGAGAGATTGTGACTTTATACGAATGGTGATAACATTATGAAAATTTTGCCCAGTTCTTCCCAATAAGATTTTAATAACAAAGGTATTCGATTATCATCGGACATCATTTTCTCTCTAGACAATTAACGATCTTTAATATGTTAAGTTTGTTGTTGGAGTTCTCTGTTTTCATCCTGAAGCATAACATTATTTTTTTATTGTAACACTCTTTGTCTCTGTTACAGAGAAAGTCTACTTCATTACTTGGCATTTACTAACTTTATCTTCTTTATGTAGTCAATATGACAAATTTTCACTGCTTTGTTCGTTATAAATATAGTATTATACTTTTGAATAATGATATTAAATTTATTAACCCTTCCGTAATAGTAGAAATATCTCTGCTATACATATATATATATATATATATAACATTAACGAGTTTTATCTTCGTATATACAATAAATCGTCTTGTATAGTCGCTTCATTATGCAATATACTTCTAATTCTTCTAACTAGATTCCATTAAGAATATGTTGATTAAATATTGATAACTATTAGCGACAATAAATTATCATGAAATAATGTTTTTAGTTAAGTTAAAATATTAGAATTTTATGAGGTATATGTATATGTATGTATACATCACATGATTAGATTACATACCAAGAACGAACAGTAAGATTCCTTTGTTATCTGAAACTGTGTTACTATATTTATTCATTTTTGCTCAATCAGCAGTTTCAAATGCAATGACTTAAATATCTTTAAACACTTACTATCATAATTTATATAAGTATATCCCTTTCCATTAAACTTGCGTATATTATTTTTCTAATTTTTGTAGGCAATTAAAAATGGCATGGACACATTATCAACGTATCTTAGCTGTTCTTATGGTCGTTACTGGATCATTTAATACTCTATCTGTAAAGTGAGTAAGCTATTAAATTATAGAAATAATAATTAGGTAAGAAAAAGAATAATGCATATTATTTTATTATTTTAGATATGCAGATCGACAAATTGTACCTGGTGAAGATGGTCAGCCCAGACATTTTAATCATCCTTTCATGCAATCTTCCTTCATGTTTATTGGTGAAATGATGTGTTTTTTAGTATTTAAGATCTTTTACCATTATTATAGTCGCAGAGGTGTAAGTTCTATACATTAAATATGCATATATTTACATCTAATACAATGTTTAATGTTTAAATTATATGATTGCAGGATAATTCTGTGGATAACAATCCTTTAACTAAAGGTTCACATGTATTTAATCCTTTTGTTCTACTTATCCCTGCATTATGTGATACATGTGCCACTTCTATTATGTATGTTGGCCTGAACATGACATACGCAAGTAGTTTTCAAATGCTACGTGGTGCTGTTATTATATTCACAGCTATACTTTCAATGAGTTTTCTTGAAAGAAAATTAGGTTCTCGAGAATGGATCGGTATAGGAATGGTTATAGTTGGTTTAGCTGTTGTTGGACTCAGTGATATAATAACTATGGAAGATGCAAATGTTAGCACAAATTCTATTTTAACAGGAGACTTACTTATTATATGTGCTCAGGTAAATTTGAAAACTTTCCTGCTTGAATAACAAAGTTTTTTATTTAAAAAAAAATGCAATGCTAATAGTAATTATTACTGTAGGTTATAACTGCAGTTCAAATGGTGATAGAAGAGAAATTTGTAGCAGGACAAAATATCCCAGCATTGCAAGCAGTTGGTTGGGAAGGTACTGCATAATATTTCAAAAATATCTGTTTAAAAAATGAAAGTAATTGATACATGTACATTGCACAGGTATATTTGGATTCATCAGTATATGCATCATCATGATTCCTTTTAATTTTATACACGCTTCACCTCCGTTTGCTGACAATTCTCGAGGCACTCTTGAAGCCACTAAAGATGCATTGATCCAAATTGGAAACAGTGGACATCTATTGATGGCAATAATTGGTCAGTATATAAATGTATACATTTTATTATCATCATTTACTGAAAACTAATATTGTAAATTATTTATGTCTAGGTATATCGTTCAGTATAGCCTTCTTCAACTTTGCTGGTATTAGTGTTACCAAAGAAATAAGTGCTACTACAAGGATGATTTTAGACAGTGTTCGAACTATGTTTATATGGATTTTTTCTTTAATATTTCGGTGGCAATCGTTCCATTATTTACAGGTAAATTTTCTATTTTTATCATATTTTCATTATTTATTTTATCCTAATGCACTCGCTTATTTTATGCAGGTAATTGGATTTGCTATCCTACTTGTAGGAATGTCGTGCTACAACAACATCATTATCCCACAATTAGTAAGAAAATGCAGATATCACTTAGGCCGTCATAGACCACCAACAAACGACTCTGAAAGAATTATCAATACTGCAGCAGACGACATTCCAGAAACTCAATAACGTGTATTTTATCCTTATATTTGAATATTGCTAATGTCGTGATATTGAGAACTGTTCTAGTTTCTCTGAGGAACGGTGAAGCCTGTGATCTAAATCATTTGTGAAATTATAATTAGCTCTCTTTGATTCTGAAATTGATTACCGCATTTAATAGTATAGCAAAATTAAAATATTTCTGATCAAGTGTGCTATCCAGTTTTAGAATAATCTTTTTAAATTAATAATTTCTAATCTACTGCTCCTGAATGATATTATCAGGCCTGTACAAGTAGTGTGTTTTGAATAGTGAGCACTTACCATCAGAAGTGATTTAGAGGAGTAGGAGTTTGTTCATTTTCTTTCCTATTCTGTCAGTGTTAGATTTCTATTAACATTTGCGTGGTCACTGGCTTTTTCCATTGTGCATGGCTGCTACTTTTTATGGCGTAGTTTATTCGATGGGGTACCGAGTTGCGCGGGCCTGGTATTATAAATGAAATAAGAGTATTTTGTATCTATACATTTAAATGTATTTTATTACCATGGAAGAAATACGTTAATAGGTATCAATGTAAAAAAATTAATTACTACACAATGTCCTTGTTATTTTTTTTATCCTGCCATATTTATTAAAAAATTATATTAGAACCATTTGGTAGTGTGTAATGGACATTTGAAATTAATTTTTATATTCTTCATCTGTTTGAAGATACTTTCATAAAGGGCAAAGATTTCTTTTACAATTCATCCACAACGATGAGGCTAAGTAAAAGAGGGATTCGTATTTCAATATTACACTTGTTTATTACTTCCTACATACTGTATACGTAAATGATAAGCTATCTTGTGCAAAAATTGTTGATGTAACATATACATATATGTGTACATCACATATTTTGTACATACATAAAAATATATTATATATGTAATAATGCAACACCTGTATGTAGGTACATGTATATGTACAGATACATAATAGTTTTCTAAATAAAATAACAGTGACATTTTGCATTAATGAAAAAATGATATATTTTTGTGCTACCTTCAATAAATTGTCTATAAAAAAAAAAACAAACATGTTAGGTTGGTGATCGTAGTATTTCATTTACTTACATCCCACCTCCTGATCGAGTTGAAGATGCTGTATGGAATGTTTCATAACTTTTTTTACTAACTTTATGTTTCTCTAATTGCTGACACATTGCTGTCAATTTAGAAATTTTTCAATGACGTTCCCATCGAATACAACTTCGATTTCTACGGCAATGAAAAGAAGTATGGCATATCGTACGACAGCATTCAATATAAATTGATATTACAATATTTAATACCAATACTACAAATCAAACATGATATATCCATTCTAATAATTAACGTGTCCTCGCAGCTATAAGTAAACCACGCATCGCATGACCATCAAAACTATCTAAGCTTTAAATGAACTCGTAACATTTATTATGCATTTACGACAGACAATGTAAATGGAAGATGAATTTAATTGTACTGCTCTGGCAATACATAGGAAATATCATCCCAAGGATGCCGGTATAGGCCTTGTTTCAATCTCTTTTGATCCATGAAGTGACCTACGACAGCAAAACGGAAGGAGATTTAAATATTTGTACATGGATTTTTTATAATACATCGTATTAGAAGAAATACCTACCGATAAAACCTATACTCCTACCAAGAACGAATAAACTATTTATAGCACCGATTTCAATGTACTCCTGTGCTTCCTCTCTCGTGAAACTTCCGCTATTCCTTAGCATATCAACGAAGGCACAAGCAATTATACCATCGACATTTAATATTAGATTAGGTTTCTTAGTTGTTGTTATCTTCTCAACTTCTAATGCATATTCCACTAATGGTTTAGCAGGGAAGTTTTCCATTACGTATTCTTTAATAAGCTTCACCCGCATATCTGGATTGTTTATAGATTTGATACGGTGACCGATACCCATGATAAGTTTACCCTTTTTACGTGTGTTATTTACAAATTCCTGAGGATGTAAACCGGCATCGTATGCTTCGGAAAACATACGAGCAGCACCGTCCAATGCTCCACCGAAACGATCACCCTGTTAAAGTTTTACACAAAACATTAATGTCATCCTTATATTTCATACTAATCAGCTTCTCATTTACTTACTATAGTTAAAAGGCCGGACACGAGGGAACTAACTAAATCTTTACCAGCTCTTGCACAAACGATGGTGTTGTGCGCTCCTGACACGGCAGGACCGTGATCAGCTGTTAACATTAAAGACATTTCAAGGAATTTACAATAAATAGACGGCAAGCACCGTTGGAACCACAGCAACGAAACTACGCCACCGATCCCTACGTTCTGCTTAAGAACTTCGGTTACCGGCATTCCAGCGTACAATAATTCCTGACCGCGTTCGTCACAGATGGACGTCATGAATGAAGCTGGTTTTCTTATCAAACCAAGTTCCTAAAAACACAAAAGATTCGATTCACAAACGTTACTTCGTACAAATGCGAAATTACAAATTATGTAATTACCCTAGCCCAATTATAATCCATGGGAACGGTTGGCGGTGGAACTTCTGGTGCTGGAACAATCGTTCCCTGTTTTACAAGTTTCTCGTAAACGCTCTGCAGCAGATCGCCAAGGCTGTCGAAACTATCAGGAACGTAAGCACCTGCTGCTTTCAATGCAGCGTTCTTAGATGAAGCTGTTTCCAAGTTGCTATGAGCGATCGATCCAGCATGACCGAACTGTACTTCAGAATTAAACATGCTGGCACAAGTACCGATACACCAGGCAACCAACGGTTTCGTAATTTTCTTTGACTTCAATGCCTCGCATACTTCGTATTCTTCTACACCGCCAACCTCGCCAAGAAGAACTATAAGCTTTACGTCAGGATTCTTTTGATAACGCATTATGTGATCCATGAACGTGGTTCCTGGATAACGATCGCCTCCGATCGCAACACCCTCCAACACACCGTTCGAAGCTTTCGAGATGATGTTATTTAATTCGTTAGACATACCACCGGAACGTGAAACATAGGCGACACTGAAAATTGAAGTTTCTTAGTGTACCAAGTTAGATATCGAATGGAAGATCTCGTGTTGAATAAGAGAAATACCTGCCAGGCCTGTAAAGTTTACTGTGAAGGATATTATCCATCATTCCACCGGTATTACCAATCTTAAAGCAACCTGGTTTAAGACCACCAACGGTAGCCGGGCCGATAATCGCAACACCCTTCTGGTCCGCCAATAAAATTAATTTTCTTGTCATATTCTCTGGTATACCTTCGGCGATAATGGCAATCGTTCGAATCTGAGGGAACTGCATCGTTTCAACTGCACTGTCGTATGCAGATCTTAAAGATGCAAATGTAACCATAACATCTGCATCGGTATGTTTAGCCATGGCATCTTTCATTTGTTTGTAGACGGGAATTAATACCTATTTACAAAAGGAAATTCATTATAATTTCAATGAATTCTAATTGATTTTAACCCCTTGCCCTACATCGTGTCACACTCGTAACGCAATCTACAGTTTAAATATGTTAAATTTGGTTGGTACTTTTAGTATGATTGAATCTTGAGTTTAATTATAATTATAATTTACTCAGTCAATTATGCACGATATTTCATTTTTCTTTATTTGTTTCAAAATTGAAGTAATAAATAATTAGCTCTGTCTGACGCAACTATCAAAAAAATCATAGGCAAAGGGGTTAAAAGAGAATTTTATGTATACCTCTTTATGACCCCAGTAAAACTTCTGTTTGTGATCACCGGTGAATGGGTATACGATAGCAGCTACGGATGGTTCAGATCTACGGCAGACGAAATCAAAGTCTAGCATACTCTGAACAGCTCTGTTTTGCATTCCCCAGATAATTGCTCTGGTTTTATTGCTAAAAAGTTGTTTGTCCGCCGATCCATCAACGGAATCGCTCGATGCTAGTTTGTATTGCTTGGTAGGCGAAGTGGAAGAAGTACTTTTTGCAGGGGCTGCGGGTCCTACATCTTGTCCGGATGGTAAGAGAAAGTTTGCGGTGGAAAATTCCTGAGCCTCGGGATCCGGGATCGGTTTTTTACCTAAAGCCATCGCGCATATCGCTGTCATATGAGTTTCTGGACCGAATACATAAACTGGTATGACAAGTCTTCTGCCAACTTCCCGTATTATTCTAAAATTATAAATAAAAATGTAGCGATGAGATTTTCTAAACTTTGCAGAGGCTGAAATTAAATTATCTAAACAGGTTTATACCTTAAACCTTCTTGGTAATTGGGTCCTGCTCTTCTCACGAATATCTTCACGTTATGCTCGACGAGTTTCGGTTGAAACTCTTGTAGCGCTTTTACAATACCCTTGAAGGTTGCAGCCACGTTTGTAAAATTAGCGATACCTCCGCCGACAATCAATACCTTCCCCTCTTTTCGTTTCTCCTTCGTCATTAAACCTAAGATCGTTTTCGCGTATTCGTAAGTCTGCTGTTCACTGGGCGCGCCCGAGTATTCGCCGTAATTAGCTAGTTCATTTGCTGCGCCCAAATCGCAAATGGTATCCGAGTATATCACCGATGCACCTGGAAAATATTAATTCGGCAAATGAAACAGACGCGCGAGCAGGAGAGGATTTTATCAGAATGAAGCATACGACTTGACAATCACAATTTGGTTAGAATGAACCCGATTAATCACGTAAATGATACTGCTGTGCGCTTCTACTGACCACCGCCAGCAACCATCGTCCATATCCGACCAGCTGGATTTAGAATGGTTAGTTTCAAACTGGCTCCCGATTTAGCATCTAAATCAGCAATGTACGCCTCCTCCGCATAAGCATCCCTTCCGAACGGTGGTGGGTAATCAATGTCCCCCCAGTCTGGTCTGCATATGAAATCCGCGGTTGTGTCCAATTTTGCAGCAAGATCGAGCACGTAAATCCCATTTTTCGTTACTACCAATGGATTTATTTCTAGGTAAGTGAAATATAAATTAACGTAAAGCTTGTACAAGGCGTCTATGAATTTTGCAATTGCTCTGAAAAGAAAAATGAAATGTATTATTATTAAGAACATTGTATTACAAATAGAACAACGCTTTGATTCAATGAATACACACTCTTTTCTTTCACTCGCCACATTTACTAACAGCTTTTCCATTATCGTATTCTGATCCGGTGCTTCGTCTCCAACAGATACTTCCAATTTTAAAGCCTTTGCATCGACGTCTCCGATATCTACACCTCCTTCATGGTGGAATAGAATAGTGTCAGCTTTTCGGTGAGAATAGATGCAAACATAAGCTTCTTCTTCCTATATGCAACAACATTTGTAGTCTTTTAATAACTGTGTCTTTTTCATCTATTATTTTCTCTTAGTAATGAATAACTACCTGTTTATGGGGAACAAACGGCTCTATGATAAATGTTCTCAACTTTCCTGTTGCTTTTCCTACTTGCTGATCTTTGCCCATTCTTTCTGCCACCCATTGTTTCACTGTATTCAAATCTGCATTCACTTTAATTAGCCCAAGTTTTCCACGTCTCTTGATCAGCTGATCAGGTTTGACAACCAATTTCTCTGTCAGCAGCCATGGATTATCGTTTACAACGTCTGTCCAATTTGTAAGTTCTGTTATTGTCACAAATCTGGATTTTACTGCATTTGTGCCAGGAGAAAGTTTACGATTAATCAGATCTTTTCCAGTTGCCTCACGAATTGCCTTTGCTGACATTTTATATTACTCTCCTGAAATAAGAAATACACTATTTCAGTAAACAAAAAATGGAATACAAAGTAAAAAATTGCATTTTTAAATGATGGTGTTGCTGTCAAAGAGAAGAGACTGGTTTTAAAGATTCTCAAATTGAATCAAGCAATAGTCGGTCGACCGAGTTCCAACGTTGAACGAACACAATTTATAAAATACGCTTTTAATTCTATTGTACAAAAACGAATATTCTTTGAATAAAAATATTTGAAGTACACTAAAAATTAACGCAAGAGTTCCTCTTCTCTGGGAATAAAATGTATGTATGTATATACCATTATACAGCGTTTCAAATTATTTTTTACGTCACGAGACGAAATTTAAATAATGTATACATTTTTTCGAATACGACTACAAACCTTACATAATCATTATGGATATTTACAACGTGTATGTAGACGCACGTATAAAAAGACTTTGAATAATTACCTATTCGAATTATAATTTTAAAATTTCGAAAGAAAAAAAAAGGAAAGACGACTGATTAGCGCTTTGACTAAAAATTATGAAAAAAAAAAAAATCGATATAGTATTATAGTTCTACCGTAAACGTACCGTATTTAAAAACAGAAAAACGATTTACTTTGGAATGCAGGTAAATCAAACAGTTATGTCAGCCAGGAACTGACACTAAGATTATAATTTTAAATGAGATCCGTATGAGAAAAGTGCGTAACAATAATTTCAATACCTTGGACGTTACAGGCACGAGGATTTAATTAGAAAAACATCCTCGTTATGAAATCTTCCCGTTAGAATAAAATATGTAAAAATGAAGATATTAGAAATTGAAAACTTTCACTTCGAAAGGAATGGCTACGTGGTCGTTCACGTAATTATATTTCATTTCTTTCACATTTTTCTATATTAAAAATAGGAACGTACAATTTTTATACGCATCAAGTTTTTAATTTGACGAGATGAAATTTCATTAAACGACCGTAAATTAACGCGAATGAAGTAACTTACTTGAATTACGTATACAGAATGGAGGGATACGTAGAGAATATTTAATAAAACCACACTCACTTTTTGAAAAATACGTAATAATCCACGTTCGAATTTCGAAAATCTTTCGAAAATTCGAGTTCGACCGGTAAATTTCCTAACCTAAGAAATTTCGATTAGAAAGTAAAGAGAAACGTCCACCACGCACTAATACTGGCGGTTAACTGAACGTCCAAAGTGACACTGCGCGCCTAAGTAATATCGAGACCACACGATATCTCGAGATATCGTACGATTCTACCATTTTTTTCTCACGACTGGTCGTATTTTAACCTATTTTCTTTTTTCGGCGTTACATATTGTGCTTTTTGCATTTGAAAGGTTGAAATATAAAAATATTCTGTAATAAAATAATACAATTCTAAGAACAATTTTTTATCTCCTCCATTTTTAATGATAAAACATAATTACCAACCATTTTAAAAAGTCGGCGTGTATTGTAAAAGTACAGCAAACAATTTTGCATAATTTGTGCGATAGATTATGCAAATATTGAGAATAGGTTATACGATAGGAATATACGAAATTCTTTTGTTCGAACTCTTTTTACATTAAAAATATCTATGTTTAGCTATCTTATCGCATATATAGCGTTACAATCTTAAAAATTGTTCATTTTTATTTTTTATTTCCAACGTAATCTGGATCAGAGGAATATTTTATATCTAAGTTCAACGTGTCGATCTTTTTAGTTATCATCATTCGTCTTACTTATCTAACAACAGAAATATATAATTCTCCATTTTTCTTTTTATTTTTTACGCATATTCAAAGAGACACTATATTGGATGGAAGTTACGTATCATATTCGTGATTATGAAATGTAATTAAGTTCCGCTTCTGCAACTAATGCATTATTTATAAATACCTCTTAAGGAACTGACATTTTCATTAAATTATGTCAGCATTTAGACAAAATATTCCAGTTTAGAGTATCATGAGAATTAACTATTCATCACGTGACTTGTAACGCGATTTCTGCTCACCACGTGGACAGATAGCAGTTTTCAAACTTCTTCATTATTATGCAATTTTCTCATGATTTTATCGGCTGATATATTATATATAAGAACAATATTCGTCTGCGACAAATAGATTTATGTTAAAGAATAATCAATATGCAAATAGATATTTTTAACGATTCGCTAAATGTAAGAATTTAGAATATTTTCAACTTAATTGTCACGTGTACTTTGATACAAAAGCTAACGCGAAAACTAAATAACAAAATTAAGAAAATTAAATACGGATACAGTAACTATTAGAAATATAAAAAAATTGTCTAATTTGAATGTATTTATGCATCCTAAAAAATTAGAAATTCCATATATTATTCGACGCCGTTCTATTAAATGCAAAGGTGTGAATTTCATTAGCATTTGCAAGAATCATCGAAAATTTAAGCGCACGATTAAGAGCAATTATAAGGAGGTAAAATAAATTGATGGCGAAAAATGTCACATCGATCATTCTTGAATTTATCCTATTTTTATGAGATCACGCGATGGAAGCGCTTTGGTGTCCATTACCTTCGTGATAATCACGACTCTTAAACATCAATTTTACGCAGTGGTCCTAAAAATGATGCTATCAGTCTTTGCAAGGTATTAATTTTTGTTTAAGGATTTTACAGTTAAGATATACTACTTTAGTCAAAAAACGTATGTAATACTTTCCTTTTTTACAATAAAAAATTTTATACAATGAACGAATACAAGTTTTATCGATTATTCTCGTATTTGACGAATTTAAATTAAATCTAAGCTATTATTTCTCACGGAAGACTTCTACTTGTCGTTCCACTTGTAACCATCTTTTGTATTCAAGTGCAACCTTGACCTTTTTAAACGACTAACACATTTGAATATAAACTTCTAAGTATTTTTTTTTAAATTATAGACTTATAACTCAGTTCAAAAGTACTTTACCGATTGGAATTCAGGAAATAATATTCAACGATTCGGTATCCGGTAATTAACGAACAATGTTCTATTATTGAATAATTTCTTGCATTATGATTAATTTTTATCATAGCTTGCAACTCGCGTTACAAGAACCACATGATGAAATAGAATTTTCTATGTAAATGATTAGCATTTTCAGTGTCATGACAAACTTGATAAAATATTCGTTTCTCTGATACTTGAAACGAATAAATATTTAAAAAGATAGTAAACAAATATATTCCACATTTGACACGAGATAACAGGATTATTACAAAGTATACATATTATTTGTTGATAATCTTCAGTTTTTTTCAATGATATAATTATTGTTAGAAAAAATGCACTAAATTGCAAGGACTTCGATATTTTCAACTTTTTTACTATGACTATCAGAATTAAGGTTATGTTTCCATAATGTTTGATACAATATCATAGCACTAATGCAATTATATGAATAACTTGAAAAATATTCTTTGAAAACTAATTATTACAACATTTTTGCTACCAGATTATTAATTACTGATATACCAATACTAATAATACTAAAAATATTCTTAATTTTCGTTAAATATTAAAGATGTTTCTTATGAAGTATTTCAAACGATAAGGTTAGATTCGTTGTATCGATTAGTAGGTGGAAGTTTATAAATATAATACTTACGAATTAACAGCCTCCTTAAACAGATGTGAGAATGTTGAATATGCTAATAAATCTTTACTTTCTCAGAAACTAGATAGAGATGCCTACTTAAATCACAGGCTGATGAAAAAAAATTACATTCTTAGCTGCATCGATGTTATCGGTGTGAAGTGTGATTCAAAGACTATTGACGTGTCTTTCGGACTGAAATCACAATATGTACATGTTATATTAATTATCTTTCAATATTACTAGCGAAATAAAAATTCAATTTTACAATAAAATTATGTTCAATTAATTTAAAATGTTATTAATCATTCATCAATTCTGTTTAAATATTACGGGTCACTGTGACGTATTTGTGACGTAGCGGCACTACGTCATATCGTATGATCCTTGTAACCGTTCCTTACGCATGGATTTTAGATTAATTAAGATTGATATAAAAGAAAACTGTAATAGAAAACTCAGCAATTCATAGAATACAATGGATTTTATTACAATTTTTTTTTTTTAATTATACTAGAAATTATTTAGTATTAGATGTATAAAATAATAGATACATACCAAACAGTATAATAATCTGTTTAGAAAATATATTTATTATGACAATTTTTGTTATCTCCTATAAATAGAAATGAAAAAAAAATACTGAATTATATAAAAATAATAATATCACGAAAAATGTTTACATTAAATGGTGCACAAAATCATATGAAATTATACTGTTTTATAATTTACATACCTCTATCAAATTTAGTGATACATACTACCACTGTATTTACATATTCCAATCACATGTAGCTTTACATATTTTTATAAAAAGTGCTCAATTTATAAAACTGTATTTTATATGTGAATGTTATACAATATACGTATATGCAAGTCAGTTTCTATGAAAGGACAAACAATTACGTTTGTCCAGTAACACAAACTTGTGTTAAAATACTTTATCGCGGTTACGTCATTAATAACATCATATAAATATGATGTAATTTGGACTTCTTGATTAAAATATTTATATTTACATATTCAAAATATATTTGAAATCTTATTGATGAAAAATTAACTTTCTATAAATATTTTTCTTCCTTTCTTTTAAGTATGCAGCATCTCAAAATGATATGTTTAAGTAATGCAAGCGTTCCCAGTTCTTCTGGTAAAAATTTCTATTCTATGTTATTGCATTATATAAATCACGTTTCCCTTTTTTTCATAGTAATGAAGCTTTTAAACAAGTGTGCATAATATAGGTATCAAAAATTGTCTGTACATAAATATTTAAATTATTGCTCTGTAGATGATTATGCTCTGTTCTCTAGTTTAGCAATAAGATCATGTACATTCTCTATAACACTATATATGTACGGACGTTCCATAGGATTCACCTTCAACATTGATAAAATCAGAGTTTGCATGTCCTGTAAAATTTAGAATTCAAATATTAGATTCTGAAACATCAATTACATGGAATTAAACAAAGGTACAGAACCTCATTATATGGAGTGTCCTCTGGGTATGTAATATTTGCGCTTATAACAGCTAAGGCAACACTATCACCTCTTTCATATACAGTATCAAATGGTGACTTAAAATAGCACAGTGCATAAAGAATACAGCCTAAAGACTGAAAAAAGATAAATATTTACAATAAATAAAGTAATCTATGGAAGGATATATAAATAATAACATTAATTTTACCCAAATATCCGTTCGTTCATCTACCATACAGTAACTTTCAACATTAAACAATTCTGGTGCTCTGTAAGGCATAGAACATCTTTCAGCTGCTTGATCTTGCAATGTTTGAGCTGCTTGTGATCCACATACTTTAACTCTAGCTGGAGCTACTGAACCTATGAAATCAATTTAATGACACAACAATATATTTTTTATTTTATATTCTACAAGATGATTATACCTAAATCCATTATAACAGGTGTATTTCCATCTCCTAAAACTATATTTGCAGTTTTTAAGTCCCTATGAGCAAGAGGTTCTGGTTTTGCTTCATGAAATGCCTTTACACCCTCGCATATTTGTATAAAAATATTTAAAATCTCTAGTGGACTCATGTAATCTTTATTTTTAGCGCGTCTTTCTAATTCATTTGCGAGGCTTCCTCTCTGGAAAAGAAACATTTTGTTAATTAACTGTAACTTATGACTATAACCCTATTAATAATATTGTAACTTACATGATAATAGGGTAATACAATTAATACTTCACTGGTAGCATTAATAACCGGATCAGCTGTTCCTTTGTAAGTAGAATCAATACATTCTATTACATTTGGATGTTTCACAAGATTATGATATTCTATTTCCTTTGCAGCTAATCTCTGGTCCTCTAATCCATGACAGATAATCTTCTTAATCGCATACTTCTTATGAGTTGATGTATCTTCGACTAATAATATAGTACTAAATCCACTAAAAGTTTATGAAAATTAAATTAAATTAATCATACAGAAAAATCAATTAATCCCATCACATAATGTCAAGAATGTTTATAACAACGTTAGAAATATTATGTACCATGAAGTTTCTATGAAAAATATGGTAGATTAAGGTTAATTAGGATAACAATAAAATTTATCCTAATGATAATGGTATTAGGTAATACAAAATATTTGATACAAAAAATACATTAACATATGTTTCTAAAGTATATTATAGTCACTTATGAAAACTTATTTTGTATAAAACTTGCCCTTCTCCCAGATGTTCACGAACTACATAATTTCTTGAATTAACCGTGATAGTTTCCTTGGAGCATATACAGCCCATTTTTAAAATTAAACTCAAACCAAGGCTGTTCATTTCGATGCACGCATAATAAAATAAATAAACAATAAACTTGATATATATTTTTTTTTTTATCACCGTGCAAACATCTTGACACACATTACATGCATCACAAGAAGCCTCAGCTAAAGCTAGATAATCGCGTATCAGCTGTTTGCAAACATTATATATAGTATATGTATTTAGCGTTCAAATTGATTGAATTAACAATTTAATAGAAAATCTGTCATGTTAAATCATACAAAATTTTTTACCATGTTAAAATACCTCCAAATGAATTGAAAATTTAAACTTAAGAGGACCACACAGTACGCGGATATTCTCAATATGGTTAAAGAAGAAACGAAAATCGCTTTCAAAGTAAATTTTTATTATTTTTATAAGTAAATCATACCTGTATCGCTACTGGAAAAATGTTATTGAAAGCAAAGAGGAAGTACTTTTGTTACCCAGTTTCTTACACTATTAGGTATTACACACTATCCTATGGATATTTTTTACAAGTTATTATTACTGGGGTGCAAATGAAGAAACTGTAACAGATCCTATCGACGAATCTGGATGGGTACCAGATGGAGCATTGATAAATACAATTCAACCTCAACCTCTAGCAGGAGATGAACAGACAGCAGAATAAAGCTATAAGCTATCCAAAATTTTAAATTATATTTTATCAGCACATACATTGAGTACCTTAGTAAATGTTTATGAAATTATGCTTTGTATAAATAAAAGATTGATTTAACATGGAAATGTAACTGAGAAACCTATTTCGTGTGATGAAACATGATAGTTTTCTAAATAATTTAACATGAATTGTTAATTGTCAGGAACAAGTACATATTTTTTTTTTTTTTTAATTTTAACTATCAAAGTCAACAAATAAGATTGGTTTTGCTAAAAGTGGTTAAGAATTTGTTGCATTGGTATCTTCATTTGGAACATCAACGACGTCTTGATCGTTCTGTAATTGCGCTTGCCACATCGAATGATAGATCCCTGTATGGGAAATAAGTTCCTCGTGTTTTCCTCTCTCTACAATTTCTCCATCTTTCAACACGAAAATTTCATCAGCGTGTATGATCGTGGATAATCTGTGCGCTATAATGATAGTTGTACGGTTAGCACAGACTCTGTTTAATGCCGCTTGAATATTACGCTCTGTTTGAGTATCAAGCGCGCTCGTTGCTTCATCCAGAAGCACAATTGCTGGTTCTTTTAATATCGTACGCGCGATAGCAACGCGCTGTTTCTCTCCGCCACTCAAACGAAGTCCTCTTTCACCAACCTATATAATTGAAATTGAACAATGTTAATTTATAATATTATTAAACATCTTTTCCATTACTAAGAAATACAAACCTGTGTATCATAACCATATGGAAATGATAGAATTCGTTCATGAATATCTGCATTCTTAGCAGCTGCTATTATATCTGCATCCACAGCTTCGATACGGCCATAGTGAATATTATATTTTATGGTGTTATTAAATAATACTGTATCTTGAGGTACAACACCGATCGCGCGTCTCAGGGAATCTTGAGTGATGGTTTTAATATTTTGTCCATCAATTAAAATCGCACCGTGTTCCACGTCGTAAAACCTGAATAATAATCGTACAATGGTCGATTTTCCAGCTCCTGATGGTCCAACCAGAGCAATAGTTTTTCCTGCTGGTGCAACAAAGCTAATATTTTTTAGTATAATTTTCTCAGGAGCGTAGCCGAATGATACGTTTGAGAATTCCACATGACCATGTTTTACTACCAATGGTTCAGCACCTGGAGCATCAATTACTTCTTCGTTTTCCCTCAGAAGATCAAACATATTTTCCATGTCAACGAAATTTTTCTGAATAGATCTATCCATATAAAAAAAGCAATTATATTAAATACAGCTAAAAATTTAATACAACATATCGTCAATATATTTACCGGTAATAAGTTCCAAACCAATTTAGAGGTACATAAAGTTGAATAATATAACTTGCAAACAAAACGTAATCACCAATCGTTAAACCTTCGTTATATACAACCTACAATGTAATTTTTTAAATGTAGTCCATTATTTATTTAATTTAGAGTAGTTAAATATGGTTCTATACCAACCATGTGCAAACAAAGCAATGATCCAGCTAACAGACCACTGCAAACAATTATATTTTGTAGAGTATTTAAAATATTCAGTGTGATCATTGATTTCCATTCTTCAACCTGATATTCTAATATTGCCTTCCTATAGCTATCTACTTCATATGATTCTGCTCCGTAATATTTAACAGTTTCGAAGTTGAGCAAGCTATCAACACTTCGTGCTTTTTGAGCGTTGTCGGCTAAGTTCATGCGTCTTTGGAACTTGGTTCGCCATTCGGTAATCATGATTGTGGCCGCTAAATAATACATAAAAGAATATTAATTATTCGATAATATTTTACGATACTTTTTTTGTAAAAATATGTTTACCTATATAGAGGCTCATCGTTAGAAACACGATTAAGCCAAACCACTTATTAAAAGCAATAATGAAGAACACAACAGCCACAATAATGTCAACGATCGTTGGTATGATTGAAAATATAATATAATTTAAAAGATTGCTTATAGAATCTGTACCACGATCCATAATCCTTAGAACCTCTCCCGTTTTTCGTCCAAGATGCCATCGTAAACTTAAGCTATGTAAATGTCTGGAGGAAAGTTTACGTAAAATTTAAAACTTTTATTATAAAATTTCTAAAATAAATTCATAAATGAGACAGTTTACCTAAACAATTCCACTTCAATTTCTCGTGTCGTATACTGCTGTATACGGATCCACAAAAATGATCTTAAATTGTTCAATACTCCCATACCACCTGTTCCACCACCTTGTAGAAATTTGAATGCCACGTATGTCAGGACAAGATCCCACCTATTATACAAATATCCCATACATTATAATTTCTCATGTATTATTCAAATTTTTATTAAGAATTTCATGTACCTGAATGTTATAGGAGTTTCAGAAACACTATCAACAATTTTTTTATTATAGATTGGAACATATAGATTTATTAAACGTCCTGCTATAAGTAATCCAAAGCAAAATATGACTCGCAATTGGAGCATAAAACTTTTTGGCCACAAAAACGGTGACAAAGTTTTGATCTTATACCATGCATTTTTCCATGTGGAAGTGTTATCCACAGGTCTCTAAAACAGTAAATTACCAATATTTAAATAAACATATAAATTTCTGTGTTTAAATTATATAGTAACGTTTATATTTTAATGACTTACACCTTGATAATATCGTGGCCGTGTAGTTGGACCATCAGGTAGATTACTGTATTCACTGTCTACAGTACCAGCTATTCCTGGAGCTTTGAGTCCTAGAGCAAAAATGATGAGGTTGCTAACGTAACGTAAAATGAACAGTGCCATCTCAATCTGGTCTGTTAATCTGTAAATAGCACACACAAACACGCATAAGAAATATCTTACTAGGTACAGATGTAAATATAGATTCTCTATTAACAGTATCAATAGAAGAATGTAATTACATATGTGAAATATGTTATAAATGTATTTAATTCTTACGTATTTAAATGAAACCACCATTCAAGTCTTCCAATATTAACAAAAACAAGATTTTCTGAAACAAATGCTAAAGTCCAAAAACCCAATAATACAAGTCCATGACCACGCGGTGGCACACTTGGTAATAACTTGTGCCTCTCTACCCTTAATATATATACAGAATATGGATAAACAATTACAGTTGATACTGTTGTCAGAATCTAAAACAATAAGGTAGTTAAACATTGTTAAAAGCAACTAGTCAAGATATTTGAGATCCTTACCATATAGCCATAAATTTTTTTGTCATCCAAAATTGTTCCTTGCAGAATTATCCTGATTATACTAAGTATTGGAACAAAATATAAGAAAAACTTTTGTCCAATATACAATTTACTCTTTGATAATAATCCTGCATTAATTTCTGTTCCATATTTTCGGTATATCCCAAGTTGAATTGTACCAAATATTAATAAATATAAGGAAATTATACTAGTACTGACAGTGTCCATAAAACATTTGGACATGCCATGTTGTACCCAAATGTCTGTGAACGTTATATTTGGAGGACAGTAACTAAACGTTGTATTCATTTTTAATTTTAATATACTGTCAAAATACTATAAAGATAAATAAATCAATAATGTCTCTTTTTTGTTAATTTAACATAAGTTTTCTCTTTTTCCTATTATGTTGCCTATTTTATTTATCATTATCTTTGTGTATCATACATTTATTATATGAAATTTAATGATGTTCAAAGCTTCAATTACTTTATAATTGAAGAACCTGAAAAATTATATGAAATATATTAGTATCGGTTATTTTATTTTTAGTATATAAATATGTTATGTATGTTTCTATATAAAATCATTATTGCCATTTGCAATCTTATAATAGTTAAAGTATTATCTGATCATAATGCAATTATATAAGCTTCATTGCTGTGATTGCTTAGAAAAATGAAATCTTATCTTTACTTTCTATTTGAACAACATAAATCTTGAAATTACATATATTATTTATATTAAATTGATATTAAATTTAGCATGTTTCAGCTTTTATTTATTAAAACATTTCAGTAATGTGTCAATTACTCTGTTTCATTATGGTATTATAAATAAAGAGCTATACTATAATATGGTTACGAACATATTATTGGTTGGATAAAAAATTCAAAAAAAGGCAAAAATAAAATAAATGTCAGTTAAACATTTCAATAGAAAAAAGCTAATATTTATGCCATTAATTTTCATGTGTTAAACAATATTTAAAAAAAGATATATATTACCTTTTGTTTAAGAAATTTGCATCGTCATGACAAATATGTATAATTTAATTAACAATTTATTACATACGCACAAATATTTTCGAAGTAGCTTAACCTAATGCTGTTATAGGTTTTGATATATCTAAAGTCACTCTGTTACTCGTGAATCATGAATTTTATCACTGAATAGATAATTCACGTACAGTTACGAATTATTTTTTTAAAATATGCGAAATTTACATTGTTACTAAGTCAGCATGGGCTATACACGTTTGATATGTCATTTTAGACTGCAGATGCGTATTTGACTTTGAAGTATTCGAACCTCGTGGCTACATAACCTCACATAATCTTTCTAATCTCCAAAATATTTTGAAAACACAACGTGTGTTTGAGTATCGCAACGTAACATATGTATACGATTTATATAATAATTCGTATTAGATATTATTTAGCAGAAATTTATCCCATTGTCAGATAAATAATCATGGGTAAGGGTAATAAACATATGAAACGTTTAAAATCTGAAAAGGCCAAAGTAAAACTAAAAGCAAAAAAGACCAGAAATTTGCCGAAAGGATTGAATGTCACTGATCCATCGTTTAAAGTTAAAAAGATCGTTATTCGAGAACAATTAAAACAACGGGATGAAACAGAGATTCTTAGCAAAAGAAAGCTCAATGTGAAAGTAATATTACAAGCTATTCTTATTAATGAAACTGTATATGATTCTCTATTACATGTATATTTAATTTGCAGGAGCTGTTATCACGTCTTCAACATCATAATTCAACAGTCCGACAAGATGCTGTGAAAGAACTGAAAGAACTTTTATCAGAGCATTCATTAAAATTATTAAGTTCACAGTTTGGAATTTTGTTGCAAGGCATTTGTGCATTGTCCCTTGATAAAGAGAAAGATATAAGACACGATTCTTTAAAAGTTTTAAGTCTAATTCTTGGTCCAATTTCTAATGATCAACTTAATCCATATTGTGATGTTTTAATCTCATATTTGAGATGTGCCATGACACACATAGATACACGCATCAAAGAGGATTCTCTACTTTTTTGGGATGTACTGGTGCAGAACTGTAGCACTATTTTGGCAAGAAACAGTTACAAAATATTGCCAAACTTTTTAGACATGATTTCTAGATTACATACTGAAATAAGACCTGGAAGGCAATTAGTTACTACTTTAAACTCTAAAAACACTAATGTTAGATGGAGAATAAGAGTGTTGGAAAGGCTTGCTACTATGTTCAGCTCTATTGTTAACTTTTTTAAATCTCAACAAACTGTTAACTCAAATGTGCCTGCACAAGTTATACATGTAGATAAAACTACTGGATATATTCCCATTTACATGAATGCTAATTTTCAACACTGTGACATTGATTTTGAACAAGATGACAATTCGAAGGAGAATACTGCTGAAACAAGTTTAGAGGCTGAGGAACTTATGAAATACATAGAACTGTTAATGCCACTTATATTTGATAGTTGGATCGAAGTGTGCCCGGATGAGAAACATACAGATAATTCTGCCCTTTTAATTTCAACAGAAGCTTCTGAATTATTAAAAAGCATTGTAGAAATAATACAATTAATAACTGAATGTATAGACATATTACATACAGAATGCGATGTAAACATGAAATTTTGGTTTAAAAGTAATTTTCAGAATAATTATGTAAAAAGTTTGCTTTCGAAATTTCCATATGGCAAATTAGGGATAACTAGAAGATACGTGCCTTCTGTAAGAAAAGGAAAACGTCAAGCAGACTTTTCTTTAGATGAATCACAGGATTCTTGTTTAGAGTATAATTTAGGACTTTGTCAGATTTATGTTTGGTTTACATCTATACATAGTAATGACAAGACTGTAGCTAGATTGAATAAAAATTATTGCACGTCTGTCATTAAATATTTAAATAGTATGATCAAATTTATTTTTGAAATTAGTGCTTCAATTAGTAGTTAGAAATTAACTTTCTCTTTTTTTGTACAGAGAAACTTGAAAATTGGTCGAGTGTAAATAATACTGTATTACCATTGTTGACTAAAGTTTTAAGAACGTTGTTTCTAAAAGCAAGTAAAATTTGGTACAAGAATCACCTTGATCTGAATGAAACTCTGCAATCTGTTGTAAATGCATGTTGTAATCAATCAAAGGACATGCAGTTACAATTATTTTCTCTCATTAGTGATATCATGTTAGACCATACTTTACATGAACTGCATAGGTAATCACTTTATAATTTCAAATATTTTTAAAAGAAAACTTGAAATTTCAACAAAAATTGGTGTTACATTACAGGGAAAGTGCATTTAAGGATTTCATCTCGACATTGCCAAATCTTCTTTTAAAGCCGAAAATACATGAAAATACGGTACAAATAATAAATAAAATTGTACTGCGGTACAGAGATTGGATTCAACAAGAACTTGTCGCCAATCAAAATGATATTATAGGTAAGTATTAAAAAAATATTTTTATAATTGTTCATACACTAAACATAATTTATCTATTATTTGTATTACAGAAAATGCTAAAAAAATTCAAATTATGGGATCTGATGATGAAAATCAATCCCGTCTGATGATATGTAATTTATTTTATTTTTTAGACGGTCAAATTTTCTATTAAGTAAAAAATACCCGTTTCAAAATAAATATATGTATTTTACATACAAATTTTTTTTTATTAAAACTCGGTATAAGAGATAATTTATTTTAAAAGATTTAATAAATTAACAATTTTGAGAGACTTTTTACTAGAATGCAATCGTCAATAGCGTTAAATTATACGCTTTGAGGATTATTAAAAATACATCATCGTACATCTTGCATTTTTTGTGCGGATTTATAGTAATATTTTTCACAGTTTTATAAGTATTCCATAATACTTCTGTACAAATACTGGTATTGTAAACTAACAGAAACAGATATAAAAATGTCTTCAAAGTACATGTTTAAAATCTAGTTATCATGTTTGTGTTTTTTGTTAATTCATCATCTTCAAAAGTATAATTATCAAAGGCGTACAATCCATTATTCTCCTTATTTTGATCTATCGTTTGATGAACTTTAGTACCGTTCAGATTCTTTTCAGTTTTCTTTACGTAAGGCTGTTCCACTGTATATTGGACATTCATGATATTTTCTACGCTTGGCGTTAATGGCAAAGTAGGTAATTCTTTACTAAGCGGTGGCCAACTCAAATCGTTTTTCAATTGTTGTTCAACTCTTAAGTATTCTTTCTTAGACTTTTCAGCCCTATAGAAATGTGTTCTGAATTTTTTCTCAATCATATATTCTATTATAAACGTTTCAACGAAGAAACAAATGACAAAGTTTGCCAAGGCAAGCGCCAATATTATGATCCTCCAATCGTAGGTCGGAGGTAGAAGTAATTGAAGGCAATTTATTACCCACTGTGCTGGATAAACTGTGATATAGGCGCAAACGATGGTCAATAAAATAATGGAAAATACGAATGCGATATTCGTGTAAATCGCTTTTCTATACGGTTTACCTCGCGAAAATATTATAGCCATTGTTATGTATTGGAACATCGAGACACAATAAACGGAATAGTTTTCGTAACTGGTGTACCCGGTCTCGTCCGTGAGAACGAACTGGGTGTACCAAGGAAACAAGCGAACCGCGTAATAAGCAGCTGCTTGAAAAATTGTCATTATCAACATATGAATGGATAATGAAAATATCGACGTGAATGTTAACAAACTAGTCATCGGTGGTTTTTTAACCAGCTTCTTTTCGTACGCCCGTGTTTTCCCGAAGAACGAGGCAAAATTAACGATCAGACATATGTCGATGAAAAGGAATTCTAAATCTGTTAAATTTGAATCGATCGAATAGAGAATGATAACGGATAAAAATTCTGTAAGGGAATAAGTGACCATAAATTTAAAAATTCCAAACGATGTCACCAAGGCCGCGCGGCCTTCTCTTATTACCTTTGGAACACAAGTGATGTCAGGTACCTTGGATGTGAAAGGGCTCGCAACGCTGAAAAAGAAACAAGTATCGTTAAATATTGATATTAAAATGCATAAAATAATTCTGAAAACTGGGACGAATTTTTCCTTCAAAATTTAACATAACCAGAGAGTTTTAATTTTATCGACTGATGTTATCTGTGCCTTCGCGAAGAGCATCGTAAAAAGAGGGACTTAAAGATGAAGAAAACAATTTGTTTCAGTTTCTTGCATGTTAACATAAAAAAAATTATGCGCTTTAAAATTGTCGTATGAAATGAAAGTTGAAATCGCGTACGATTGTTATATAATTCTCTGTAGCGTGACAAACATTACCTAGATTCTGCTTCGGATAAAGATATACCCGCGTGTGCCGCTCTCAGAGCACCGCAGTCATTAGCACCATCGCCGCACATCGCTGCAATGTTTGCGAAACGTTTTGAAATAACCATTTGTAAGGTATAACGCAATTAACTGGGGTAAATGTTAAAATGCCGTACCCACGTAATAACCGAGTTGCATCAACTCCAACACTAATTGTTGCTTTTGATCGCTAGTCATCCTGGCAAATATTGCTCCGCGTACGCAAATCTTCGCCACGATGTCCGGATAATATTCGCGGAGTAACTGCCACGACTGACCCGTTAACGCGAACCGATAATTAGTACTGCCTATGTTTCGTTCTATATCATGTAATTCTGATATTTCAATCTTTTTATCACAAAGACTCTGAAAAAAAAAAATAAATGATTATTTTCTTTTTCCTTTTGGTATTAATTTTAAACGTTCTGATCAAGTACCAGTTTGGGAGATAACTCTTGAGCATTGAAATAAATCTTCGTTTGTGATTTATCTTCTTCCATAACTACAGTCACATCTATCACAGACTCGTGCGGCGACAAAATGCCACACTCTTTCGCAACGCTTACTGCAGTTTGAATGTTATCACCTGAAAGTGAACGGGAAATAAATCAATTCCCTTTATGGCAAGCGAATGCTTTATAAAATAAGCTGAAGGTGCGTACCTGTTATCATCAATACATGTAAACCAGCAGATCTTAGCTCCTTGATGATCGGTATGGTTGGCATTTTCAACCTATTCTCCATAATTACTAAACCTAAGAACTCAAGATTCTGCTCGACCGCGTCTCGAGGCAGTTTCATAATCTGCACAGAAAAAGGTATCACAATTAACATCGAATATACTGTAGGAATTTTTAAAATGTAAAATCTTTGTTCAAGATAATGTAAGAATTTATGTATCTACCTTACTGTTACTCTCCGACAATTCGTTTCGTCCCATTGCTATAACTCTATAACCCTGTTCAGTATATTGCTTCAAGCAAAACATAATATCCTTCGGTATAGTTTCAGGTTTGCTCAAGCTAAGTATCATTTCGGGTGATCCTTTCGTGTAAGCTCTGAAAGTTTCTGATCCCAATACGCGTACTATCACAGACATTCGTTGCAGAGAGCTCGAGAATTGATATTGTTGCACTATCCCAATCTCAAATATCTCGTTCATATTCTTCGTGAAACCGTTGTTTTTCGGCGGCTTCGCTATCGTCGGTGCTACGAGATCATATTTGTTTAAATGCTCTAGATCAGACTCTTCTAACTTCCATCCGGTACTCTCAAACATCTGTGAACGATAAGCTTATATGAAATAATATTTATAACGAAGGTGAAGCGAATTGAACGAAAGAGTACCTTAACATCTAAAGGATCACCACAGAGTTTACCGTCGATCAGAGTTAAACTATGACAAACTAACATTCCCTCGAAAAGAGGATGGTCGCTTAATTTAGGAATGGTCCTCTCTGATTCACCAAGAACACCATTCGTACAGGGTACAATGCCCCACATGTCCAAGCCATCTTCTGTTAAAGTGCCGGTCTATAAAATTCATAACTCTTTAGTTAAGGTTAAATATTTTTTACAAAATATTTACCAAGAAATATTCAGTCGTAAAGCTTTCCTTTCAGACCGTTGGTAAAAGTAAACATTTCTAAATTATGTATAATTATTACCTTATCAAAACACACGCAATTTATGCTGCCAGATACATTAATCACTCTATTACTAATACAATATATTTGTGCCCTTTTCAGTCGTGCTTGAGCGTACAGTTTTCCCACTGTCATTGCTGCCGGCAATGCCGGTGGAATAACTATTGTAATTATATCCAAGGCTTTTATCGCTATATCATCGGCTGTGATTCCTCTGGAAACCTGTGTATATAACATTCAGTTTATTTACAATTCGTTGTATAAAGAATGAAAATGAAGTACCTTGGTTACGATAGTGTATATAAAACCGCACGTCGCGATTAATGCCAATATACCAATGAACTTGTAAGAATCTTGATCGAACTTAAAATCAGCCGGTGGCGGATAGAGAATAGCTGCGACCAGGCTACCTTTACTTGTATGGAAACCAGTTCTAATGACCCGCGCTAAAACTGGACTATCGCTATAACTCCTAATAAAGAAATTAAATTAATATACATTCATCGAGCGTTTGTGATGTTTGGATGAAGGACGATGGGTAGTACCTGGTTTGAATAATGGTGGTGCCGCTGAATATGGTATGATGGGAACATTCTTTGGAATCGTACAAGACGTGACGCGATGGTAGAGGAGTTTTCGTCACTGGCACGGATTCTCCTGCAATTTGTACAATGAATAATATATTATAGAACAGGGATGAGCAACCCGCGGCCCGCCACACTTTCTCCTGCGGCCCTTCAAAGATTTTTTTTCATTCCTACAGTGTCCCGCAGTCTCGTTGTACCCTGGAGGTGTTAACTTAATTTTTGACATCATAGATTTCTAGTCTGCCTTGGTCCAGGGCCGGCCCTGAATTTCAGTTCATTTTACATTGAATATTTTTAATTTGTAGCTGGCCCGTTGTAAAATAAGGTTGCTCATCTCTGTTACAAAACGATGTAGACAACTTTCGAGACGTACCGGTTAGCATGGATTCGTTTAATATACACTGGCCCGTTAAGAGTACCGCATCGCATATAACAGTAGCTTGATGCTTCGGTAATTCTATGATATCTCCTGGCACTAATTCGCTGCTCGGGATGTTTTCGGATACTTTAGAACTTCTATGCACGAGTACAGTTCCTGCCGATGCAACTGTCCCACGTAGGTTAATCTGATTCTAGAATCGGATTCCACGTTTAGCATTAAGCACGATGGTATGATAACAGTATGGAGACGAACGTTTTACCTTACGGGTTTGTATTATGGAGCTAATGATACCAAACAACGACATGCATATGATCGCTGCCGTGTAATAAAAGTACTTCTCTGCGAACCATACGCACAGAGTAAAGACTTGGAAGATGTAAAACGGATTCAGAACCTCTAATAAAAGCAACACCCCTATACTTTGTACTGGTACAAGGATCTCATTGTTCCCGTACACGATACGTCTGTAACAGAGAACGGTTCGATTGTAAATACGAGCTAATTAAAGTGTATCATAATTATGAGTCATATTTCCACTATTAGATGTTTAACATTTTTCAACAAGCTAAAGTGAACTAGAGCGAGATTCACTCTAGAGCCAACCCTTTCTCGGCCATTTTCGGTCAGATCGGAAGGGGGAAAAAAAAATTTTGATAACTCTTACAATTTGGCCTGTACAAAAGATTTTCAATCTTAGATACGGGTTGGCTAATAATGATATCTAAGGGTATAATGAAAAATTTTGAAAAAACTAATGAAAATCTGCTAATCATTTGAATAATTGATCAACTATAATCGTGTAGTAAATCTCCTGAAAGCGTGGAAAGATGAATACATATAATGTATGATACACGAGATGTTTATCTTATCAGTACCTAAGGCATTGTTCTTCTTTAGAGAGTCCTTGATTATTATTGAGGTGAAGATCGGTGCATAATGTATATTTGTCTAGACCTACTAATCTCGAGAACGTGTTCTGCGTTATGTCCCAGACGTAACATTGTTTCTTACACCAAAACGCTTTGTACTCGAACACCTCGCACTGCGTACCGTTCTCTAAATTAATTTTCAACATTTTACATCTGATCTTCTCCATCAGTTCCTCATCCTTCGTGTCCAAATATTTCAATAATTCTTCCCTGCTAATGTTTCTGGCAGAAATAGCCTTAACTTCCGTCACGAAGTACGACTTGTATTTTCCTTGGTAATTATCCTACATCAAATTTTCTAATTATTATTACAACTGGAATCAGTTTTTTTACATTCAAAGGGATTCTAACGAAGATGATTCTTACGGTTACGAGCAATTTCGTTGCACGATTCAAGGGACATTTTTTGTGGGTCGCATATAGGTGTAACTGTGGGTACCAGTGGAAGAAGAGTCTCACCCAACCGACGGTCAACACGTAGGAAATACATATTAGAACACTTTTCAACGTGTTCTTCTCGAATCCATAGATTCTCTGAAAAAAGGTATATCAATTCTTAAATCCCTGATCAAAGGAAAGAGCAGGGTAAGATGGTCAAAATTGCCTTTGAAACCAATTTTATTGAATTATAAAAAAAAATCGTTATACACCAAATTTCAACCCGGTATCTCAACCGGGAGGGTAGTTACGGGGTAAAATCAAAAAAACGGTTTTTCCCATATTTTCCCTGTTTATTGATATTCAAAAAATCTGAAAAAATTCACAATTATAAAGAAACGTGTCTAGAATATTTTTAAATTTTTTCAGATTTTTTGAATACCAATAAATAGGGAAAATATGGGAAAAACCGTTTTTTCGATTTTACCCTGTAACTACCCTCCCGGTAGGGCCGGCCCTGGGCCTAGGCAGACTAGGCGGTCGCCTAAGGTCCCCCAAGGTCCGGGGCCCCCATAAGACGATATTGCGTCTAAGAATGCAAGAATATTTCCTTGAATATTAATCGATGTAAATGCAAATCTAAATTAGTTACACAAGCTTTAATTATATCTTATCCTGCTATACACCCTTTGCAGCGAATAGAATCAATTATAATCATACCATATCCTCATCTTGACCGCTGTGAATCCTCTGCCACTGCACTTCCGACGTTTGGTCATTCTTCAGCCCTAATCACAAAAAAAAAAAAATACGCTGTACAAATATCGAGGAACCTCTTATGTAATTAAATCGAATCGACTTTATTGCTCGCCGCAATAAATTATTTTCAAACTCTGATGAGTTACTTAACAATCATGAGTCACAATCCCGAGATAAATTGTGGCAAAAAATAAACAGTCGCGATTAGTTATTCACCTATGCAACTGAATTCTTAATATTTAAAAGTGACAGTGATTAATTATCCAGATGAACCCATTTAACAGATTGTTGTAGAAAGTCTGACATGATTTCATGACATGAATTTATGTTATGTTAAATATTTTGATGTACTCTGTGATTGATGAATATTATGTTTATCAGAGTTACAGCTGTTTAACGTTTTATTTCTGTAGCTGAGTCAAAACGAACGAGGGTTGAACTTGATCAATCTAACTAGAGAGTATTTTTTAATTATCTTAAGAAGTCAGGGATCCTTACATAAGAGCATCGATAAAAGCGTCAGCACAGATTTATTTCATTATCATTCAATGAATCAAGTTCTGACCCTCATTGAGATCTATATATATATTTATCTTACAAAAAAATCAATAATTCTTCGGTAAACATTGTACGATTAAGTAGCGATAATTCTCGCTCGTTATCGAGTCGACAGGCACGATTGCATCTCGAGTGGAAAATAAAAGAACTATTTTTGCACGCGCGACAGAAGGGACGCGTAAAATCAATTTGCTCTTATCGTTGGTAAACAAAACTCCTTCGATTTACCCCTGTTTCATTGAATGTTGTCATTGCAGCGTCGCTCGTCGAACACGTGCTTTGATAGCTGTCGTTTGCAATCAGTTGTACATTTCATTGTCTCGCTTGATTGATGTATAATGTATTTAGACGAATAATATAACGGCACTGTTTATCGATACTCGAGTTGATTATGAGAAGCTATAAAATTAATTATCAAACATTACGATCGAATTTGACACATCCTCGAAAACTGTTAACACATTCATTGTCGCACAGCTAACACGTGCGATACGATTATTTAATTTTTCAATTGAATTGTTCCCGGCGTTGTTTCGACTTATTAGATATTGTACTAAATTCGTTCGATTATATTTGGCTATGTTTGCCAATAATTTTAAGTATGTAAATCTATTGAATAATCGATTTATCGCTCGTCGTTGTTACACTTTGCATTATTATATTTAACACGGTTCGAAGGTACAAGTCATGTCGGAAAGGAATATTTTACCGACGTAGTATTATCGGAAGCAGAAGGACACTAACAGTTGAACTGATAGCGTCCTTTAAAAAGCTGACGGAATGTCGGAAATTATCACGTTTACAGCTTACACGCGGAAGCTTCGACAGTGTTAACCCTTAACGGTCGTAAGTCACCTCTGACGTGACAAAAGTATTTTGTCGCTACGTTGGTATGGCACGTGCGAGGAGACAAGATGTATCGCGTCAAAACTATCTAGTAAGAATTATGTATACAAAGCTAGCGTCCGATAAGGGTTAAGTACGACGGTGCAAAGTCTAAAAAAAAATTCTTCATTCTCCTATTTTTCATTATAGTCCACCAAATCAGTCAATGCGTTATACTCGAGTTCAGTGTATTTAAGTTAGTTGTTCCTTGCCTCTTAACACGTTGAACGCCACAGTGAAATTGGACATTACTCTAATTACTAAGAGTAATTATAATAGTAATAATTAGTTTTCAAATTTCTAGCTTTCTATTTGCCATTTCATATTATTTGTACCCTAGCAATATTACTTAAAATAATGTGTTTCTATCGTTTTCTTTTAATTATTCAGGCGTGTGTAAATTGTGGAACCGGTCACCGGTGACCTCCATGGCGTTCAACGTGTTAACCCCAAATTGGTAGTAAATGATCTTAACTCAGTGATCCACTAAATCCATAAATATACAAAAGTGTACCGCGCGTTACAATAGACCGTTGACCATAAGAAACTCACCATTGGTTGTTGTCATAACTTCGAACTTTAGTTATTTATGATATAAGCACTCAAGTGCTCAAGTACTATCCTTCAACTTGAGACTCCGTTAAATAAGGATCTCCGTTTGCGCCAGTTGATGCTGTAACAAAGAGGAGTAATTTTTTTTGAAAAATTATGTCAGTGTTCCTGGAACAGGTGTCTATTCGTGGAACTTCTTTTTTTTCGCGCGGTGCAGAATGAACAAAACGTATACGTGAATGAAAAGGAACAGGTGATGATCACGTTGCCAGGCGTGGAACCAAGCGGCGCGCGTAGGGAAAGAATACTAATGAGGTTAAATAATGAAAGAAGATACGGTCAAAAGAGACGTCAAATAGGTAGTTCGACACTGAACATATGATTACGGGTGACCGTGCACTTGAATTACACAGTCGGCACAATAAAATTGTTGGCGAGTCAAGTGGCGAAATTACAGTGAACTACGTGGATGGACTAATCTATGCAAGTTCCTATTCAAGTTTTCGATCGAGCATAGATGAATGAACAGCCCGGCAACGAGATAATTGATGGCCATCCATGCGACCAGCTACTAATTAAATCATTATTCTATCCTTTAGACAATGCGCTCGGCTAGCTCATCTTTCTTGTTAGAGATATTTCGTTACACCTCGAAACGGTACATGGAGGAAAGAATGACTTATAATTGATTAGAAAAGCGTAAACAAAAAAATATCGGGTATTGTATGAAGATTTTTTTTTTTTTTAATCTAATGCTTCAGTTTGCTAATTCCGAGTGGTTTTCTCAGGGCCGGCCCTGAGATTCAGGGGGTCCGAGGCGAGCTCCGAAAAAGGGCTCCTTCGCATATACGACATAAAAAAAAGTAGCTCAAATAAAATTTATAAAATTAACATTGAAGCTTGTATAACTAATTTAAATTTGCATTTACATCGATTAATATTCAAGTTGTCTTATGGGGGCCCAGGGCCGGCCCTGAGTCTTCTTTCCTTAGTTTCTAATTTTTCGACCAAATTTATAACATAGGTGAGCTTAGTGAATAAAAAGACTGATGGTATCTGTACTTTGAAAATATTACCTTCGGCACACTAGTGACATTCAATCTTTCCTTATTTTTCGTAGAATATCATCGACCTTGTACAATTTCTTTACGCGAATGTAAATCGTTAGATCGTTCAATGACGAGGTAAACGTGTTTATAATTCACACCTGGAATAATGCTTAGAAAGTGTTCTGCAATAAATACCACATTTTACACGGTTGAGCTAGATAAAATAAATCACTTGAACATACTGGTTAATTTATCAGGAACAAAATTGTTATAACATAATTTAAAGACTGGGGATGAGTTTTATTTTATTATTTGTACATACATACTTTTATCTATTGAATATTTTAAAAAGAGTCATTTTTAATTAAAAATTGTAGAGCCCCCCTATCGAACAATTATAGTTGCGCCACTGACCCAGCTTGTGTATCTCAAGTACTCGTTCAAGGTACATTTAAATCAGAGATCAAATTGTAATAGAAAAGTTATAAACTTCCTTTTTACCATCGATATTTGATTTTAGTGCGAACCGGTTGAATAATGAAATAAAACAAGAACGAAATTCACGTGTGTGCGAACCGATCAGTTATTTCAAGATAATTAGGTTAATTTATTACCTGCCTCGTGTTTGAGCGGGAAAAGTAGCATTCATTGTGTGATTAAACAAAAATTTAATTCAATGACATATTTCCGCGACGAAATTGTAAAACAAATTGTTTCACCTTTTCCTTCTACTAATACTACATCAAGCCTTAGAAATTATACAGATATGAAATGTGTACAAACGTAGATATGCAGTGTAAATGCGCAAGCAACGTGTATGGAAATGCGACATACTTCTGAAATGTTTTGATAAGATATTAAAAAAAAAAAATGTTGCGTTGAGGTGAAATTTAGGTTGGAATAGCAGTTAGACGCGAAGAGGAAATTCTTGAACTTCTTTGCATGAATTTACCTATATGTATGTCAATTAGAAATACTAATTGCATCGAGTATAATTAGCTGATTATACGATAAGATTTTTTATAATTCTGTTATTATGAGAAAAGAAGATGAGTAAGCCTTTTTCGTTTAATAAGTGTCAAGGACTACGAACACGCTTCTCGTGTTCTCCATCCGAACTGCCAACAAGTGTTCTTACTTTGTTCTTTTCTTTTATCCTGCGTTTCAATGTTCTTATGAAATTAAAGAGCTTCTGTGAACTGCGACTGTACGCTTCAATTTGTAGAAACTTGTAGAAAAGCTACACTCCCCTTCGATTTCGTAAAATTCATCATTTTAAGCAACTTGTTTCCTTTAAGTTGTATGTCGGATTCGATTAATTTGCGAGATATTCGCGAAAAACTATGAGTACTATCGCATTGAATTTCGAAGTTAGGAGTATAAATTTACTAATAACGTTTTAACCTTATAGCCTTTCGACTGGTCCCATTACTTAAAGGGTTAGAAAAAATGAGATAAAAAAGAAAGTTTTTTGACGAAAGTTGCCCTATCGACATTTTATAATCCTTGACTTACTCATCTTCGTTATTTCATAAATATCATTAATCAATGTTCATATATTGCTTTTACTTCTTGTTATGCGAAACCGGTATCGGTTTCGCACAATTTCCATTTTATTGTGAAATGTGTGTCATGATACCTCCTAGAGTATGCTGTGTATGGTGTCATTAGAAATGCAACCCGTGCCTCTACATATATACTTTTAGGTAGACACCATTGCGTAACGTGACACCAGTAACTTTGGATTGATTGTAACTCGTTCTTTCGCAAAGTGATTTATAAAAAAATAGAAAAAAAAATGAAAGGAATAGGACAGTTCTGGTGGGGAGTACGGTGCACCAAAAACAACATTTTTTTCATTGTACTAATTTAAGCCGGTTTAAACTACTTTCACTGATGGCGGTAGTTTCGTTTTCCTTTTTGCAGGTGACTAGAATAAATCACTGTACCGTTCGAAAAAATTGCGAACAATCGAATTTCGATTTGCCGATATCGTTTCGAATCGATTAGAACACGTGACAAACGAAGGTCGTTGGAAAAGTTGAAATTCTATAAAATGAGAACAACAGATCGATCAAAGAATTCTTATTACGAGTAAAGGAATTCTTATCTTGTGCTTCCTTTAAAAAAAAAAGAACTATTGCGAGATCATGAAAAACGCATTCCATCCATACCACTATAAATGACTAGGGTTGCTCAGAAGAAACACAGTTTATTACATGTTCAATAGTTATATCTCAACCTTCATTGATAGAAAATATTTCAAGTACCTCGATCGACAGGAGTGCTATTTTTATTTCGATAAAAATTATAACTTACTCGAACCTTTAATAGCGCTTTCCTTGATCCGATCCCTTCAATTTCGAGGGGACGTAATCCAAGACGCACACACGAATCTGTGCATTCCCAGTGGACCTTTATCCTTTCAATTTTCGTCGTTACTAATCCCTCACAGATCGCGTAAGATTTCACAGACAATATTGTCCTATGTTCCAGATTATCATGGAAAATTGTAATCGGTCACACGGCGCGACCGGAAGTTACCGACTCAAGGTAAGAAATTAAAAGCGCTCGAGCGTGTCACCGGAAGCGTGGAAAAAAATCTGAGAGATTGAAATAAAAAAAATCAACTGCCCGACTGTCACGATAGGTGTTCGTGTTACAGGAAGTGTCACAAGGCCGACAGCTGCAAAAGGACCGATGACAAAACTTGAAGATTACGTTTCCGGCGGGGACGGTTTCGGAATATCGAACGATCGAATTTGTATGTAATATTTTTTTTTTTTTTAGTACTCGTTGAAAGTTACCCTATCATTTCAACAGTTACACCATTCGCGTGTTTCGCGCCGTACGCCCGGCTGTACTGTACTATTCTGTAACGTTCCTGAACTCTGTTGCACGAATTTATCCCCTCTCTGTACCCCCTATCGGCAATCGCTCACTTTTCCCGCGGCACAGCTTACCGATAGATCGCACGCCGATATTTACCTTCTTTTTCCACAACAAGCCGCGATTTACGTCAAACCGATGAACTAATTCTCCGTAAAGGACATGAGCTTATCGAAAACGGTTTCGAGAACGTTCGCATTCTTTTTACAGTGTATCGGTTTACGTTCAACGTCATTCATTTGGTATCATTCATTCAATTAATTCGCGATTAAGATTGACCATGTATTTATACCGTGCAAGTACATATGTACTAAAAAATACTTACGTACTTCGGTAATTAACTGATCTACGATGAGAAGACGAGATTGAGTATAATGGTAAGATACACAAGATAGAGTCTCAGTTATTCGAATTTTTAACATTCGTTTTGAAACATTCCAGGTAAAAAATGAGTTATGGTAGTTACTGGAAATTACATGTACCCGCAATGCATTGACAAGCACTCGGGCGCCTATTAGCGTCCACGCGTGTTAATGAAGATTTCGCGTAGTGGTTCACGTGCGGTGCGATCACTTCACGTTTTCTTCAAAATACGTAACCGATTCGACACGCAACGAAACTTGACCGTGTTATTTGTAACGAATTAATTGATTAATTGTTTATTTTAAAATATTGTGAGTATATACTTACGTTTTATGTTATTCCAATATTCTGGGAATCTGGTATGTTTATGGATTATATTATATAGATTCTCTGAATAGGACAGTGGCGCACGGGTTAAATTCTAATTTACGCGATAATACTCAAGTTTATCGTATGACATTTTTTTCTTTCGTTTCAACTTAAAAACATCCGAAAAACCGACGTATTTTTTGCTAAATCTTCCGAATATTACGAAATGGTAAATTATTTGGTAACATACATCTAATACTTGCAAATGAGATGCGTTAAAATATCATAATAATATAACTATAATTAATGCGAATGATCGTTCAAAGGATTTGAGTAAACGTAGTCTAGACAAGGAAAAACAACTTGATTTGTTAAGGCTATGGTATTGTTTGTTTTCAGTTAAATGATTTACGGGTTTTTTAAAAAATTTATTTTGCACATTATACGTTATTGTACAATGGTAGATATATTGAAATATAGAAAGTATATAGTCTCAGATATTTGTCCATCGACGATATTTGCGATAAACGAATACGTGTGAAAATATATCACAAAAATCTATGATAAGCTTGTTTATTTGACTCGTCGGAAACTAATAAAGAATTCCTGACACGATCCCTTATCTCGAGACACACAGTCTAACCTGTTCCATTACCGTTTTCCCTAATCTTAACGATCGTTGTTACTAATTTAGGAAACGATAAATCATAACATGTTTTATCGTAAACCTGTTACGTTACACAACGAAATCTAGATCAAATTAATCTATTAATTTTACGCTAACGACACGTGTACTTATGCGATTATTTATTTAAAAAAATATTCTTTTTCAACTTTGATTTCTTATTTACATGTACTATTTATCGCTTACTGCCATTTATAAGACGATTATTTAATTAATGCATTGCGCAACATATAGATAAAGGAAAACAGGACAGTTTATTTAACGAGTTCATGCGAACAGTTAAAATATATATTTAAACGAAAATTTTCTGCTTCGTTAAAACGTTAATAATACGTATAAACTTTATTATCAAAGGAAATTTTGTAAATTGAATGTTAAAATGTTAGTAACAAAATATCACGTAGTCAGAACATAATTATGATCAGATAATTTAAAGTTTAATTTACAAGTCGTATCGATTGATTTTATGAATTAGATGATGATATAAATGATTAGATACTTCTTCACCGAAGTTCAATACACGCTAGACAAGATTAAATTACGGAATCATTGTCTCGTAATTACTACTTTTACTATCGTTGTTTCTTTCTTTCTTTCTTTCTTATCGTCGTTCTATGTTTTTTTTTAGGAGGATCCTTCCAGATGACCAGTCTTGACCAGTCAATTTATCTGTTCTCACCTGAATCACCTGATGTGTCGTGTGATTTTATTGTAACACAGATGTCTGTCTCATGCCTGTAATGTGAGTAAATTGTACTTCATAATCGCACGATCGTCTACCTAGATGTACATCAGATAATCAGGGTACATCAAGGTTGATTCAATAGATTCGCATTGGCGTACATACGTGCACGTTGCATGGCCTGAGATCACACCAATATGGGTTCTGGATCATCGATGCTACGCTCCTGATCACGGAGGGCTGATATCCAGGTTAATGTCAGCAAAATTGAGATCATTGCTAACGCAAACCCTTGTCAAAACGCCCTCGAATCGTTGGCGAAATTTTCTGACTTTTCGAGTTTCACTTTTTTTTCTTTAAAAAATATTTTATACGACCTTGAGGGACATGGAAATAATCGTTGGACGTGTTGGTGTAACTTTAATAGTTTCTTGGATTATTCCACAGAATTAAAGTAATCACGTTGATGTACCTGATCATCCGATTAAAGTCATCGATTTCATTAGCATTTAGTTGCAGAGAAGGAAATTCTCTCATAAATACTATAATTTGTATAATGACTCTTGTCTGCAAAAAAACATAGCATATACAGGGTGTCCCAAAAAGAGTTAATTCTTTAAGGGAGTGGTAGGTGGAGTGATTCTAAACAACATTTTCCTTTGCGAAAATGTTGTTCGAAGCTTCGTTTTTGAATTATTAAGGAAAAACACTGGCCAATCAGAGCGCGCATAGCGCGCGGGCTCAGGGACGGCATGCCTCGACTACAAAAACTGGGCTTGACCTGAGTCTTGAACGAACACTTTCGGCACCCTACCGGTATAGCAGGTGACGTTGGAAAAATAAATTATTCAATTAGACTAGTTTCCTGAATAGTCTTAATTGATTCATCTACAATTAAGAAAAATGATAAAATAGCGTTTAATTAAATAAATAACGATTAATCTTAAACAAAATGTACATATTCGTTATTTTATTTATATTTCATACAAAAACCAAAATACATAATTCGTATATACAATTGTGTAAAACATTTTATAAACATATTGAGTCTTTCAAAATATTCAATTTTCTTAATTGCAATTACTAAAAATGGTGTCCATATCCAACTGAGATAACATTTCATCGTCGGAATCATTTTCAGTATTACCAAGTACATCATTAAAAGAAGATGAAGTTTCCGGCATCTTTTTTTCTATAAGCGTTTCGTCGTTTTGTTTTACATTTGATGCATTTTGAGAGTCCACGCTCGGAGGAGATAACTTCTCAGGACTTTTAAACTGCAATAACTTGGATCTTATGGAATCTCTACGGCTCTGTACACCTTCTGTTTTCTTACAAAAAGGTGAAGGAACTTCTTTTGCCACTGATTCTACTTTTTCTTGTGATGTATTTACATCACAGTCATCAATATGCATTTGTTCAGAAAATGAATCGCTTAATACCTTTTGTTTCACTTGTTTAGTTAATACTGCATCCATTTGTACATTCTTAGAATGAAATGGCAGACGTTTCTTTGGATTAATATTTGGAGAAAACCTCTTTAATGCTTTCAGTAAATTTTCAGCTCTCTCTTTGTCATCATTATGTGTGCTTTCTTTCTGTTTTTCTACAAATGGTTGTTTGCTGTTTTCATTCGCGTGTTTTTTTAATGTTGAATCGGTAAAATTCTTCTGATTTTGTGAATTTGTAATTTTAGCAGGGGGAATTGAAAAGGAAAGATCAATATCAAAATCCATTGATTCACTTACAGCTTCGACTGTTTTGTTTGTGTTAGGACTGTTGATTTTAATATCTTCTGTACTCTTCTTAGAACTTAATGAATCTTGAATGTTGCTGCTGTGTTTTAGTTTAAATTGGAAATCGGTCTTTGACGAGGGTGCTTTCGATAGTTTGGAGAAACCGTAATCTTTATTTTTTTTCTGTTCTTTTCCTGTTTCTTCCTTTGAAGCATTTTCTAGAACTGCTGCCATATGGCCTGTACGTTCTATCTCACCTTTATTAGTGTAAATTCCCAGTAAACTTGACGGTGAGATTAAGATCTGATATTTATTTGAAACGAAAGTACTAGAAATCTTTAATAAACCTACATCATGTAATAGTACAACAACATTTGGCTCTAATAAGCCAGGATATTTAAGCGGTATATCCCTATGAACAATTCCTTGAATATTGTCTGTAAAATCTCTTAAAACAATAGGAGGATTCTCGTGACTATGATCTATACGCTCAATTATTCCTGCCATAAATTTAACTTTTGTGCTGCTGCAACCCTTTGTACTTGCCATTTGTTTCACAATTGCAATTTCGTAGCCTTTCAAGAAATCTTGTGGCAAGTCATCTAACATTAACTGCCAAGCACCTTCTGTGAATAGGTTTTTTGTGTTTTGAGAACAATATTCAGGTAATTTGCTAGAATTATTTTCCTCATTTGTTTTCTCATTTTCTTCTAAACTATTCAAATATGAAACAGGAGGAATAGTATCTATATCATCTGGTAATAAACCAGCTGGTCCAGGAAATTTTCTAACTAATGTCATCTTCTTATTAGGTTGTACTTGATCCTTAGTTATTGATAATGTATTTTTGATAATATCATTTTTGGGTTTTAAATTATTCACAGATTCTGGCTTCATTATATTACACAGCAATTCCTTCCTTGAATTATTAATTGAATTTGACTTAGATTTTACATTGTTGAAACTATTTTCTCTCTGGCAGTTATTTTTAAGAGTCTGATGTTTTATTCCATTACTACTAGGCACTTTAAATCCCTGATTTACATTTATATCATTATTGTTTCTGATTTTTGGTTCAACTTTTGGTGGATTTACATGTGTTATGTTCTTTTGTACAATTTTATCTTGAATATTTTTGTTTTTTAATATACCAAGTACTAAATTCTTTCGAGATAATTTATTATCTTTATGATTTTGTATATCAGAATGTACATTTGATAAAGTATTATCACATGATTTTTTTGATTCGCATATAGTCTGAGAAACATTCTCATCCAATACATTTTTATTAAACATACTAAGAATCAAATGTTTCCTTGATTCTTTGTTCTTATCGGATTTTACTATCTCTTTACTGCTACCCTTTCTGTCATCCAAATCAACATTGTTGTCAGGTGAAAAAATAGGATCATTGCAAATTTCTATCTTCCGCCTTTTTGGTTCAGTTTCTTGATTATCTGATTGAGAATAAAATTCAACCGCTTTATCGTCTATATCGTTTAAGAAATCCTAAAAATATACATTAAGAAATGTTACCAATGGGTTATGTACAAAATACATTTCAAATTTACCTGATCAAGGTCCCAATCATCGGTCTCAAACATTTTTACAATATTAATTTTTTATTAATTATACTATTATTTTAAACAGTACATACGATATCCGCAAGATCATATTGTAAACAGACACAATTTATATCATTACGATTGTGTCAAATTACGATCTTTAACCATCAAATAAGAAAGATGGATACGTTAAAAAGTGCGAATTTAACAGACGCCATAACGATGGCGGGTATTTTGAATTCGAGCGCCGAAAAATCAAAAACGTGGGTAATAAAATCAACTTTACATCATGCGTAATATTTATTCATGAAATTTAAACACAGAGTATTAAATGTATTAAACAAATACAATAGTATGCTGCTTATAAATGAATTCTTCACTCTGAGTATAACATTCCTTTTGCCACTTTGTCTGCTGTATCTTTACCAACCAATTTTTCCACAATAGCTAGACCAAAAGCAAATGCGGTGGCTGGGCCTCGGCTGGTTATTAGATTACCTAAAATATAACACATATTATACCAATTTTGTATCTTTGAAAATAAATAAAATTTTTACTCTTAATTGATGTATACCATCAGTTACTACTTTGTCCTCCAAATATTTATATTCATTTTTCAATTCATCTTTCACAGAAGGATAGGATGTAAGTTGTTTTCCTTTAGCAATTCCATGTGCTTTTAGTGCAGTTGGTGCAGCACAAATAGCAGCAATAATTCTGTTTTCCTTTTCTTGTTGTTGCAATAGCTTTCCTACTTCTGCTGACTGTTAAACATAAAGATAATCTGTTATATGCTTTTTTTACAGGAGAGTTTGAATATACTTACCGTGGCAAAGGCTTTTGAACCACCAAGACCCCCAGGCAATATTACAACATCATATGTTTTATTAACTGCATCTTGTAATTTTGCATCAGCACAAATTTTAACATCCCTACTGCATTTGACGCATTCGCTATCAGTAATACTAGCAACAGTAACTTGAATCTAAGAACAATTTATAATATCATGTTCAAATTTATATAATGCATACATTTAATTTAAGGTTATATCTTTTAAAACAAGACTCACATCGCCTCTACGCAAGACGTCTGCAGTTATTACAGCTTCCATTTCCTCAGAGCCATCGGCTATTAACAAAATTGCCGTTTTCTTCGCCATATTTACAGTATATTTTACGTTTGGTTGTAAAACTGTAAGAACCTTACAAGCCGACTGCGCAAAATGTGGAAGCATGCGAAACAATATTGCCATAGATATACGTGTATGTATACTGATAAAACAAAAATTACGTCTGATGTTGGCTATTGATGTATGACATTATCGAATATATCACATGATTTAAGATAAACATCTATATATATTAAATGACTAATAACAAATTGATTCAAAGTATCAAATAAATACATAATTATATTAAAAACATGTACATTTATTTGCAAGCATTAATAAAATTTCTATAAAGTTGTGTACAAATACTGTATTGAATAAAATTGAATTTTCAAATTGCCACCAGAGAAGCATCGACGAAAAGAAACAGAGGAATGTATGGAATCGGAACGCACCCCCACAGAAGAAAAAGGAAACAAAACGCAGTACAAGATGGCTGCGTTTGGGTGTTGTGTCTACTAATTTGTGTAAGACAATTCTGTAATATTAGATGATTAATTCATAGTGAAATATTCAATTTTCTTCGTACAATCGTTAGTGTAATTAAATTTGTGTGTAATGCGTACACGCGGGAGCAAGTCGCGTTGGGAGGAACAATGCTAACACATCGTTGAAACATTTATCACGGGTGAGTTTGCCTTGAAATTTTATGGCTTTCCACTATATTTTAACGGCTCCACGGAATTCCGCCAAGGCGAGGTGTGCGACCAGACGAAAAATGAACTTTTCATTTAATAATCATTCATAGTATATCGGAACGATGCTGTAGATGATTTTTGCAGCTTGAAATTTTGTATGCATATATTTTCTTTTTACGTGTTCCGCGTACATGACGAAATTGTGTAAATAGCTGGTTTTTTTTCTGTATCTTCACATTGCACGTCGATGAGTCAATCAAAATTTTTACGATGTCCATCACTCCTTGGCATGCCTTAATTGCGTTACGATGATGATAAAGTCTTTCGATTTAAGTAAAAACTCATTTAATGCTATCTACCGCTTTCACCGTGACTCAAGACCACTTCAAGAAAGTTAAAATATGTATTTACCAATGTATTCATGATAGGTTATTATACGAATATTTAATTCGCTTCATAAATCGTACGATTTTTTTTTCTTAAGGCTAACGAAAGGTTTTTCAAATAATTATGCAAATTAGATGAAATTGACTTTCCAGGATTTGTTTACATGTGCTTTTGTTAATTTTATCTGTGTTATATAAATCTGTTCTGAATAAAATAGATTAATGTTTATAGTTTTCAAAATGCACATTTCATATTTATAGCGTGTTATTTTTATAGGATAATATTTTATAAAACTTGAAAATATGTTACATTTTTTTTTCTCATATAAAATGTATAAAATCATTTAGGAATATATAAAAGGTACACAAAGAAAGGTGCTTCAAAGAAAATATTTAATTAATGTTAATTGTTTTGTTTAATACTTTAATGGCATTAATAATTTTATTTTAAATATAAATGTTATTTTCGATAAGAAAAATTGTATGATTTAAAAAATGTAAACAGTAATACCATAATAACTGACATCATTATAACAAAAAGGGTCATTAAAAAAAAAAGGAAGCATGTTAGCAGTACTTTTTCTTAAAAAGGTTTAACAAATATACTGATAGAATAACTATATAGTTCAGGGGGTGGATGATAGGAATTTACTGAAAATCCAAGATAGAAGCCGCTTGAAACACTGGAGAAAGACGGTGGAGCTTCGGAGGAGGAGGAGATGTCTGCCGGCACCCAGGGCGAGATTCGGGTTGGCCCTTCGCACCAGGTTTGCCATATACCTTGAAAACCTTTTATGCTACTTAGCTATATCGCACAATGTACCTAACTCAAGGCTTGTTCTCCTAAAATATGTATTATGAGTGTATAGATTAAAAGAAAAATATGATCATTGAAGCACCAGGTAATTGTGACATCATCTTTTTCACAATACCTAATATATTCAATGGTAATTGCTTTCAATTTGTGTACTTATCTTTTCTTTTGAATGTAACTAAGGTTAAGGCAGTAAACTTTTCAAGTAATTTCTATGTTATCTTATATCGTTAGGTGTGTATATATTGTTCAAATGTTATTAAAGTACTTACAGTTTCAAACACTTTTTCATCATTGTTCAGTAATGTAGGTATACAGGAGCATTAATTTGATAGATTACAATTTTTATTTCCAATCAATCAAATCGTATGCTTTCCAAACTGTATGAATATAAGGATATACTTGAGTAGCATATATCATTATTTTACCATATTATTGAATCTAGTTATTTTGTTTTCAAAAATTGTTAAGAATATGCATGACATGTGTTTAGTTACAGGTATAGAGCACTAGAGATACCAGTGTTTTCTTAGTGCTTGAAGTTGATATTTACAATTTTTATTATGCAGTTAGAACTTTGATATCCATTTGCATTTATACACATTAACAGATAAACTTTAGTCTTAAACAATGAGAGTCACTAGTACCTACCTATTCCTCATACAGCTTTGTTGTATGTCGATGGTTCAAATAACAATGATAGTTATTTTTCAATAAAGTTATAATAATGGATAAGTCGTAATAATAATAATTTTTATTTACTTAACAGTACAAACCCAACACTCAAGTACTATCATCCCTCAGATCATTCCAATTGCTGGGAGACCCTAATTATGATGCAAGTTATTATGATGAAGCATCCTAATAATGATGTATAGGATAATATTACATAGCATAAGATATAGTTTTATATTTACAGTGGTTTTCAGTCACGGTGAAATGATAAGTTATACTACTTTATATAATAACCCATTGGTTACTTGAACCATCTATAAATATAAAATGTTGCAAGCGAAACATTGAAGTCAAAAAAAGAAAGGAAATTTATGGAGAAGCATTTATATTAAGTAAATAATCGATACATACTTTCACTTATCTACAAATTTCATTTCATTATCTTTTCCATAAGGTTCTTCTGTTTTCATGTTTGTACATATCGTGTTCCATTTGTTTGTGAAATTGTGTTTCTCATTTTCTCCATTCATGTTTTTTATCCATTCACCGAATGAAGACGATATCTCACGTGAATGTGCTTTTTGTTCGCGTGCATTTATTAACATTTAGCTTTGATTGTAAACAGATTTCGAATGTAATAACTCTAATTGTTCTCAATGTTATAATTCACAATGTTATTTAAAAGAAAGAAAAAAAAAAAAAAAACTTGTTCTCGTCTTCTCATGCTTATATTTATGATCATTAGTTTTTTACACAAAACATTAAGTACTCACGCTACTTCTTGTACCAGTAATATAACAAAATGGAACAGAATGGAAAAATAAAATAAACTGGCTCGTGTAGTTTCGAAAAAAGCAAGCCGGAGTTATAGGTGCGTACAACTAACTCGCTTTGGCATTGGTGCTAACCACGCACAATCCCGAATTTTGGGTACAGGAATTGGTTTCTTGTCAGGCCCGTTTGCCTGAGTATCGGCCGGGTATACCTCCTGGAGAGCTGCTTCCTGATCCAGAGTTTTCTAAAGAACGAGAAGAGCTAAGATGGATTCCAGCTATGGCATTGGACGGGGATCTTCTGATGTACTTGAGAGCAGCACGATCTATGGCTGCATTTGCTGGCATGTGTGATGGAGGATCCCCGGATGACGGTTGTGTGGCTGCTTCCCGTGACGACACGACTATCAATGCTCTGGACATCTTGCACGACTCTGGCTATGATCCAGGAAGAGCGTTGCAGGCGTTGGTTAAATGTCCCGTACCTAAAGGCATTGATAAAAAATGGTCCGAAGAGGAAACTGTAAGTAGCAACGATTAAACGAACAAAAAAGAAAAAGAAAAAGAAAAAAAAAAAACAAAACCGATTCAGTCTCTGAAACGCGCATGATTTCATAAGTTAAAAGGAACACAGAGACTTACGATTAATTGGCCGTCGATCTGCCCCCTGTAGAAACGCTTCGTCAAAGGACTTCGACAATTTGGAAAGAACTTTTCAAGGATTAGAAAGGATCTCTTGCCGCATAAAGACACGGTAAATTGTATTGATATTTAAACCTGCCGGTATGATTATCAGATTGAAGGAATAAAAGTATTTATATTGCCCATTTTTCTTTTTTCCTTTTTTTTAGCCGGAATTGGTGGAATTCTACTATTTGTGGAAGAAAACTCCAGGGGCGAATAATAATCGACCTCATCGAAGACGACGTCAGGGTTCCCTTAGAAGGATCCGCAACACGCGCAACTCCCGTGCCGGTACCCCGAAAGAGGAGGTGCCGACACCACCGAAGGATACACCGCCAGCTAGTGTTAATCAAAAGGAACCTATTTCAGAGCCGGAAACTGTACCTGTTGGAACGCCCGCTAGCAATAATCCTGGTGGGGAAATTAGTTCTGTGACAGAGGACGATAATTCGGAGGAGGATAGTGACTCTAGGGATACGAATACTAACGGGGCAACGCATTCGTGTCAGCATTGTTTCTCGACTAATTCGAAGGATTATCAGGTAGCCGGTAAGGATAGGTTATTGCTTTGTACGGAATGCAGAACACATTTGAAGAAAACCGGGGAACTTCCGCCTGCTCCACCGTATCTGTTCCGCCCTGTGCCCGCGGAATCACCAGATAGCCCAGGTAGAATGCGTACAAGAAACAAGGCCAAGGAGACGCCTAGACCAGCGAGACCTCGACGTACAGGTGGAACGGATACTCCTGATCAAGAGAAGCAACAGCAGCAACAGCAAACGCCGGACAAGAGCAAGAAGAAGTCTTCTAGCAAGCCGGAAACACCGAAGAAAGGTCAGAAACGACCACCGGCCGACGAGGTGGACGAGGACAAGGAGTCTCAGAAACGTAAACGTCCCGGCGAACGTCCTGAGAGTCCTTCGGAGTCGCTCACAACCGACAGTAACTCTCTGATGGATGAACCTGAGAGAGAAGGAGAAGGTGATACAAACGAGAATCAACCCACTCCAGTTACGGTGCCAACCGAGGAGCCAGTCAGTCCGGCTGTAACTACACCGGAGGAGCCTTCCGAACCAACGCCCGTATCTACTCCCGTACCACCGCCTATACAGGCATTACCCATATCTGTTCCTGTTATTCACACTTTAGAGAAGAAACCGTTGCTAGAGGAACCGGTAGAGACTAAGGATCAAATAGAAGATGTACCTTTAGCTATGAATCAACCTTTGAAGTTGGAACCCATGCCGATAGAACCAGCCATGTCCCCATCGAACGAAGATATGAAAGAGCCTGAACAGCAGTTGAACTTGACCACGTCGCAGTCGTTGAACATGAACGACATGAGTCAAAACATGCCTCGTAATTTGTCGCAAACGATTCAGAACAGTGGTATGTGCGCTTCTGCTGGCTCGCAAGGTATGCAGAATTCGCAGATCATGTCTCCTACGCACCAAGGACTGCCGCTGAACATGCAATACGCGTCGAATGTTCCTCCCGTTCAAAACGTACCGCAAAACTTGTCGCAGAGCATGCAAATGCCGCCGAACATGCCGCAGAATATGTCGAACGCGCAAAATATGGGACCAACGCAGAATCTTCGAGCTCACGGTGAAAATCTGTCGAATGCGCAAAATATGCCTCAAAGCATACCGGGACCACCGTTAAATCTGAATATCTCGCAAAGCATACCGACGAACATGGCACAGATGCCTCAGATGCCGAGTTCACCGCAACCCCTCGGCTTGACCGTGATGTCATCTGAGAACAGGATGTCCGAACGAATTTCGGACGATAGATTGCCCCCGGAACGAATGAGAGACGGCAGGATACCGGATAGAATATCAGAAAGAATGCCAGAGAGACCGGAGAACAATGAGCCTGATAGAAATGAACCGAATAATATGTTTCAACCGATTCAACCAAGCGGAATGTTGTCGATGGAGAAACCATCTTCCATGTACAATTTAGCCGGGACACCTCCGATGGAGCCGCAGAATTTGAAGATCAAGCAAGAGATCATACCGCCGGAACCGGATCCGCTGCAGAGTTTGAAGGAAGTGAAAGTACCTGGTTTCCAGTCCGGCTTCCCGGGTCCAAGTTTAGAGAATATTAAAAAGGATCCGGATAGTTCCAGCAAACCACCCACGCCGAGCAAACACTCGATGCAAAGTAGTCAGCCAGTTCCTCAGATACAGTCTGTGGCTGCATCTCCGACACCGACTCTTCCACCACCGCCCACGTCCATCCCTCAACCCGTGATGCATCCAGCTCAACAACCAAGCCCCCACATGGCTCACCCCTTCCATCCTCATCATCCCTTGATGCATCATTCGTTGTTCACTGCCATGCACCCGTATCATCCTCACGCTTACCCAGGTTACGCGCCCGTCGGAGGTTATCCTTCGTTCCCGCCGTATCCTTACGGTCCGGTACCCCACGCCATTCCTCCTCCATCTCCCCAGAGGAGTCAAGAAAGTACAACCATGATGACGGCGCATCATTCGAGTACCAGTTCCAGTGTGACGACCAGAGAAGAAGGGGAGAACCTGATCGCCACGCATCACCACTCCTCCACTATGCATCAGGCAACAGCGTTACACCATGATAAACTATTGACCATCTCGTCGCACAGTTCCCACAGTCACTCGTCGTCGCATAGTTCTCACAACACTCAACGCAAGCCATCGTTGGTGTCTGCAGCGTGTCTGACGTCCAGTAGTTCGGCTCACCACCATCACAGACCACCCCAGTCTCAGCCACCGGTCGTTCAAGAGCCGAAGATAGAACCCGACCTCGTAGAACAGGAGCAAGAGGAGCCGCCTAGTCCGCGAGGTCCGTCCCCTGAGCCGCGAATCGAGGACTCGGAGTGCCACAGATCACAGTCCGCCATTTTCCTGCGGCACTGGAACCGGGGTGAAAATAATTCTTGCACCAGGACGGATCTGATGTTCAAGCCAGTCCCTGATTCGAAGCTGGCCAGAAAACGGGAAGAGAGGTCGAGGAAACAGGCGGAGAGGGAAAGAGAGGAACGCGACAGAGCCGCGGCGCAACAAGCCAGGAAGATGACCACCCCGGAGAAGCAGCCGGAAGTCTGCAAGCCACCCAGTCGAGGACCCCTCGAACCCGTCGTGTCGCCGTACGACAGGTACGCCGCGAGACCAGGCTCGTACGCCGACACGCCCGCCTTGAGACAGTTGTCCGAATACGCTCGGCCCCACGCGGCGTTCTCGCCTGCCAGGCATCCAGCTCCTCCGGACCCAATGCTGCATTACATGTACAGCCCTGCCGCGCGTGAACGCTTGGAATTGGAGCAACTGGAACGCGAGAAGAGAGAAAGGGAGATCAGAGAATTGCGGGAGAGAGAGCTGAACGACCGGTTGAAGGAGGAACTTCTGAAAGGGACACCTAGACCGATGCCAGCACCGGTGGATCCGCATTGGTTGGAGATGCACCGTCGCTACGCCGCCGCAGGACTCGCGCCTGGACCATCAGGACCACCACAAGCTTTACACCAGTTCGGACTTTACGGAGCTCCGCCCGGTCCCAGTCAGTTGGAAAGGGAACGTTTAGAAAGACTAGGTAATGTTCACTCCTCAATTACCAGATTAATCGTTTCCCTAAATATGCGTATCTCTCTTCTCGCCTAGTGGACTGAACGCAAAAATTAACTATGATTCTGAATGAGTGATTTTAGGCTTTTGCGGTTCGGGTTGATACTGTTCGAACCTTTCCAAAAAACAAAAAAAACAAAAAACACACAAAAAAATCTGTCACTCCTTTCTCTCATTTTCGACTGTATTATTATTTTCTGTATCGTTCCAGCTGACTGTTATCTAATATCATCTATCAGAGGACATATGGGAGTTTCGAGCAGTAACTACTACTAGTTCATTATTCTAAGCCAGGCATGGGCAGAGCAAGTAGCAAGGCGGGCACGGACCACCTACGGCAGCCTATGGGCACAGCGGCGGGCACTCCTCATCCCCCTGTCTCTCGAAGTGGCACATCCGAGTTACATCTGATCCTCACAATCACATCCTTAGGCCTAGCGTTATATTGGTAGAGTAAATGGCACGGTAGCTAGCAGGATTAATTTATAATTCGCTATCGTACTGTTGCTAGTATACTTAACCACTTACTGTATCAATGTAAATTAAGTCCCTGCAATGCTATCCTCACCATCTAGCGATGGCCCGTAGTAGAATAAACATGAACCTGTAAATAAGCCAAACACATGGGCTGCCCGTACGGGCAAGTTCGTGCTCATCCCTGTACTGAGCGAATGGTTTTGCGAATTCGATCGAGTTTAGGATCTAAATCAGTGTTGTTCATTGTTTACAATTTCGTAGAAAGATCATTTTTTAATGTATTAATTAGATGTATATATTGAAACTATCCGTGTGGACAGCACTGATCTAGGGATAAAGCGAGACAGTAGTCGTTTCTGATTGTTAGCCGTCTTTGTTTCTTTGCTGAGATTGATCTGCTGAATGTTATTTTACGATTAGAGTACATATGGCTAACGATCGGAAACGTCAAACACCTGACAGAAGAGTGCCGCAAAAAAGTAAAGAAAAATTGATTGTCGAAAGAAATGAATATAGCTGGTTAACACGTTAAGAGTACGGATTAGAACAGTATGTTTGATCGAGGCGCTGTCGGGTTTAGGGATACCGACTGCAGCCGGCGGGGGGCCAGCGGGTGCAGGGGCTGGCCATCCCGTGGCGGCTCATCACCACGGCCAGCTGGACGAGCGACTGGCTCTAGCTGCTGACCCGATGGTCCGGTTGCAGATGGCTGGCATTTCGCCCGAATATCATGCTCACACTCATGCGCATACTCATGCGCATACGCACTTACACTTACATCCGGGACAGCAGCAGGCCCAGCAACAGGCTCAGCAACAGCAGGAAGCGGCTGCGGCTGCAGCTGGATTCCCCCTGCCTGGTAGGTCCTAACAATCAGGATGTTTGAGTACGCTCCATGCACGATGATCGATCCTTTCACCGACTAGCCAGAGTTGCAAATTTTTCAAAAATACCACACAGACATTGGTGTAACTAGGATTTCTATCTGGGGCTAAATCAGGTCCCCTGGTTTTACTAAAAATGTAAAGTGTCTAATTTTAACATAGTTTTGTATTGTATTGTATGTTTTGTATTTAGTTTCATCCAAATGTTTTTGTACTCACTTTAGTGATTTTGGTGGAGGGTCTATGCTGACCTTTACCTAGTTACACCAATGCGGATATGATACCTTGAAGTGTATCAGAACACTTGAACAATCTTGTCATTTGTGATATATGATAAAATGATAAGAATTTTTTTCTTTTGTATCATATTCTCAATGTTACGTGTAGAATGATCCGGACACGGTTGATAAGATCTCTTCAAGTGTCCTTTGATTTTACATGTTAATAGATTATGTTATTACGGATCTTTCTGTGTATATGATTTTAAGTTCAAACTATACTGTTTTTCGAAAAAAAGCGTAGAATTGTAAAAAGTGTATCGAAACGATATATGTTTGTAATGTTTCATAGTCTGTAATTTCGTACGTTCAATTAGGGTAATATCGAGTTTATAATCGGTAAAGCGGTCGATTGCGTGTAAAGCGTACTATGACGTGCTTTTTCATTTAATGAGTTTTCAACATCAGTCATTCTAACTAAATAGAGAAAGCGTTCTAATTGCCATCGAGAGCTGACATATTTTTTTTATTTATTTTTTTTTTTATTTTTTTTCGTTTTGTTTTCGAGTTAAAAGTGAAAAACGATGAGAACCAACGTATAAAGAAATGTTTCTCTGCGGCAAAAAATTTTTTTTGCATTTTTCTGTCGCTTCTCTCGCTATGCCATTATTAACTTGCAAACCAGAGCTTTACGATCATCGAGCGCAGCTTCTGGGGTGAAGGTACGATCTCTCAATAAAAGATTCCTATGAGTTTTCAATAGCGTGAATTACGTTTTAAGTAAAACAATGCAATTACGATTGTATGCGTGTACGTGCGTGGATGGGAAGAATACAATGTGATGTCTGTAATTAGTAGAAGAAGTACTTTCATATTATATTATTTCATATAATATGAACATTACAACGGTACCATTTTGTATGCTATCATTGTATCATTCTTGTGTAACGTATGATTCGTTATAGTCTATCCAAAATCACTTACCCACTCAAGGCTATCAAGAAAAAATTTACAATGTTATTACCAAGCTTCAAATTGATATGCCACAAGTGGTATTTTGCGGTACTTTTATGTCACCAAATCGTGTCAGACTTTATATTATTTATTGTAAGTAACAATCAGCCGTTTTATTTTTAAGAAACCTTTATGTAGTCGTTTTTGTTAAATTTTAAGCTTTTCAAATTACTGTTCTGCGATACATTTAACTAAGGAAATTCTAATAAGTGTATAAAAATTATTTATATATTGGAGATTGCCTTGAGTGATTAAGTTAATTGATTTAGGACAGGCTACAGGTTCAAGGAAATCGTTACAATAACTCAAAAGCAAAAGTCTGACACGCTTTAAATCATGCATGCCTGTCTCTATCCATCAATTTTCAATGCTTGATATGTAATTCTACTTTGCAATGTTACAATCGCGTGTACAATTTACTAACGTTTCCTTTGTATGTACAGCGGCAGCTGGTGCGAATTATCCACGACCTGGCTTGATGCCCCGTGATCCAGGACTGGCACTTCATCCCGCTGAACTTCTCGGAAGACCGTACGCCGACATGGCCGCTCATCACGAGCAATTACAACGTCATCTAATGATGGAACGCGAACGATTCCCTCCTCATCCATCGCTCGTCGCACACCACGAGGAATATCTAAGGTTCGTCCTTTGAAAATCAATAACAAAAGATAACTATGCATTACGTATGCTTGCATTAGACGACGACCGTATCCGACTAACAAAGGGTGTTTTTTAGACAACAGCGCGAGCGTGAGCTTAAAGTTCGCGCACTGGAAGAAGCTGCACGTGGATCACGCCCTTAAGTATCATTGTAATTTACATATACATATATACATATATATGTGAATGATTATCCTTCAGAAATTAGGGATCTCGTTCTAGAAAACCGTGTACTTGACGATGGGTCAACCACGGTGTTTTTTCAAAAAATTAAAATAACATGGTGCAAGGAGATAGAGGTAGAGAGAGGATCTGCTCGCAAAGATCACGTTCGACGACCATACGTTTAAGATGAGAAATTATTTTTACGCAGTTTCCCTTAGAGCTAAGTAATAATAATACGGGGTAATGGAAAGAACGTAAAGATTGTTACGGTATATGTAACATTTTAGTGTAAATAACACAACACAGGTTTTCAAGTAATAGTGCTACGTGAAATTGGGTGGTTCGTTTAGCACCATAGAAGGATTATAAAGTTTTTATATATAGATATATATATATATATATATATAGCGATCGCTTGACGTGTAAATTTGTTTGAAATCTCTCTCTATATATATATTATATATATAATAACGGATTCAGAATATATTACCATACGTTCAAACGTGGATTCGTTCCGTTTCATTCGATCTTTTTGTTCTTTTTGTTTTTCACGTCGGTGATAATGCCAAAGTGTTCAGAAGGAAAACGGTTCACCGCGTTCTCTCTTAGTCTTTTTCGTGATTACCCTGGAGAGTAGATCGTTCTCTCTTCTTTGTTTTACGTACTGGATATTTTAGGATCAAATGGACACGGAATTTGTCGTGTCCATTTTAATTTTTATCGCCGTTTAGAGAAGTGACTTTCAAACGTGTCTGTCTTTGTTTTTTGTTTTTTTCTTTTTTTTAAACTGTGTCCGAACCATTTTAGGGACAGTTTTCTTATTATTTCACAGACTTTCCGTGTTCTAGCGTATCTCTAAGGTGTAACTTAAGTTTTAAATATTATTGTAATTCTTTGTGTCGGACAATTTGTATATTTTCTATATATGTATCCTTTTAAGAATTTTACTCTGATGACCATTGAGCGTTTGATACATAGTTTGATCGAGCGGCTGACTAGTAATAAACACACACACACAGAAAAGAAATATTTAAAAAAAAGAGAGAAAACTTTGTAACAAAGTGACCAAAGTTAAAAAAAAAATTTATAGAAGAAACAAAACTGGCGTCATGTGAACGCATAATCTTCCATGGTCGTGCGCCCCGTAGATTTCACAGAAAATATATGCTGTATGGTGCAGGCGCTGAAAATGAATACGTAAATAATGTTTTTTCAACAAATAAGAGAGAGAGAGAGAGAGAGAAATGAGAATGCGTGAGAGAGAAGCAAATACTAAAGTAATCTTTATTCTGACGACCATTCGTACATGTAAATTTTCTGCTATATAATTAATTCAGTGTAATCTAGTTATTTAACTAAGTAAAGATATTTCATAGGAACGTCCCGTTTTTAATCGTATCGTTCTTGCTTTAGTTTTTCTCCATAGGAAGCGTTCCAATTAATTTAGAGCGTTAATTATGGTTTGTATCATGGGAAAGTGAATTATCGTTTTGTCTGCTTGCACTTACAAGGCTGTAACGTGGTTTTTCACTTACGTTATTATTAGAACAATTTATCTGTAAAGAAAATTATATTTGCATCGCTGTAACCAAATCTCAAGCAGACGTTTTCATTTCTTCAACATTTGTTACCAGAGAAATGGGAGGGGAAGAGAAAAGTATATCGAACATGGAAATTTTATGTAATCAAAAAAAAAAAAAAAAAAAAAAAAAAAAGGAAAAAAAAAGAAGCTGAATCATTGTATTTCTTATTACCAGTTTGTCTGTCACTGGACTTATTCTGGACAGAAATAAACGCCTGTCTTATAAAACTGATCTATCTTTTTAGTATCGTGTTATGGTAACTCGTATCCAAGCTGTAACATCAAACAAATTTGTAGAAAAAGACTGTTACGAATCAGCCAGAAACAACATGAAACTGGCCTAATTAGTTTTACACATGGAATTTGTTTTCCTCGCTCTTCCTACCGGTTGCTGGTTTGTTTTTATTGACCGTAATGTGAAACCCAGCCACCGACCACTTTACGTGGGAGTCATCACATCCATTCACGTTTGTGTGTTTCTGTGTAGGAAGTGCAAGTGTCGGGTTCGTTCTTCAGAAACTATTTGTCAAGAACGCTCAAACTAATACCGAATATTTTCAAGAAAGAAAAAGATAAACAGAATTCTACAGAGTACCTGGTAGATTTTCCCAAAAGAATGTCTTTTCAGTCTCTCTGTACGAAGAAGGTGCATTGTTATATTTCAAGGAATTTTAAGTTCTATAAAATTTCTTAAAAGGGACAATTCACCTTCTTCCCCTGTAGTCTCTACACGTTATCAAAGGTCTGTTAATAGGTACACGAATGCTTTTATTTCAACTCGGTAAATCATTATAATTCTATCATCATTCTTAAATCTATTTGTTTCTCTGTAATCTAGTTTCTATGCATGAAGAAACATTTATCCCATAAGAGACAAAACGACTAACTGCATGTTTCTTTTAATTTTCAGATTTCATCCAACCGCATCAAATCATTTTATTTTCTGTTTTCTATTTTTATTGAATCTCTGGTTGTATCTATTTACTAACATATTCTCTTTTTACCAGCAAAGCATCATGCAAGTGGTTCATTCGCCCCTAATCGGATACACGTGCATTTCACATGTGTATTTAAACGCGAGGGCGGGGTAGGATGGGAGGGGTGGGGACTAGGGGTGCCTCGTCGGGAGAGAATTTCTGGAGGAAACGAAGGAAGCCGCAGCACTTAGTCATTCATAAATAAGCAACCGGTCAAGTCGGACGTCTCTTTCAAGTTTGCGTAGTCGTTTAGCGATTTAACTGATAGCGGCGTGGTTGCGGCATGGCAGCACGAAAGAAAGAGGAATCATCAAAACAACGTTATCAAGCGAACGCACGTGAAAGGGACCGCACTCATAGGTGAAAATAATTTCTTTTTTTCATCAATCATTATCTTTTTTTATTTCGTATTATTGTAATGGACATTCGTATGAATAACAATTTTACTTATTCAGGATTAATTATTGTATTGCGTGTATATTTTTAAGCATTCTGTTAATCGTTTAAAATACAAATAACGAAGGACAATTGTAAAGTCATCGTTCTTTTTGCTGTTAAATTAATCAAATGTACCGTAAAAGCGTTGTTTAACACGAGAATCGGTGTACGATATTGTCAGTATTCAAAATTTGTCAAGATTCCAGAAATTTTGATCTTCCTGTACAGTGTGAACACGGCTTTCAGTGCACTGAGGACGTTGATACCGACGGAACCCGCGGATAGAAAATTGTCGAAAATTGAAACATTGAGATTAGCCAGCAGTTATATTAGTCATTTGGGTGCTGTACTCGTCGCCGGTCCCGTAGATCAACCATGTTTACGCGTCGAGGATCCCGCTAATGTTTATGGGAAAAATCATTGGGCCGATTCGCAAGCAAGGCCGCAAGTTTGCACTTTTTGTCTTGCCATGCACAAAAAATATGTAAGTTCATGAATCATTACAGAGGACATGAATTACATTCGTATCAGTTCTAATCGAAACAAAAAACAAAATTTCTCCTATAATTCTAGTTCCTTAGGTTGTTTTAATTTATTTCTGTTGTATGCTATCAGAGATACTTAATGTTCTTTCTTTTTAACTTTCAGAGCTTGAATATTTATCCCGAGGTAATTTCAAATTACTACTAGAGTTGTGAGAGAGAGTGATTTTTCAACGACGTACTTCGATTATAAGGAACCTGTATAAATCATGTTATATAAGTAAATTAATTTATTGTATATTTCTTGTATATACACGTGCCAATGAGATTAATAAATTTTTATATTAACTTGATTCATTTATCGTATTCGTTGCGCAACGCGTAACTATGTTATTAAATAAATATTTCATTTTATTATAATATTGATTTTCAGGAAGATCGAGTGAAATTTTTTGGTTCAGACACGTTTACGAGTGTCATTTGTTTCATCGGTAACATTTGAACGTTGAACGTCGTAAAACAGCAAGGACAACTGGATTCAAAATTAACATTATTACACTTCATCGAGTGCATCGTGTTTGAAAATAAACATTTCTTTTAAATCGTAAATTTATTATATTAATTATACAACATATTTAATAGACCAGATTGTGTATGAAAAATAAATACATTGTATCATTGATAAAGTTACAGATGTCAGGGTGACGAGAGTAGTACGGCGGCGAATGTTTCAGTCTTTCGAAGTCAACAATGCTGTGAGGAAGCATTTTCGTTTTTCTCTCCGTTTCTCGTTTATCGTTTCAATTTCAGTGTTTTTGTATTCGATTATTAATTGCGTGCTAGTCGATAGGTAATCATGTCTCTTGCCGTGAAGCAATTCCTCGAATGTTTCCTTACCCAGAATTAGGTAAGTTCAGTAAATAAAAAATATTTCCATCAAACGTGGAGCCATAGTAACCGCGACTAGTCACCGCCATTGCTATAAAATTAAATTCACGCAAGAGTTGGAGCATTGAAAGAAAAAGTGAGCTTTTGTATATAAAAATGTATTAACGATCACGATATATAATTATCTATTAGCAGATATTTATATCATTTTATGTATTTCAAATAAATTTTGGAGAATAACAAATTTTTTTATCGCTATTCGGATATTGTTAAATTCTAATATTGATAATTTATACCAATAAAATTGAATTATCAATATTCATGACGCGTTACGTATTATATTATCTCGTAAAAGAAGCCGTCAATAATGATTTTTCCTCTTGAAAAACGTTCACATGTACTTAATCTATGAGTTGGAAGGCCTAAATACAAGATTGACGGAATGAAAATTTAAAATCAGGGAAATTAGCGCCCTGTACGGCGCGTACGACCGCCATCTTGTAAAAGTGTCTGTAGTGTTTGGAGGTTTGGCAAGAAGGAACAGCAGCTTCGCCGGAGGCTGGAAGTCCTTTTGAAGTGGTTGCAACGGTCCTTGGCAGTCCCTGGGCACCCAGGTGACCTCGTGCGAGGCCAGGGTACCTTCAAGCTGCTAGGACAACCCTATAGCGAGGAAACTCATTTACACGCCCGACTCTCGTGAAGATGGTGAGCATTTTGAACGAATTTTTCATCTAACCCTTTGAAAAATTCGTTTTTCAATTCGCCAATTATGTTTCTCTGATTGATACGATGTTTCGTACAAAAGATATCAAACATACGAGACTGCTGTACCAGTGAAACATTTATTATTATTTCAGTGTTATCGATGTCTGAAAATTTCGGCTACGAAACGAACCGAGCTCTCTTGTTTGTCAATATTTTTATGTAGCGCTCGACTTAAAGCGATCGCTTGACGACTTTGCTGCGTATCGTTGACACGCTTTTCATCCTCGTTCCTGTCATTTACGTACGTTGACAACGAACTTGAATTTACGTTTATTTATCATCCGAGTAAAAAATGAACGCGTAAAGTGCAGACCAGCAAACGAGTTGTTTTTGTTTGGGTACAAGCTTCCTGATTACTGACAGTCTGATATGTTTCGTATCGATACTCGGCTGACACGCACTTGTGACATTAAAACTATGATTTCTTTGGTTATTTCGTGTTTACATAAATACTTACAATGAATTGTCGAAATATACGTAGATTATGAAATACCAAGATGTGTCCATTAATTTTTCATTATATCCACGCAATTATTTAGTAATTTTATAGCAAAATACTTTCTTTTGTCTACCAGTATTGTTATTATTTTTAATCATGTTAATTTGTTAATAACTATTTATTAATTACAGAGTATTATAACGTACGAATATCTACAATGAAATAAGTTTCATTTATATCAAATTGTCCTCGTGTTATAATAAATTGTTTCATCGCTATATTATTGTATTTTTGTATTGTACATAGATATTAGCTGCGTTGTTTTAATATTAGTTATGCTATTTAGAGTTCAGCATCAACGGGTGGAACTGAGGGGTCTAGTCCAGCCTCTAGCCCTGCCTCAGCTACAAGTCTGACCATGGCTGCTCCAAAGTATGGTACATTAGTACCGAATCGCATCTTTGTAGGCGGTATTTCAGCTAATACCAGCGTAGAAGAACTTGCTCAACTATTTTCCTCTTATGGCAATGTGAAGGCTACAAAAATTATTTCTGATCGAGCAGGTGTCTCTAAAGGTTACGGATTTGTTACGTTTGAAACAGAAGAAGAAGCCAAAAGACTTCAACAAGAGGTTTGTAATATTATCCGTTGAAGAATGTTTCATAATTGCATATAAAATGAATTCATGTTAGTAATTAAACATTATTTTGGTTGTAGTCTGAATGCATTGTGTTAAGGGAAAGAAAATTAAACATAGCACCTGCAATTAAAAAACAACCTTTTAATAGATCTTTCGACGGTGGTTCTGGATCACCACCTTCTGTGCCTACTAGTAATTACTACTATGCAAATGGTTAGTATAATTGTTTGGTAATTTTATAAATTTAATTCATTATCATGGGAATAGAAATTTTATATTTTTGTTTGTTACTTAGGTATGGGTCTTACATACCAAAATGGAATGACATTTTACAACACACAAGCTCCTACACCGACAACGCCAATTGCGCCACCAACTGATCCAACTATTTATCAAGCTACAGGAGTGTTTGGTAAATTTTTGAAAATAATTTAATCATTTCTCGATAGAATCGAATTATCCCCGGTAATGAAAGAATTTAACTTGAACGATTAGGACCACAAGCTGCTGGTCATCAAACTTTTGCGCCTGTGATGTATCAGTGTCCTGCTCCATCTCTCTACATGCCACAGCAATATCATCAATACTCACCTATGCCGGTAGGTAACATAAGAAAGAAAAAATTGTGCTAACCTTCTTCTCAGAGACTCTCCTTTTTATCTTGGGTCCCACATACATCCTCTACAATATGAATTGTTTACGGGTATAGCTTATATTTATATTAAACGGTAAATCGGTTGCGGTTTGACAGACAAATGGTTTGATGGGAGAAGCCATACCACCGGCGTTTCTGCCCAACCCTCAGCAAATGCCTACTTACGTCCTTCTCGACGCTATACAGTATTGAGGTCTAAAGGTACATGGTCTATGCTAAATGACTAGCATGCAGCGCATTATCTTTGTGCATTTTCTTTATCAAACTTTTGCATGGCCTACCAATGCATGCACATTTGTCTTTCATAATTCATGATTTATATTAATAATTTTGTCACATTAGTATTATATACGAATAAGTGAAGACTTCCCTTTTTTTTTTTTTTTTTTCCATTTAGTTATCAAATACGCACTTCTTATGCTTATCACGTTTTAAAAAAATGAAAACAATTTTAATACAGTACAAAGCGTTGCAAATATATTTTCACAGAGTGTATCACGATATAACGTTTCTAATGACCTCATATTATATTACTTTTAGAAACATATGCATTTATGTATCTTTCGACTTCTCGTTTCATGTTATTGTCTTACATCACGATTTCTGTTTCAATAGAAAACGAAACATGTGTCATATATGTACATTTGTGTGATATGTTGTACTTCTCCTTGTTCCAAATGGTTCCAAATTTTTTTTTCTAAAACACGTGCTCGATGTTATAAGCGTACGCGAAAGAATTAAACTCACGTTAAGGTAAAGTATGCGATACTTGATCGTCCTTTAAACTCTCGTACGACATAAAAAGAAAAAAAATATTCTGGTTTCATATACATTGACCTCTTGTTACTTCGGAACGAGATTGATAGATGATACTATGAGATATAGATATCACTCTTAAACGATGCAAGTAATTAATAATTGAATTATTATTTCTGTGCAGTACGACACGTATTATCCGGGAGCAGCAGTCGCCGCCGGAGCTTCTCCGTATTTGCTTGCTACCAGTAACTCGCAAAGCAATACCAGCGGCGGTAACAACAATTCAGGAAGCGGTAACAACGGTACAGGGGCAACTAGTCCGCCAACAGGTCCACCGCCGCCGCTTCAGTCTTTGCCTCCGCCTCCATCGACGCATTTCTATACACCTACAGCTCCGCCACCGCATCATCATCCACCGGTGCCTGCAGGTCCTCCTCCGCAGATGGATCCCATTTACTATCCTTATCCAGCTGGACCTCACCCACCGCCACCGCCGCACGCACCTATGAGTTTGACCGATCAACAGTTATTGGCTTACGCGGACACTCAGTGCCAACAGACGTCCTCGTCCGATGGTCCGGCCGCTCCGCAAGAGGTAAGTCGATTAATTAATTAACATTCATCTTCGCTGCTGAAAACGTATCGTTCGATCAAAGTACAGATCCAAAGAGAATTTAAATGCTTGATCGCTTGGAAATATCGTAAACGCTAACTCTGAAACACAAGTTGTTAACTAACGATAATAGTACATTCATTTTAACAACAACAACAACACCCACGCACAGTTGGAAGGAAAGACACTACCATCTGTTGAAATAAATCGTAGGATTCTCGTTCAACATCGAGCCACTCGGAGCAACCACATGGTGAAACACAGGCTGCTTCAGGCTCAGCCACACCCCTGGTGTCCTTAATGCCCGTGAAATTTCCTATGTCTGGTCGTTACACGAATTATCATCCGATTGCGATACACACAGCTAACTTGTACAGTTCCCAAACATGCTTGAACGAAACGGACGATTGCGGTGGCAACCAAATGCATTGTAGGGCGATCGTGTATCATCCGGCAGCCGTATACATTCCTCACGCTCATACACCCACGTTTCACAATGCTTCCGGTGGTAGCAGCCTGTTGCCGACACCGGCTACGGTATCCCAACAGATATTCGATTCGGCCAACAAGTCACAATGCTTCGGTTCCAGAGATTACACGAAATCCGGATCGATGAACGGTCAACACAATTATACAAAGTCCCAGAACCATGGGCTCGCGTTGTCGTCGCATCAGGGACCGTTCGTTAGAGCTCAAAACATAGGGAACGCTCAGTCTTACAAGCACACTAACATAGACGGGAATTACAAGTACTCGACACAGATGACCTCGCGATTCTCCATGCAATACAACAAAAAAACACCAGCTGCTGGTTCGAACGTGGGCTCCCCGGCTTGCTATCTAGCACAAAAGTCTGACAATTACAGTACAGCTCAAGGCGGTCAGAAATCCGGTACTTACGCGTTGAACGCGACCGGTCAATCGTACAGCTGTTCGGGCACCCAGAAGATGTTCAATCCGAGTCAAAGTTTCGATTACGCGAACGCTGCACGTAGAAATAACAGTAGGAGTAACGTCGACGGTTATTTGCGTAAACACGGGACGAACAGTTACAGGAACAACGGTTCCGTTGGTCATACCGAGGGTAATGGTTCGAGCAATCAATCGTCGAACGATAATCAGACGAGCAACGTAGACGGTGATAGTAACAGTTCACAGAGTGTACAGGTAACGGAGAGCAGTAATACGGAGAAGCCGGTGAGCCCACCGCCAGCACCATATTCACCCATGACACGACCGCTTCCAACTTTGTCACCGCCCAACTCCCAGGTCCAGTTCTATGCTCCGGCTCAAAATCGCTACCAGCCATCCTTAGCCCCGTCTCAACATCAGCAACAGTCGAGCAACACCAGCCAACGTCGTTACACCATCCCACCACCTTTGTCCAACGCCAGAAAACCGTCAACGGAGAAGTACACAGGCAGCTCTGGCACCCAGACAGCGATGCTTAGACAGAGCAAATACAAGGTGAACGGGATCATGCAGACTGGTAACAAGGTGGCCGACGATAGTCTAGGAGGTGCCGGTGACGCTCCACCGGGTGTTGGCAGGATGCCTATCACTCCTCCAGGAACACCCCGTACTCATTCGGCTCATCCTGCCGGGGATCAGAATCAGCTGAGCGACACGTGCCATCAGATGCAAGCTCTCAGCCTTTGAACTCGATCCTCGAATTCATTTTCTTTCTTTCTTTCTTTTCTTTCTTTTTTCTTTTTTTTTTTTTTTTTTCAAATTCCCTTCCTTCGGTTCTATCTGTGTACGCGCATGTACACGGCGTAGCTAGTAGATAAGATACGAATCTTCGATTCCGAGGCTGGTATGATGTAACGTCGATTCACGGACGATCTGCATATTTGATTGAAACTACATTAAACACACATGTTACACGTACCCATATATGTATATATATATATATATATATACATACATACATACACACACACGAATAATGAACGAATAGGATTCTTTTTCTCTTGTGATCTCAATTCCAAATCGAATAGAAAGAAGGAAAAATAATGAGAACAAAAAAGCAACTAGACAAAAAAATCGATATTATATTTAAAATGAAAACTCTTCGGTAAATTATCAAACGTACTAAATTGTTAAGCATTTATAAAAGAATTATATTATATTATATATTATATATATACATATATATATATAAGATAAAGTACGATATTTAAAGATTATTATATTAGTTATTGAGAAAGAATGATATACACGATTAATATATATGTATATACAATATTATATATATATATATATATATATACATATTATATAAATCTACTTGTTTATACGTGTCTACACGTATACTTAAGTATATTATGTATATGTATATATGTATATCGAAAAGGACAGATATAAAATTAGTGGTAAAAAAGAAAGAAATTCAAAGTCAGTTATGTTATTGTCTCTTAATAAGATTCGAATGTTAAAGAAAATGAACAACAAGAAAAAAATAACGAACGAAGTTATATAGATATTTAATAGATACACACAGATACGCTACATTATTTAACATCTGTATGTTTAATATATGCAGTATTTGACGTTATGCGCGATAGGCTCGACAAACCATTGAATCTCACGAGCAAGGCTAGAGTAGGATAGACGGATATATAAGAAGAAGAAGAAGAAAAAAAAAAAATGAAAAGACGATAGAACAGAAGAAAACGAGAAAAAGAAGCAACAAATAACGTTATTATCGTACAAAGAGACGAGCGATTTGTTATGTGTTCAAAAAGAAGAAGAAAAAAAAAAATGATGAAACGAAAGGGGTAATAGGGAGGCAGAAATAGAAGTTGATTTCATAAAAAAGAGAAAAAAAAACGGTTGCTCAAGGCACTGCCACATCTCTCACTTTTGATTTTTCTACCTGAAACATGGTGAAACAGTACTTATAGGTTTTGATTAGAGTAACCGTGATAACAATAACATTTTCACGTCATTTTCAGACACGTAGCGGACACTTGATTTATCTATTTTTCTTTTGTTTTCCATATATTTTTCTTTTCCTTTGACAAATTATCCGCGCGCAAAAAAGGGACAAAAGAAAATCGTAACAAAATAGCTGTTACAAAACGAATTAAAAAAAAAAAAAAGAGAAAAAAAAGAGACGATTCCCTGTACCCAACAAACGAATACGATAAAGATACCTTAAAAGAACTATAAAAATAAAAAATATAAAAAAAAAAAGAACAAAAAAAAAGAGTAATAATGAATTAAATAAATGTGTCGGCTGTGAGCTTCCAAGCAAATAACAATAATTAAATTATTATAATATAAAAAAGGTTAAATGATATTCTACCTAATTGTTATGAATGTGAATTTCTTTTATCTATAAATGAGAAATTTGTTATCTCATATCTCGCATATTGTAGCTATTATTATCTATTTAAAAGAAGAAGAAATAAAAAACGAGGATACCGGAAAACGAGAACGACACCCGGAATTTCTGGAGCTGTGATTTAAATGTCACGGCAATGTAGGCGGGGTAAAAAAAAAAAAAATGAAAAAAGAAAAGACTATAAAAGAAGCTTAACGAAACAAAGAGAAATGATTAATAATTAAAGAAGAAAAGAAAAGACGGAGAGACACGACGAGAGAGAGTGAGAGTAGAAAAGATTATATATTCGAGGAGTATGTAGTTGGACAGACGACAAAGGCCTAGAACGCATAGATTACCCGTGAGTCGTTACGAAGGAAATTAATTTATTGACGAAAAAAGAAAAAAAAATAAATAAAAAGAAAAAAAAAGAAATGCAAGAGTGCCTTCTATTTGTTTTCGTAATTGTATTGTTGAACATTTGTTGCGTTACGTTCCAAGAGCCTCTAATGTTGTTATAAGAAAGAAAAAAAAAAAAGATGTTTGAAGAATGTTGTTCCTCTATTTATTTATTGATTTACTGGCCGATCACGGCCCACCAGCACCCAGCGAATTTGAAAGTGTGAAAGCATGCTGTTAGGAAAATAAAAGAAAAAAAAAAAGGAATTCGGGAATGGAAATTTAAGGAAGATTTTTCGATGGTACACCCAGAGAAACGGAAAAAAAAAAAATGCAATGAAAAATCATCCTATCACGGCATTCGGAGTCGCATGAGTCCCCCAATTTTTTTTTTCTCGTATTGTGGTCGTACAGAGAACGATATTAACGTGTAATCGAAAATTTAAAAAAAAAAATAAAAAAAAACCCAGAGCAGCTCGTTTCGGCACCTATTTCTATGTATAATACACAAGAGGATATCTCCAGCAATATACATATATAAATACATATAAATATATACATACATATATATATATATATATTATAAATATTAACGAACGAAGAGAAATAAAAAAAAAAATGTATACCTAATGGTATATATGAAATGCGAGTGCGATATGGGTGTGTATTTGGGTGTGCGTGAGCGTGAACTTGGATTGGTGGCTGTGACTATTGAGTGCAAGTTTAAAGAAAAGAGGAAGACAGTTTTACCTGTGTAAGCATACGTGTGTCAGGTGCATCGATAATGTTTCTCGCACGCTACACACGCATATGTCATACACGTATACATTACCAATGCATACATACCTACACATTATAATACATCTAATAAGAGAGAGGTAATAACGATGCAAAGTACGATTCTATGTTCAGTTTGGTACCGGTCTAAATAGATGAAACCTATGCTACGGAGCGAATCATTTAATTATAATCCAATGTACTAAATTCAACGTAGAATGGTGCTGATACGATATAAAATGATATAATATATACTTTGAAAAGTATATTATAATATAAAAGTCTAAGATAGATATTAGAGGGTATGAGTAGTTCAACATAGAGATATAATTGATGTATATTATACACAAGTGGTAAGCGGTATGCTTTCTACGATTGTGGATTATCGTATACATAGATAGGATAATGTTGTACGATAAAGAAGCACGAGAAGTTTTTGTTATTACCAGCAGTTACTTGCATTCATTGATTTTGTTTTGTTTCTAAAGTAATATTACTTTTAACGCTATCTGAGTAAGGAACCGTTCAATGGTTTTATGTTTAAAAAAAAAAAAAAAAAAAAAAAACATCTATTACTTATGGTAGTTGAAAGTAGTGCAGTAACTGTAAATCATATTTAAACACGTTCAGTTTATTTCTTCCATGGGAAGATCGACAAAACACATTCCACAATCTACAAAGCATGCCTCCTAAAACACAGAAATTGATGTATTAAAAAAAAAAAAACATAAATTATACATAAAATGACATGTAGGTTGTACAACAAAAATCTATCTAAGTACTCAATGATAATAAAAAAAAAATATATATTACGTATAAGGGATGCATATATTTAAAAAAAACATTATATAGATGGATAAAACATAGCAAAGAAAAGGTATAGACTAAAATAAGTGTGAATCTCTCCTGCAAATATATAATAATAATAAAATCTCATAAATGATATAAAATATACAATGCTCCAGTACACATACATTGTATTTGTGAATTTACCTTTCTTGTTTAGTTTTGTCTATATTTTCATTTTTCAGAACGTTAGAAGTAGTAAAATTGAAAAATTACACCTTTTTTTCTTTAATATATTGGATATTTTATTAATTCAATATTTATTCCAATAATACATTTTACAATTAAATCCTATTCACTATTTAGTCTTTTAATCTTCTAAATAGATAATATAATCTAAGGTATTTGCACTAATACACTGTATTCATTCTATCGTATCACATGTTTTACCGTAAAGCGGAAATCTAAATACATAACAGGTTCAGTATATTGGAGTATACACTTTACATATTTTTGATTAATAAAAACGAGCATATAAATTGCACATAGATTAATATCTTAACATTAGACATTGGAATTCATTATACATGCAATAATTTTCCTAAAATCACATCGATCGTCATAGCTGACGAGGATACTTATTTTGGGAAAGTAATTTTTTATCTTGACAACTGTGTCTGCATTTGAAAATTTGTCTAAAAATTATTTATTCATAGTATAAAGATATAAATTCTTGGGAACTATAATCATGGCAGTGTGTAGGAAATAATAATTTACTTTGAAATTTGCTTATTCTCCTGAGTCACTGTTCATATAAACATACATTTTTCTAAAGTATTTCTAACACATTTCCGTAGAATTGTTACGAATATTTTGAGTAGTTTATCTTGTAGTATTAAATAATTAAAAAAGGGTATTCAAGTATGAAAAAAACTTGGACTAAAAAATTCTTTAAAAAATATGTATAAAGTGTTAACGTCTTTTCTAAGAGTATACTTGTCCATGTACGTTAAAAATTCGTAAAACGACAGCTACGAACGTAACAATATAGTATATGGCTCGAGTCATTTTTTTAATAAGATTTATAGTTCAGTCGTCATGTGTGATGTTAGCGCTTGAACGCGGGTTGCGTTACAACTTTTACACAATACGTGATCATCCAGAGGATAACATCCGCGTCCTTCAGAATCAGAAGAAAGAACTAACCCACAGTCCTCGCATTTGTAACACTGAATATGAAAACTGCGATCCAGCGCCACGACGCGTACAGTTTCATCCTGTCCTGGTTCTGGCATAATTGGTAATTTACAAACGCAACAGCGTGGTGCAAATTTCCTGCAGAAAAGCATCGAACGAAGTTTCAAGATATTATAAATATCTTTGATTAATAGCAACTAAATTGATACTTACTTGTGGAAACACTGTATACAGTGAATTTGATTGGTGGCGTCTACCGTAAAAGGTATACCATCCAAACTTTGCCCGCAAACTACACACGTGAAACAGGATGGATGATAAGGTTTTCCAGTGGCTCTTAGTATCCTGTCGAGTATCGGTCTCGTACAAACGCAGCATTTTTCTAAAGTATTCAAATAATCCTCTTCGCAATACGGTTTGCTTTCCAACGAGTAAGATGGTTTGCCTTCGGAGTTGGACGGTTTGCTTTCCAATGAATAAAACGGTTTACCCTGTAGATTCACTTTACAGACGCAACAGCAAAAGCATTCGATGTGAAACACCTTGTCCATCGCAGAGCAACCGGTACCTTCCCCTTCAACTTTGCGACCGCATTGCGCACAGATACCATAAATGTCGGTGTCTTCAGCATTATCCTCCATCCCCTGAACTAATAAATCGGTCAAAACATCCACCTGAAAGAAGTAACGATGAGAAATGTAACTGATCAAGATTTTAAAGAAACAACATCGACGTACTTCCTTAACCGGAGATACTTTTCCTTGCGGCTGAGTGGACGTAGCAGATCCATAACCAGAGTACATGGAATAATTACAAGACAGCTGCGATGGCGGTCTGGGATTAATTGGTTCGTATATGGATTCATATGTTGAACTGGATTGTGAGCTTGGACCATAAATATCATTCGGGTAATTATCAGATGGAAAATCTGTTTGGTAAGTGGCTCGTCTTAATTCACTATAGCTGGATGATACAGGACTTGGCGGAGGTGGCAGCTCTTCTGGTGGTGGCGGGAAGGAGCTACCCGGTACGCAAGGGACATATTCTGAGGGTTCTGGTGGTGGTGGTAAGTCATCTATAACACAAGAATATTTACAATTAATAAATAAATGAAATAGTGTACAATGATATCGTCCTTAAGATAATTTTACCGTTATTATGAGCAACAGGTAGATTACAATACGTATTCTCTGGTTTAGAATTCCACTGAATATTACTATAAATTATGTCTTTTTCTGTCTTGGCTCCAGTTTTATTAACTGGCATAGAAATGGGAGAATCTATATTACTATATACAACGTTTCTTGTTGATCTTGAATGATCTTCAACCGGTACTTGAGGGGCAGGGATATTTCCAATATTTGAATAGTAATTTTTTTCATCATATCCGTATTTTGGTTCAAACTTCTCATCTATTTGGTGTGGATAAAAGTTCTCATTATTTTGATAACTTTTAGGAATGTCTTTTCCATTTGTAGATGTTGACAGTGAAAATTCATTTTTTTCTATATTTAATGGCACATACGACGATGGAGAATTCATGTACAAATTTGAAGATTTCTCATTTGTTCCAGAATTGTTAAGTACTGTACTGTATGATGGCACAGACGGAACCTTTATAGTGTAACTTTGCGGTATCTGGAACAAATGTTATGGTATTAATTTCTATGTGACAATATTGTTAAAAAAAAATTTGTAAATCTTATAATTTTACCATTGATGTTTCCATATAATAATGGAAGAGACATGAAAAAGGAATACAAAATATTGTTAGAATCAAAGTAATTTCAATATTTAGCAATTTTTCATTATCTACTGACCTGAGGCTGTGATATTTTTGGTTTTGGGGGAACAGCTGGTCCCACTTTTTTACCAGGCTTAATAGTCTTAATGTTATCTCCATGATTGATTTGCAAGCTAGCAATTTGTTGTTCCAAATTACTCACGTTCGACATTTTTCTACAAGGAACAATAGCGTGCTTTTACTTAATGTTAAAAAAGAATATAGGCATTGATCGAGGATCAATGATTTTAAAAAAATTGCATTTATTGAGCAAATTATCTGTAAAACGTGTACGTAAATAGTTATTAGTGTTGTGTAACAGATATTGGAAACGTTATCATATAAAATTATCATCACTTGGATTTTGTGTCTATCAAGTAAATGGATATGCCACCTGCACATAATAAAATGGAACTTGAACCATTGAAACAATCAGTAAACGTACCTGGTAAGTGGTCGAAAATAATTCTCTTCTCGAATGTCGTTCCAGATATTTTTTTATATTAAAAAATGAACAATTTTTCGTCTCACGGAATCGTCAAATACGCCTCGTACATCTACTGTGACACAACTGAATGGCTGAGTCATAAATCCCTTATCTCGCAACTTTAGAAATTCCTTTACGGTGAATTTTCGGGCTGAATCGTATGCCTGCGATCACGCAATAACGATAAAATAATTCAGATGTTTAATATCTGAACGTCGAACAAGTGTTTGATGAACAATTGATGGGCACAAATCAGTTTAATAAATTTTTCATGTTACCTATCGCTTTCACGCGAGTCTTGACAATTGAAGTACCAACTTTATTCGTGAAAAAGCCATACCACGCCCTAACTAGCATGCAACGATAATTTACATTACAAAGCAAAGTAATTAAACTATATAAATGATTCGTCGAATCTAAATAATGGCGTACATGATACACGTATTAGGTAGTAGAAAAAATTTTGATTAAGATTTCGATAGATAAAAAAGTTTAATCTTCTATTGAATTACACGTATTACATTCGATAATTTTGCCATTTGAAATTCAAACAAATTGTTTATGTTTGACAAGTAGAATAACTTCATTTTGGTGTTTCGTTTTTTATTCTCTAATTATTAGTTTCCTCCCAGTGTTCAGAAAGTTGTATGAATTACATGCAGGTTAGCATACCGCGCCATTTTTAAATACATGTCATTGATAGCGAAAGTATTTTATCGTAGGTACATATTTCCTTTGTTTTGACAGTCTCTCTGTGAACATTGACATCTGTAAATTACGAAACAATTATTTCTGATATAGTGATACACGTGTATCATGAACGCAAGATCAAATATGTTCGTTTCCAGCGTTTTAACCTTATCGACCGCAAATGAATTATCTATTCTCCTAAGCAAAAGTAGTTATCTTCATCTTCGTTAAAAAAATCTATTTAAAGTCGTGAAATACCCACTGCAATACTCGTTTTATAGCTTACAAGTGAATTTATGAGTTATGTCCCATATGTTTCAGGGCCGAGGAAAAATGTTGGTTGTTAATATTTTATTTTTTATTTTAAACAGTATTGTCGGAAAAATAATATAATTCCGACCTCTGGAAATTAATGGGTTACAGTAAAATCTTCATAAAACATAAAACGGTTGTTAAATACAAAAAAAAATTATGTTAATTACTATAATTCTCTTTTCGAGCGACAGGACATTAAAAAACATTTCTGTTCCAGTTTCCATAATGGCTCCTTTCTTGCTTTTTCTTCAAACAATTAGATAGTTGTCATAACATCCCTAGCGTAGAACAACATATTTTTTCTTTATCTTTTCCACTATTGTTAACCTAATTTATATTTGCGTTTGGTGTCAAGGTTTGGTTGTAAGGTTTTACCGATATTGAAAGAACAAAAGTACATGTTTTTGTTTTTACCAGAAACTGTAGTCTTCGCTTATTATCACGTATGGATAGATAGGATCTGATGAATAGACATTGATAAATCTTTTACATCTTGTGACGATTAACACGGTTTCAATTACATTCGAGTATTAGATTAGATTTGTAAGTACAACTTATAAATTGGTACAATAGTGGTTAATTTATATTTTTAAATCTACGAAACAATATTGATCGATCAATGCATTTTATTGGATCTTTTTGAGGAAGAACAAATTCAGAAATCTTCATTTTCGAGTCTTTGGATTTATCCTTAAGACCATAAGCTAAACTGATAAATTTTTTTCAAAATGATTTCTATGTTTATTACATCTTTTTCAATTACCTTTTTCCCTGTGCAGAAACGTCAAAACAAGCGCGGAAAACATGAAAATTTTTCTTCTGGCATTGTATTCGATTTTCCTCGTTCGCGGGGATTACCACACGACGATGATTCATTTATGAACATTTGAAACAACTTCGAACGTATTATCCCAAATGATCTATTCGTTATCTCATGTGATGCATCTGTTTTTATATCGTTAACGATTAAATTTGATAGTGCAAATACGCAACGGAAATTCTTCATCGAAAAGGAACTTATTTTTAACTCGACTCTTGTTCGAAATGAAAAGGATTTCTATGGTGTAATTACGCGTACATACATTATATAATTACTCGTTGTTGCTCATGCGTTCTTATCTTGTATCTATTGTAAAGAAGAATCATTTGTCCGATAGTCGAAGTTAAATATTGTTACGAAGGTGTTTTCGATTTGAAACAAAAATCCAAAACAAACCGATGAGAAAATAAAATTTTACTCATCGACGAAAATAATTTTCGTAACAATTATAATAAATGTCATCGACAAAAGAGATTTTCGTAGAAATTATAATAAAGAAACAATGTCTGTTTATCTAATCGCAACACTGATTAGATCCCAAATTCCAATGTAAATATACGTGAGTATTAGCCGAGAGCTTATGAGATTAATATTGTCATTTTAATAAAGAGTAATGACTGTACTACTCGCGTTATCATGTTAATCGTAGATGGTAATTACAATCTTCCATCTTATCGAATAACGATCTCATTCTCATCGATTGATTGATTTGAATCGGATATCATTAATTCGAAGCTAACCGCGTCAACTTTCCCATTATCTTACGGTTAATTTTTAATTATGTACCGTTAAATCCCCCGAGTATTGCATCTCATAAGACTACTGCGAGAGACTACTTTCATTTCGCTTCCATTTATATTTAGATCTATATGTATTATCACGGTGATATGTATTTAATGATTTCAAGCAAACATTTCATTAAATATTTGCCGAGAAATTCTTAGTAAAAACAATTGTTCATCGTCAGATTTTTAACGCACATTGAATTCATCTGTTTATTTTTCGAGAGAACAAATGATATTCGACATCGAACGAACAAGGGGATACTCTTTTCGACTTGTAAAGGAGTAACGTCGAGTTCCATGTTAAGTTTGATTAAAGAATTAAAGAGCCATCTATGATTTAAATGGCGTTTAGCTGACTCAGAAGCTGCATATATGTTAATGTTTTCCAACAAAAGCAATTGATAAAAGCTACTGCGATGGTTCTTTGACTCTTGAGAGGAACGTTTGATAGTAATCGAACGGTATTTTGATAAATGAACGACACTTTGGTAAATGCATTCTGTAAATGAGAAGCACCAGTGACACAGATACGTGTTCGCAAAAGTTCGAGGCCACTGGAGATGTTAAAGAAATTAATCATCGGTCACGATAACGAGAGACGTCGAACAAGGGTTATTTAAATTCAACTATTCTCGTTTGAAGTCATGTTTCACAGGGGCATTCTATGACGTTATCGAATAATTACATGCACTTTGTTACACGAATTCTAAACTATCACTGAATTTGGACATCCCCGCCATTAAATGTATTCGGAAATTATTACACAGAGAGGGGGAATGTCCGAGAAAATGATTGTAAGTTCTGTTCATTTGCTGTCGTGCTAGTCGATGGCCTCACTCAGTCTCTTACAGTCTCTTAGTAGTCTTCGTACGAGTTGGGTGCTATCATTTTCTTCTGTTATGTTTTCATTTTAATTAATACGGGCCGGAGTTTTATTTCTTTTTTATTTTAGGGTAAGGTATTATCTAATCGACTGCTCTGATCATTTTAAAATGAACAAAATTTAACATTAACTGCTGTATTATTTAATAAAGTCTTATTGCATGATTAATAACAATGTCGAAATATCCATTCCTTTCTTTTCTTATTTAATCCAATTGCAGTAGGTATCATTTTTAAGTATTTGTTGTACTTATTATCATGGTAATTGAATTATTGAATTTGAATGGATTTAGAAATTATGTTGTATGTAAAACAGCTTGTTATTTTTAATTTAAAATATAGAAGAGTTGATTTTGTATATATGTCTGTGTAATTTTTTTTAATATGAAATTTGTTTAGCAATATTAATGGAAGGTTTGATTTTCAGACGAATCTTATCAGTGTACTATGCAGAATAGTTACATTATCGAATCCAATAATGATTCAACAGTCAGTACAGTGCCTCATCAGCATATGCAGGAAGTGCAGAACAGTAGCAGAGCAACAGAAAGTACCTATTTGACGCCGAGCAGAAGTCAAACATATTTTGCTGATGAAAAAGTTCGGATTCCAGACACAGATAATGTAATATTGAAACAATTAATTTTCATATTTATGAATACTTTTCTTTATTGTTCTAATTTAAATGTATTTTTTTTATAGAGCATATTTAGTTTCAAAAAATTATGGGCATTCACGGGTCCTGGATTTTTAATGTCCATAGCTTATCTAGATCCTGGGAATATAGAATCTGATTTACAGTCCGGAGTAGCTGCTAAGTATAAAGTACTGTTTGAATTAACAGCTTCATGGATTAGCCATTTTATTTCTTGATACACTTATTTTATCTTGTTTGTTTTTTTTTTTTTTTTATAGTTATTATGGGTATTACTAAGCGCAACAATTCTAGGTCTTGTTATGCAAAGACTAAGCGCAAGGCTCGGCGTGGTAACAGGTTTGCATCTAGCAGAAATGTGTTACAGACAATATAAAAAAGTACCTAGAATGATTTTATGGATAATGATAGAAGTAGCTATAATTGGTAGTGACATGCAAGAAGTAATAGGAACAGCCATTGCTCTGTCTTTATTAACGAACAAAGCGTAAGTGACAAACATTAAAATCGTATATGTTCTATTTTATAAACAAAATATGCGATTTATTTCAGGATTCCTATATGGGGCGGCGTGTTAATCACTGTAATCGACACTTTTACGTTTTTATTATTGGACAAATATGGTTTAAGAAAATTGGAACTCTTTTTTGGATTTCTTATCACAATAATGGCTGTTACCTTTGGTTACGAGGTAAATTTTCATGACCATAAATAAAGCAACAACAATGTAATTTATAGTACACTTTGCTAATCTCATATTTTACAAATATTTCAGTATATTGTTTCCGCACCCCCGCAAGATGAAGTGATTAGCGGAATGTTTGTACCTTGGTATAAACATTATGACAGTAATATGTTACTACAAGCCGTTGGAATTGTTGGTGCAGTCATAATGCCACATAATTTATATCTTCACAGTGCTCTTGTTAAAGTAAGGAAAGAACAAAGAGTATAAATAGTCTTTTTCATGAAGTTGAAGAAGTAGGCATTCTGACGTTTCAAATGCTTATGCGTTTATGAAATGGCGGATTTTCAATTCGATTTTACAATTTTCAGTCAAGGGACATCGATCGTAGGGAATACAAGAAAGTTCAAGAGGCAAATATGTATTATTTTGTCGAAACCTGCATTGCGCTTTTAGTTTCTTTCATTATTAACGTTTTCGTTGTCGCGGTGTTTGCCCGTGGTCTTTATCAAAAAACGAATCTAGAAGTTGTAAGTACACAAAACAGTTATGAAACGTAATCGAAGCCTTGAAATATTATTATCTGTATATTTATATCCATTCAATACATTTCAGTATAACCTTTGTGAAGCAAATAACTATACTATGGGAATGGAAACATTTAATGTAAGTAACAATATAGAAATCATTCTTTTGTATATTGATGGTTTATTAATTCATTATTGTTCTTAATTTTATTAATTACAGAAAGAGAATACAACGATATCAGTAGATTTAAACAAAGGTGGTATATTTCTTGGGTGTGCCTTTGGTGCGGCTGCAATGTACATTTGGGCTATTGGTATTTTTGCTGCTGGCCAGTCTTCTACAATGACGGGAACATACGCAGGACAATTTGCGATGGAAGGTTTCTTGAATCTCCAGTGGGCTCGTTGGAAGCGAGTTCTCTTCACAAGAATGATCGCCATCGTACCTACTTTTCTCGTTGCATTCTTTAGCGATATAGATAATTTAACTGGAATGAACGACATTTTAAACGCTATTATGACACTTCAGTTACCTTTTGCAACGTTACCAACAATAGCATTTACCAGTAGCGCTCAAATAATGGGTGAATTCAAGAATGGAATGTATGTAGTAAGTTTTCTATTTTTCTTATTTTCTAAAATTCATTTCATTTCTAACATGGAGTTTTTTCATTTTAGAACGAATAAAATTGTTGCAACAACATTGTCTGCTGTTGTAATAACCATAAATATATATTTTGTAATAATTACGGTTCGGGAAGATTTACCACATCACTGGACGGTGATACTTGCAATTTCTATTTATTCTATTTTGTATCTTCTATTCTGTCTTTATCTTGTCATTCATATGGCTGTGAGCATGGGTGCAAGTTCTCTCAATGAGTACTGGGTATATATCAACCAAGTTACTAATATCGCTAATAACACGTTCTGTTATTAAACATTTTATTTTTAATATTTGTTTCAGTTTGTGAAAAAATATATCGGAAGTCCTGTAAGTACAACACTTGGATTATCAAATCCTGCTGTGTATGCAAGGTAAGAACATTTACATATCTCGGGACTTTTTTAATTGAGTTACTCAACTATTTTGTAGTATTTATTAGGTAGAAATAGAAAAGAAAACTATTTTTTCCGTTATATAATAATATATGTAAAGAATGTAATTAACAATATAATATAACACAAAGAAACTATGTTAATAAATTATTGTTATAAAAATTATCAAAGAAATTCTTAGGTTGTTCAATACTCACACTAATCATGTGATATAATAACTTTAATTACCCATTTTTTGAAAGAGTTTGTATTAGTGCATGTGTGTTACCAATTCCTATCATGCTTAAGAACAACCTACTATTGGTATATAACTATTATGGTAACAAAGGAGCCTTATTATGTGTTCATCAAAATTTTTATTTACGAGATTTCGCTTTTGGGCTCTTTGATCTTTGTGCAATATTTTATCAAATACACATTATATAATTCATAGTATTAATCTGATGCTACGAAAGTATGCTTGCATTTATTCGTTGAATATAATGTGTTATATGTGAATATATGTATGTGTTAAGTAGACAAATTTTGTTTATCCTATTAACAATGTATACATTTTATAATAAATACTAACATATGTTTTGCATACAAGCACTGTGTTGTGTCCTATCATTCAGCACGTTTGGTATGAAAAACTAAATGCACTGTGTGTTGTTACTATTTTTGGATATCCTGGTTTACTATGTTTTTGAGGACATTGTTCAACGAGCATGTAATCATCTTATGCATACATCATTTTAGCAAAAGAATTTTAAAAAATTTTAATTATTATTTAAGTATGCACTATGTTAGTTAAGTTCTTGAATTATTCCTTTTTCATTCATAGCTTCTTCAATGTATCAGAAACATCCCTAAACATATAATTGAGTTTGCTTCATAAAAGTTCTTTAAACAAGTTATTCTTCTAAATTCAAAATGTGCATATTTTAAAACAATTGCAACATCATCCGAGTTCAACATTATTCATGGTATGTACTCCCGAAATTCATTTATTATTTAATTTAAAATTAGTTCGTATTTTTTCCCTAAGTATTTACTTCTTATTTATCAGGTTTATTTTATCATGCGTGTGTTCATTAAAATTTGATTAATGATTTTTTTTTTTTTTTGAACAATTAACCACGTATATTTTCATTGCATGTTCGTTTTTAACGAGCGAAAGGGTGAGCTTTCGATGTTAACTTAATTTTCAAAATTTTCTAACAGAAGGTAAGAATCATATATTTTATTATTGCAGTATATTTAATGTCCTCTATTTGGTAATTACGAATGGAGATGATTATTTTTAACATTTCAGATCGAATCCTGCATTTAACATTCAAGAAAATTGGACCGGAAGTTTCTCTGCAATACCGGAAAGCTAGTTATTTATTTTTATTATAGAAATACGGTAAAGTGTATAATACTCATGAATCGTGGCTCATATTTTTTTAAATTTTTAAAAATTGTACAAAATTAAAATCTAGAATTTTTCAATTGAATTGTACTTTTAAATTCTTTTATCTGATATATTTAAATATTGACGTATTATATACAAGACAATTACATTTGTACATACTTATACTATTTGTATAATAAAATAATTTAATTCCTCAAAAGTAACCGTGTAAAAAAAAAATGAAAACATTTGAATAAATATAATTTAAAAGTGCAAAATATGTGATATGTGAAAAGTCAATAATATTATTTGCAATGCTAGTTAGAAATATTGAACCTTCATGTTTACATGTATACGGGACGTTTAAATAGTAAATAACACAGACTTGGGAATCAGTTTGCTCCCGCCCGCTGTAGAGGACGGATCGTTGTTGGTATGTAGAAATACTTTTGAATTAAAACTCTCATTCTAAACGAGCGTACAATATTTTTAACATCCATTATTAAAACGAATAATAATACTAACATCTGTATTGTTTTAAATATTTGTTTTATTCACTTTCAAATGTCACAAAAATATTTCAAATAGGATACGATTTATATTTGTACATATATCATAATATCAATCGGTTACATATTATAGAGGAAAATAGTTGAGTTAGAAAAAATTTTAAACCAATATTCGACTCAGGCAAAACGTAATTCATTTTTTGGTTTTGAGTATTGTCTATTTTTTTTTAAGTCCAATTCATCGCGTGTTTCGAACGTACTGTTTACAAGTTCTTTTGAAACTAAAGATAAAAAGGTTAAGACATATGTTTCTATGTAAAATTAATATTTCTCTTTAGTTCTTGTAACTTAAGAATAGTATGACTAGACATTTCGTAAACTATGGCAAACATATTTTTAGATTTTATTATATTTAAATGTTTTATACTTGACATCAATACAAATTCAATTACAATGTACAGTAAAATTGAATAACTGTTAATTTAATTATATAAATATAATGTATGGTAAATAATGTGCACCCTGAGTGAAAAAATGTAAAATAATACAGTTGTTTTAAAGAAGTTATAGAAAAATATCTTTCATCAATATATCATTAAAATTTGTATCTTTCCTCTGTATTACCATACATTATTAATTAGCAAATAACTTTTAATACTTCTTCTGTAATTAATTCGTAAACATTTTTATAGATCACCTTTACATATTTTTAAAAATCACAGATAACATTTTTATGTTTCTAGAAATCAATTTAAGTAATATAGTGCTTTGCAATCACAAAAATAATTAAGAATCTAATACAGTTTTATCAGATCATTAAAAATTCTTATAAAAGTTGTCTTATCATTTTGTCTACTGTTTCCTTCCTTATCAACTATATTCTTTATTTTTCATTGATTTAGATTTGCAAACAATTAAATACGTATCGATGTATTTACCTGTATTTAGTAAACTGAAATATTTTATCAGTGATAAGAAATGTCTAAAATGTATAAAAATTTTTTTTTCTCCTAAATTTGTATTTTAGAGATGTATCAGACTTTTGCTCGTGTTAGCAATTTATTTGTTAATGTACGTCAAATCAAATGTGAATTTATAATTTTCCTTAGTTTTGTTAATCGTCTAATTATGAAGACATTGATTGTTACGGTAGACGTAATATGTATATTATTCTCAACAATACTATATTCAATTATATAGGATCCGTTGTTAATCGGAGGTAATACTGGTTGTGTTCTCGTTTATAATGCCAATAAATAAAGCCAATTATAGATAACACTAGTAAAACTAACATTAGTATTGAGGACGTCAGAATCGCTGAAATACCAGAAATATTTTCATTATTAGCAGAAAAATACACAAAATAATGAATTTTTAATCTAACCAGTACACACCAATTACTGCTGTTGTATTTATGTTATATCCAAGTTTATCCCACTCGACTGCACATTCTTTTTCCCAATTCACGGGTACGACATCTTTTGTTAATGCAATAAATTGATTTAAAGGACAAAATGCGATACAACCAGGTAGCGTTAAAAGTGTTGGTTCTTCGCTACTATTTTTATAAGAAACCTGAAAAAACAAAACGCGAGGCAATTAATACAATCACATTACTGCTTAACATTTAAAATACTTCAAAGACTTACCGTTACAAAATACTGATTCTTTAAATTTACCCTTAGTTCCAAAAGTATCATAGCAGTATATGGTGGGCAGTGTGGGTCAAATACATTAAGAGTCATTAACATATTGGCTAAGGTTTCATCGTGTCCACTATACATCCATATTTTTCTATCTGGTACTAAAGCATTCTTTGATTTTTTTTCCATATGTTCTATCATTTCTCCAAGCAACGATCCTGTTGTTATATTTTAAAAGCGAATTAGAGCTTATTTAAATTCTTTAAATATATTAGAATAAAAAGTTCTCACCTGATTTTAATCTTTGAAGTATTTTATTATAAGCGCTAACTGTGAAACTTTTTGCAGCAAGGGATTTAAGTTTATCAGGGAATACTGATTTTGTCCATTCTGGTAATGTTTTATTGTAAAGATTCTACGAAAAAAGAAACATAATTAAATTCAACAATGTAATTAAGAATAGAATATAAAAATCTTACCTCAACGAACAATGTATCGTACAGATGTTCAATAGATCTTAAGGAGGAAATTTTATTCCCTGTCTTTTCTGTTAAATATTGATATAATCTCTTATTTTCTTTTTGTATTCTCTTTAATTCTGGAGAATTAAGAACCTTTTCTAATTCATGATCGTATCTAGGACAATATTTTCTAGCAGCTAATATACTATCCTTGTCTTCTGGGACAGTATGGACTGGAATAGGCATCCATTTGATACTGTTCCATACTTGGTTACCAATTGGTGGATATAGACCAGCAAGATGAGCTTCTGCTGACATCAAAGTACGATCTGTATCTGTACTTTGAATATAAATATCATACGGAGAATATAAATTGCTTAGTAGATGCAAGTAACGTTTGCGAACCCAATGGCCAAGTAGTAGATGTTGGTACTTCCCAAGCTATACATAATACAGCAAATACATTAGCAGAAATTTGGGTATATTGGACTTAGAGAATCATAAAATAAAAAACTGCTACGATAAATGTTCTATTTGTTACTTACATTTGTTAACTGACCAAATGGGACAGGCCATAAACTTTCATTGCTATAGGGATCATTAAGATAAGGTCTCATGGGTGTCCTATCTCCATGTCTATACAGCTATAAAATCAATTACATTTATATTCAATAAATGCCTATAATTTACAATATGTATATTTTTCAAGTAATCAACACAGATGGAACAAAAGTATCAATGTTAATTAATACATTTATTCAAAAAATAAGGAAACGAATATACTTATACAATAACTTCCTTTATAAAGAATTCAGTATATGAAAATTTAATTCTACACCATTTATTTTCAATCTATAGTTTTTTATGTAGTTTTTCAAAAAAAAAAATATTTAAATGAAAAGGAAATGAAACTTACGATATTTGCGAAAACAATGGTTCCCTCAATTGTATCCCGAGCATATGACAAGCTTATAATACAGAAAGCTAGAACGGCGTTGAACAAATTTCTATTCATACTTCTAATTTCTTTGATTTACACTTTCGGTCCTCTAATAAGAGGCTTCATGTAGAAATTGAATAAGACATCGATCTATTATGTACCGCAACCTGTGGAACACTGTAAGCGTTTCAACATCTGGTATATATATATATATCATGTATACGCTTTTGTCAGATGTGTGTTTAGATTACAAAAGTGCAAAATACATGAAATATGGATCAACAAGTTTGAAAAAACTTTAGCGTTGCGAAATTAATTCTAACACTTTGACGTCGTCAGCATCGGTTTCCAACCATTCTTTCCGTGTACAGAAATGGGTTAACAGTGGTACTCATCTAACAAAAGATGACCTTTATAAATATGCCGCCTTATCAACATATTAAGATTCTTTTGTTTGAACTTTAGATCCTTGATAAATTGTTCAAACATAATATCGATGATTATAATTTAATTATAAATTTCTGCATATTTTCATTTATCAGTCTTTCATGTATTTATCATATTTTTTGTGCGTATCAGAGATATGTAATTGCAAGTAATTACCAGTAATTAATTACATCAATTAGGTGAATGTTCCAAAGATTTTTCGTGTTTACATGATTGCATTAAAGTTTAATCTTTATAAGTTTATTTTTTCTTCTTTTCTTATTCAAAAACAAAATTGATGTAAGCAATTCAATGTATCAAAGAATTATGGATACAGGTATAAATAAGAATACAGAAAGATAATACTTTTTAATATTTTATTGAAATTGTACAAAGTGAAAAATATTAATGTATGATGAGACAAGTCTTATCATCATTCATAGTTGTACTACTTAATAAAAGCTCTGCAAAACAAGTACAAACTATAAATATTATTACAATATACGATTAAAAATTGCACATTTTTATACAACATTTGTACACGAGTTTTATAGTATATCTGTTTTCAACTTAAAATTATATGAAAATGAAAAAAGGATTCTGTGGTGCTATCGAGAACAGCTATACTATTATCCTAAATAGATCGTAATTTTTTTAAAAACAGAATTGCACATTATAATATATTCTATTTTATACCTTTAACCTGAATTTACAGTATAAAATTTGTATATAATTTCTTTTCTATATTACAATATATGAATACATACATGTAACTATCTATTGTACATAAAGGATTATATTAATTCAGCTGTTTTTAATATATTAACGCACAGATACCGATAAAATCTTTCTCTGATTCTTTCAATCTTTAAAATAAATAAATCTTTCTATACAATTACTGTACACATATTTTTTAAATGTAAACAGTTCATGGAACAAATTTCAAACTTTTACACGATTAATGATAATTTATGGGAAACTGGGATCATTTTATCCTTACTTTTGGCCAAATATATATATACTATATATATATATATTTCAATTACAGAAACTTGCTTCTGAATTATAATTCTTATAAAAACTTTATATTATTTGCACTTAACGTTATCTAATATTAAGAAGTGGAATATACTTTGAACGAGATAACAGTAATGATTAAATCACAGTCTCCGCTGACGATAACGTTGTGTTAAAGTAATTAAAAATTGTACTACGAACGGCCATAAAATTAAAATACTGAATAACCGGGGTGAACATTCTGGTAAAGGCCACCACTGTGGGTACGAAGATGTAGGCTGCTTCTAAAAAATAATTCACTGTTTAGCAGGCAAACGTAATAGTAAAAATGAAATAAAGATCTTATTCTATCTTTTAATTACACTCACTATTTGTGGCATCAATGCTTGCAGTGTTTGACCTTCTAAGCAACGGACTCTAGCCGTTATTCTATCTAAATCTCTTTGTAAATTTTGCATAGTTGTAGCTATTTGATTCATAAATTCAGCATTGGTTTTCTCATCCTTTTTAGTACGCTGTTTATTTTTCTCTTGTTTACTTTCTGTTACCGTTTCTGTGTGACCATTTGTATTAGTGTATCCATTAATTAATTCTGAAGGTTGACTTTCTTTTGATTCGGCAGCTTTGTCAGTAGTACTATTCAATCCATTAGATATTTTTTGAGTATTATTCGAACCTTTTATCGTGTCCTTTTGCGATCGTTCTGGAGCAGACTATAAAAGAGAATGAATTTTAGTATAAAAATGAAAAATAAAAATTGAAATAATACGGTATATTTTCCATAATACCAGTAGCTTACTTCGACGGTATCTATAAATTCTTCTTCTTCTTCTTCTTCTTCTTCTTCTTCTTCTTCTTCTTCTCCATCGGTGTCAGGTGGACTGACACTGTGGCTACTGGCTGGGCTAGTTTCTAAACTACTAGCAATATGCCGAGACACATTGCAAGATCTATGCGGTGATGTTTCCCTTGATGCTATATAAAAGAACAGTGAATATTGGACAATGTTTTGAATAGCATGTATTTATTAGTATACTAACCTAGAGGCGAACCAGATAATGGTAAATCAGGTTGCGAACGCATACGATCTAAAACTGGGCCAAGAAGTAGTTCCAGATCTTCAGGTGGGACATTATCGCAAAATGTATCTAAACTGTCTAAAAATGTAGCTACCTTATCTGTATAAGACATTGTTTCTACGATCTATTAAATTGAAAAATCAATATTAAATAGTATATAAATATTGTACTACTACATCTAATTAGATATGTTTCTAAAATGAACCTTTTTCAGTTCTTCCACATAATTATTCATAGCCTCTGTTTTACTCATGTTTCCTAAACGTGTCCAAGCATCCCATTTTGCCTTTTTAATTACTTCCCAGAATGCAGGCTTTGGTTGTTCGCATGGTCCCTCTGTTGCTTGTTTATAATATGCATAAAAACGTAGCATAACTTCATTGCTAGGTTGATATGCTCCTAGAACACGAATCATCAATAAAAATCTATTCATAATGTAATACAATTCTAGTTATGTTTAAACAATTTTGTTTTGGAGATTATCAGTAAAAAATGAGTAAACAAAATTTTAATTGCTGAATCTTTAAAAATATATTTACTTTAGGAATCTTACATATTTTGTTTTAACAAGTAGGGAAAAATTCATAACATTGAAAGTGTTAGTGCTTTAAAAATGTAGATACATTCGTGATCACTCATGAGGAACATTCTAGCTTTAAATACAAAGTGCAATTCACTTATTCCTGCTCTGTTAGAAAGTGAAATGAGAACACTCACACAGTTACTTGTAATAAATAGAAAGTACATACATTCGTTTATTAATATAATAACATTAAAGTATATTATTTTTTATATAATTCTCTGATGTCAGTCTTAAGTTATACAATGTATGAAGCAGCTTTTATTGAAAATTTATAAACAATCAGTTGTTAGACATTTCTTTTTTATTACTTCCGCTAAAAACAATAGAAAATTGTTTTCCTGTTCCTGGAATGTCGAGTAACATGTAAGTATCGAAAGAAAAAACGAAGAAATATTAAATTAAAAACATCGTAAGTTTATCGCAGTTTGCTGAAAAATACGGATAAGTATTTTGTTAAGTCAGACGTGAACTTTGAACGATTGCTTCATGAATGGTTCATGTATGAAATTAATGCGTTAAATACTTGCCGTTTGCGTACAGCTAATTAAAAAAACTAGTTTGACGGGTATCGCGTGAATAAAAAATTGAAAGAAAAAAGAAGGAAGGGTAGTGTATGTATTTATGATTATTTCTTAAAAGACAACATCGTAGATGTACTAAAACAAAATAAGGATTAGATTTTTAAATGGTTAATATAAAGAGGGGAAAATCGAAGTAACATAACGTAGGCAATTATTCAATAGATTTACCATTTTTTGGCAGATTCCGGATCACATTAACAGCCGCGTGAAACTGTTCTTCCGTCGTCATGGCAAAACCAGCAGTCTTTGAACAGATAGGTATTCACGCTTGCTTCGTTACGACGTTATTGTGTTCTTTTTAATATTGACTACCTCTAAGGAATTCGATTAATATATTTCGAAACGAAATCAACTTAAAACGTTAATTGATCAACGTTGTATTCCACGAAAAATGGTTAAAAAATCAACTACAATAATGGAATGACAGATCACCGATTAATGACTGGCGATCGTCCGGCGATCATACATTTACAACTGCGCATGCGTATTAAATGATAATTGCTCACAGTTTAATCCCCTTCCTTTTCACTGTTTGTCGCCAATCGCATTTGGCACTTCGTAAGGAGAAGATGCACGACTTCCTTTAATAAGGTGACTATATTTTTTCGTTTATAGATATGTTAAATTTTCATGAATTTATGTATCAAAACAATAAATTATTTTTACATTATTGTATTTCTTAATTTGGAAAACATTGGATATGTATGAATTACCATTTGGATCGATGTTACATGCATAGTACTATAGGTGCATTGTTATCATTTGAAACATTTTACACACACATGCAATGAAATCCCTTTGTTTTCAAGAGGTTTTGAGTTTGTGCCTTTCTCTTAATACTAGATATGATGGCTTCACCACCATAACTGGTGGGGCCATCAGGGCCCCCGGCGTCGGGAGTTGGGGCTCCAGACGTCCTTACACGGGGCCCAAGGAGAGGCCGCCACCGGGTGCGACCCCCGGTGTCGGCCACACGTTAAACACCCGAGGATGGGCACTTGTGTGCCAGGCGTGGAGGGCTCCGGAGTGATATACATAAGGTCCCGGAGCCATCTTTTATCGCCAGTGCTGGTCGCCGTGGGGTTTTAGTCAGTAAGAATCTGACACTCCCCCGCCGCCCTCCCCCTGGGGTCGGTGGGGAGTCTTATGCAAGATTTTCCCACGTTAAAAAAAAAAAAAAAAAACAAACAGTTTACAAATTTAATTCCATTTTTGCACCCTTTATATCTCTGATTTCACTATATCTCTGCACCCTTATATCACTGCATTCCTTACGTCCCAGCAATCCTTACATCTCAGTATTCCTAACATCTCTGCATCCCTTACATCTCTACATTCTTTTCATCCATACAGTCTTTCCATCCCAACATTCTCTTCATCCCTACATTCTTTTCATCCATACATTCATTTCATCCCTACATTCTTCTCATCCATACATTCTTTTCATCCCTACACTTCTTTCATCCCTACATTCTTTTCATTCATACATTCTTTTCATCCCTACATTTCTTTCATCCCTACATCCCTTACATCCCTACATTCTTTTCATCCATACATTTCTTTCATCCCTACATCCCTTACATCTCCGCATTCCTCACATTCCTGCCCTCTTTATATCCCAACATCCCTTACATCCCTGCATCCCTTACATGCCGGTATCCTTTGCACCCTTGTACCACTTATATTCCTGCATTCCATACATCCCAGTACCTCCCTGAAATTTTTGCGGCTATAAGGCCTGCGATTTTATACAAATTTAGTTCTTTTTTTCGCCACCAGAGGGCGCTGATTCGACATCGAAATTTTAGTTCACATTTTTCCCGCGAGAGGGCCAAAATTGTGGCAAGCTTTGGTTCCTTTTTTCGCCCCCAGAGGGCGCTGATCGAACATCGAAAATTTAGTACACATTTTTCCCGCTAGAGGGCCAAAATTTTAGCACGCTTTAGTTCCTTTTTCAGCCCCCAGAGGGCGCTGATCGAACGTCTAAAATTTAGTACACATTTTTCCCGCTAGAGGGCCAAAATTTTAGCATGCTTTAGTTCCTTTTTCAGCCCCCAGAGGGCGCTGATCGAACGTCGAAAATTTAGTTTACATTTTTCCCGCTAGATGGCCAAAAATTGAAAATTCAAAAATTCAAAAATTCAAAAATTCAAAAATGTGAGACCGGGGTTGCGTGTTTGCAATAATATTGCGGTCAGAAGACTTTACTTACCTGTACTTACCTGTACTTACCTGTACTTACCTTTACTTACCTTCACTCGAACCAGTGGCCATAAATATATTTTTCATAATATATTTATTATAAGGATTACAAGGATGCAAGAGATGCAGGGATACAAAGAATTCAGGGGAGTAAGAGATACAGGGTTGCAAGGAATGCAGTGATTGAAAGGATGCAAGGATATAAAGAATTCAGGGATGTAAAGGGGACGGAGATGTAAGGAATGCCCTCTTCATACGGACCTGATTTCATCCCGGGGTGTTAGGGACCCCGATGCATCGGTGGCGATCTTTGCATACCGACATAACATCATCTGGGGTGTTCGGGACCCCGAAACACGAATGACACTCTATGTACATACCGACATTATGGCATTTGGGGTATCGGAGACCCCAAAGCGCAGGTAACCCTCTCTGCATACCGACATGACATCATCCGGGGTGTTAGGGACCCCGAAACTCGAATGACACTACATACGGACATTCTGGCATTTGGGGTATCGAGGACCCCAAAGTGCCTCCGACTCTCTCTGCATATCGACACGATATCATCTGGGGTGTTAGGGACCCCGAAACATGAATGACACTACATACAGACATTATGGCATTTGGGGTATCGAGGACCCCACAGTGCCTCCGACTCTCTCTGCATATCGACACGATATCATCTGGGGTGTTAGGGACCCCGAAACTCGAATGACACTACATACGGACATTATGGCATTTGGGGTATCGAGGACCCCAAAGTGCCTCCGACTCTCTCTGCATATCGACACGATATCATCTGGGGTGTTAGGGACCCCGAAACACGAATAACTACACCCCGACATTATGGCATTTGGGGTATCGAGGACCCCAAAGCGCGCCCGACTCTCTGCATAACGACACGATATCATCTGGGGTGTTAAGGACCCCGAAACACGAAGGACACTCTATGTACATACCGACATTATGGCATTTGGGGTATCGGGGACCCCAAAGCTCCGGTGACTCTCTCTGTATACCGACACGATTTCATCTGGGGTGTTAGGGACCCCGAAGAACGAACGAGACTTTACATATCGACATTATGGCATTCGGGGTATTGGGGACCCCATAGCGCCGGTGGCATTTTATTCTGTGCAAGCAGGAAATGACTGCGCTTGCGTGAAAAGTTAGTTTCTTGTTTAGTTTCTCGATTATAATATACAAGTACTATTGATTTCAACTAAAAATAAATCAGTGCAACGATACAATAGCTTTAAAGATCGATATCTTATTGTAAAACAAGTAATTTTTTAATTTTGGTGAGTACGTATGTTACATTTAATTTCTTATGTAAATCATGTAAGGCGCGCTATATGTACATATGTATATTAAAAACTTAAATTTTTGTGTACGCTACAGGGAGAATAAGACTTAAATATGGCGTCAATTGGTCGTGGTCGTGGATGGCTACAGCATGACAAAAGCCCATTGCCTAAACCTGGAAAATCGACATGTCCCGAGGATGTTAATCATGCCGATATCGTTAACCTAATTAACCAGGTTAACGACGAGAATTTGATGGAAAAAGTAGATGAAATTGTAAAATTGGTCAATGATACAATGAACGAACAAAATTTTAAGTACTGTATAGCAATTTTAAATTTTAGTTAGCTTTGATGTACTTCAAATCATTTGAATAATTTAATTATTTACAGGAACATACACGAAAAACTTTATAAACATGCTTTAAATGATAAGGAGTTTGGTTTGAAATTGTGGGAGGTATATAGTAGCTCTATGTTCAAAAACACGCATGATTCTGAAAACAGAAGTTTATATTCCCATTTAGTGAAGTCTTTTCAAGTTGATTATGAAAGTATGTATATCTGAGATTGATACATATGAATGATATACATGTACATTGATTAATTAAATTGTAATTATATTTTAGGAAGAAAAGATTTAAGGGAAGAGAATGTAACACAATTTCATAATGCTATTTGTCTATTTTCGAAATTTTTAAGTTGTAGGAAATATATTTCTGCAAGAACAGTACTCTTGGCATTATTGGATTACATGGAAATGCTAGTGGACACAGCTTCTGCTGATGATATCAAAATTTTTGCAGAACTAGTACATGTTGATTTAAACATTTTTTATTCAGAAGTTTACTATCTCATTTTATTAAATGTATATTGCACTTTTAGGTAATTATACATGGACAATATTATCACAGTTCTTTTAAAGAAGAAATGGGTAACTTAATGATTACTGTAAGGGAAAAATTAATCAAAGACAATTTATCTGTTACATCTCGTGGAATTTTATTATATGTAATAGATCTAGAAAGTAGGAATTTTAATCCACTTCCTAAAAGTCTACAGGAATTTTATAAATCTCAGTTGGAAAGTAATTTTAAAGAAGGGGATAATAATGTGATAATTAAATCTTTAACAATAGTGGAAGATGGTAATGACAAATAATATTTAACACCTTAGGGAATGCTTGTGTATTTATTAAGTGACGAATAAATGGCCAGTTGTAGAGCATAATTCTTCAAAGAATAACTCAAATCATCAGAAGCAAGATCGTAATCTTGTAAAAAATCAAAGTTTAAGGGCAATTCGAGGTTCTGGTGATTGCAGATATAAACAGACTAATAATATGAAACAAGAAAAATATAAAAAGTAACGAAAAGTAAAAGTCACGTCGTATACATTTTTATTACTTCAATTAATTGATAGGTAAATACAGATTATACATTGCTTATATTTAAAGCAATTTTTATAAATTCTGTTTATTTCATGTTTCAGGTTGGTATCAAAGCAAATATAAAAGTAATTCCAAAGAAGTAGCATGTTAAAAGTATTATCTGGATGGAAAAATATGCTTGATATCACTACGAATATTACATCACAAAGAAAACGTACAAAACTGAATGTTATATTTTACTTTAAAAGACGTGGACGATCTTTTTAACAAAAAGAACGTACCGTGATATCATATATATATATATATATATATATTAATTTCCTAATTAGTATACTGCAAGTGTGTATTAAGTATCATACTATAACATCACATTGTATTATTGGCTAACATTAATCAAGTAGAACCAACCAATACTATAAACGAGTAGTTTTTATATAAATTATTTATTTGTGCTTTTGTTTGTTGCAAATTATGTTTCTTATCAAACTTATTGTTAGATGTTTAACACGTAACAAAGATTTCTCATTCATTCGAATGTATTATTGTTTCTTTTAATAATAATTATTTAATAAAAATGAGATGTGGAATTTATTTGTAGTGTACCTGCAGTCATTAACTATAGTACGTAAGTTAAAAAAAAATTAATAATCCTGATATCAGAAGTAAATTTCAAACCGAAATTCCCCTATTCCGCCATTTTAAAAGTCGTGGCACCTCTTTGCATATTCTGTGATCCTGATACCAGGAGTAAATTTCGAGCCGTAAATTCCCCTACTCTGCCTTTCTAAAAATCGTGCCACCTCTTTGTATATTCTGTGATCCTAATACTTGATAAGAGATGCAGGGATATAAGGGTTGCAGGGATGTAAGAGATGCAGAAATGTAAGGGTTGCGGGGGTATAATTGATACAGGAATATAAGGGATGCAGAGATGATTGAAAACTACAGAATGTCTAATATTGTTGGATCTATAGTCACTGCGCTAACAGTAACATTCCTTCGTCCTTGACGGTCTAACGCATACTAAGCTAACGTTCCAACGGTTTATGCATATATTTATGATGGTTACCTTCACTCCAGTATTCATTAGCTCGGGGTGGGAGATATAAACACAGGTTTGTCAGTTTGTCCTTACTAAATTTAACGTTCTTCCATATATAAAGCTTTTACCACATTTTGTTCCCTGTTCATCTATTTGGTTTATAAACTTCAGATCGTTAATTTAACTATTAGTATTTCACCTGTAAAAACTTTAAGACGATTGATTTCCTTCTACGTTTTATTACGTATCTTAAGTTTTTATTTGTATAATCTTCATATTAACTGAAATCTATAAAAATCAAGAATACTTTCTTCCTATTTAAATATATGAAAAACAATGGCCTGCAATGATACACAGAAGGTAAATCTGATTACTTTTATTCTTAATATTTAGATAATTATTATTCACTGTATTTTTCTATGTTTCAATTAGGTGGAAGTAATAAACCTTGCTACAAAGTACCAACAAAGTTATTATGAACTTCTCCCCAATTGGTTTGAATATGATTCTACTAATTATGAATATATAAGACATCAAGTTGGATATGCTCTTTTTGGCCATTCTCAAATAATAAATCAAGGTAATGGTACTTCTCCTCAAGTTCCTACTGGAAGTAATGATGATACATTTGGTGGAATTGTATATGATAAAAAATCATGTAAAGTTATCGACAAGATATACCAACAAATAATTCAGTATGGAAGGAAAGATAAAAATAGCCCTATTTATACTGGAATTATATATAATATAATAATGATACATCAGAAGCCACAAAAGAAAATAAAAGAGACAGATAAGAAGAAAGAAATCAGTAACATGCATGCCTTACCAGTGTTTAAGATTCAAAATGATACGGATAATGTATGGTATATAGATAACGAAGGTAGAATATATAAAAATTGGAAGGACTATTTGACTAACAATACGTTACCCAAGTGTACTATGATTTTACCCAAAGATGGAATCTATCAGTGTGATCCAAACTGCAAAGTAAGCGAATATTCTTCAACTGTATGGATTGAAACACTGGATTCACCTGCTTGTGCAACTAAACATTCAGTTCTTTCTGCTCTTGATATTGCTGCGAGCACCATATCTTTAGGTGCTGGTATCGGATTGGGTGTTGCTACTTTTGTTACACCTGCTGGACCTGCATTGATAACCGCAGGTATAAATATTTCCCCTCTTTTCTATTCTATTATAACAGTTATAAGTTTTTTCAATAGATTTTGTTTTTCAGGTCTTATCGCTAATGGCATAAGCGGTACATGGAATATCGCTAGAAGTTCGCAAAAATTAATAGATTTTTCTAAACACAAACAGTCTATTAATCCTATAAGTAAAAATGCGTTTCCTTCATGGCTTGGAATGAGCAGCTCGGTTTTGGCAATAGGAGCCAGCGGAGGAACGATGCTTCTATCCAGAGCTGCTAGAACTGCTGCACAAGGCAAGAATATAAGTACAGCGGTTAAACTGGCACACGATTCAATGGTAGTAAGCAGTTTAACTGTCCATGGGGTCGGCATAGCGTACGATGGATATTGTTTAATCGACAAATATCAAGAGGAAAAGAAAATTGATTTGGCTGATATAACTATCTTTGTTTCTCATGTATTGTTCTTTAGTAATACCGTGATTAACGCTAAATTAGCTAATCAGATGATAAGAACATGGAAGGGTACCATTTTTGAGAAGTTTAAGAATATTTTACGTATCAATCGTCTTAAGGAGGAATGCAATAAGATTGTAAGAATGAAGAACTCAAATGTACAAAAGAAATCAGACGGTATTATATATGGATTAAGAAAAGTTATCAGCTCAGAAGAATTTTTAAACAGTCTGAGCAGGACAAGCTGGACTCCTAATTCCTATATACACTATCAGAATGATAAAATTGTTCTGAACAATATGAAATTATTAGACCCTATGGTGTTCATTGGACACGTGTTGACGATCGGTTCGGTAGGATTAAACTTAATACAATCAGGTATATTGGAAGATATTCAAGGCACAGATGAAGTATTCCTGAAATTAAAACGCGTGCTAGGGCGATTATTAAACAGATTCTATCCAGATAAAGTTACTTCGGAACAGTCGCTCGACGTTAATAATTTTGACGAGCTGCTAACAGAAATGAAACATGTGACAAATGCAAAAGATATTTTAATCAAGGTCTTTAAAATCTCAACAATTGTAATAAGTCGTTGCAACAGTCCTGGCCAATTTATCAATGAAATGATTTACTTTCTATGGTCATATTGTAAAGTAACTTTAAAAGAACACATCGCAGAGACTGGCTGCAAGATTAAGAATAACGGAAGCTGGGTATGCAACCTATTACACAATATAGTTACATGTATGCACGATTACATCGATACGTTAGGCGACGATTTATTTGCAGCCTTTTATACGTACATATTAAACCGTGAAAGAACAGAAATGTATAATTATAATGAACAGTAAACAGTGTACGTATTACTAGTGATACTGAAAGAAATATTTTTATATTAATTGTAAATGACTTGCTAGTACAAGCATAAAAAAATAAGTATTTTGTGATTAGTATTAAATAAGCGAAATTTATTATTAGAAGAGAATAAGACTGCCTGAGAGATTATTTAATTTTCTGTATGAATCGAACGATAATGTTTCTGTAAAATTTATTTTTAATGCATGCGAGTATTGCTTTATATTGCGAATATTGATAAGATAAAATATACGAGAATATGTATCGCACAGAAGTGAAGGCATTCAGTTTATTTTTTCATTTCCTCCCAAATATTTTGAATACATCTCACACAAATATATACAGACGATACTGAGCACATTTACAACTTGTTTCTTTCTGAATCATTGGTCACGTTTATCGTTTATAAAGACACATCCACAAAGCGAGCGTTACACGAGAACGTCGTCGATTAAAAATTCTCCCCATAGAACAACGACCCCGTGGGGTATATCGTGGTGCGTATTTTTTGAAAAATAAATTACACCTAAACTAATTTACCCGAATAAATTACTTAGGTACCCGCGGTGAATGGATAAGAAAAAATCTCTTGGAGAGTATTGATTCATTGTTTGTCCTCTGGCAAACGACGATAATACTGATCCACCAATTAATAAAACGTACGGTTCTCCATTGAAATAATTTATCATCGAGTTATAAATACGAAGTGAAATTGATAGCTAAGAATAAATAGTACATAATGCATAATAGTTCAATTTTATCTACAAAATATCGTCGTCCATGAGTACTTAGGTACACGAGCGTTCAAATTGTAATCATTCAATATGCTGTCACCTTACATGACCCATCAACTCTCGACAGTTTACTGTCGATCGTTAAAACGCGATAATTTATAATAATTAATAATCAATATATCACGTACACGGTTGTATAAACGCGTTAATTAGCTCTCTCTCTTTTCCTCTCTTAAATATGTATGCACGTAGTTTGCCACGCCGTCCCTTAATTATAATTAATAATTAATTACAGCTTAACGCGTGAACGACGTTCGTATTTCTGGTCTAACGTGACAATAATAACACATAATTAATCTCGTAATCTGGAAAAATCGTTTCTCCGTGTGCGTTCGAAGAAAATGAAGAAAATACAATTATTTCATTTTGGCGAGACCGTTGCACTCTTCTCGACTGATCCCTTGTTTCTGTTTCTCTCGTAATTATGTACAAATGTATCACGAACGTAGAAAACACGATAACGAAATGAGAAGATAAAATAGAGAAGCATTTTCGAGATCGCAAAGAAAAAGAAACGCTCAATGTATACGTATATCCATCGTTTAGTCGCTTATGATAAAACTAATCTTGTAACTTGGTCGTCGACTCATTTCATCTTTCATTCTTTGAGATTTCGTCGATCGTTGAAGCAAGACCTCGAGAAACAACGAATGGAATGTATAAGAGTGTTTCAAAGGTTTGTAGAATGCAACTAAGAAGCCCTGTTACGCTTCTTCTTGTCAACTGGCGATATTTAAACGGATGATCATCAGTCTGTTGCATTTTCTGTATCGCACTTTCAGAATAGACGATTCATACTCTTCTCGATGTCGATTGAACACTATAAAATCCGTCCCAAATAGGCACACCAGGTTCTCGCTGATCTCTGTCGTGTGATATTAAGAATACTTCACAAATATAATGTCTTTAACCCTTTCAATTTTAAGTGAGCCTAACATGGAACCTCAGACATTCCTTCCCCTATGTTTCTCTTTAATTAAAAGAGCTCTAAATTACACCAGACTGTACTGATTCTTCAAGAACATCAACATAGTCTTCTCAATTAGACTATACATAATAGATTGTACCCAACCGGTAAAAGATTACATAAATACTGTATCATCCAAAATAAACAACCTCTAACATTATCACTCTGATACTGATTTTTAAATATTATAGACAGAACACAGGTGTATTAAAAAAATAGTACAAGTTCTGAACGTGTTTCCAGCGAACAAAATTTCTTAGTCAAAAGACAATCTTCACCAACCGGATATAAGATTAAAATTTACTTTTCATTATCATTTTTCTATCACAAAGACCTTTCGATCTATCCAAACTCTTAAACAACACAAGCTATTCAATTATCTCATCGATGATCACCGACATAAGTTAACGAGCTCTCGAAGAATCAGCTAAGCCAGGTAAGTCCTAGGATTGCTCTTCGAATTTCCAGTGTCGTCCTTGGTGGTGCAGGACCAAGCTTCTTCGGCCAAGCTGCCGTATCTCTGCACCCCTGGGAAGGGTGGTCCGGTACTCTGGGGCGAGTAATAACCACCCTTCAATTGATAATAGTTCCCTGTCTGTTGATACTGGTACTGGTCGCTGGATAGAACGTTGCTGTATCCCGAGTACGAGCTGTACTGCGAAGGAGAGTAAGAGGACGGGTATCCTCGTTCGCTCAGGCTTCGGTAAGGCCCCGGATGTTGGGGCCTACCCTCCTGTCAGACTGGCGTGCTAACAGCCGGGCTGGTTATGTAGTCGATGTCGCCGATGCTTTTCACGCGACGATGCCTCTTGTTGCTGGTTATCGGTCGGGGCGGTAATTGGGGCGGGGGCGGTGAATTGCTGCGGGCGCTGCTCATGTACTGGCTGGCCAAACTTCCGGTATCCGACGAGGACGATGGCGATGCCTTCTCGCTTCTCGGTCGTAAACCAAACGCTCGACTCAACGATCCCTGCGGAGAAACGGTTAACGGAGTTACGAGTTGAGATTTACGTGGTCTGAGTTTTAGGTCCGCGTCTAGACTTCCTCGAGGGGAACGAGGATATCTATCAGCTACACGGAAGTCTAACAGAGTGGGGATGGAGTTTGCGAAATGTGATTTGGATGCTGGTCAAAGTTTCCGAGTGCAGTCTTTTCTTAGGGAAAGTTTACTTTAAGTTTAACTTATAGCAAATGTTTAAAATTGATTGATTTGTCTTATAAGTTAATTTAGAAATATTGCGACTAACACTCGGAAGCTCTGATTACTCTAGCGATTTAGATAATGAAAGTTTTAGAATTCGATGAGGATTAAAGAAATGTGAGGAGAGGTGATTTTTTATTTGATTGTGATCAAGCTGAGGATGCACGTGCAGTCTACGCTTATGCAATGTATAAAATTGTACAGGGTATACGAAGCATGATTAAATAAAAATTAAGAAATGAATATATAATTAATTAGAAATTGATTAATAAGGAAGATAAATTTGAACGAAAAATTTATAATTGTTGCTACGTGTACGACAAATGAGAAATTGTGAGAAATGAAAGGAATATAAAATAAGAATAATCATGGCACGCAAATAGATTATGGGCGCATACCTGTGAGCTCTTCCACGACAACTATTAAAGGACGAAACAAGGAATATTAAGAACCCACGCCGTGAATTCCACATTGAAATCATCAGTTTATATTTACAATAATGGCTCGTTATTGTTATAATTGCGTTAAGGTTGTTAAAAATCGAGTGTCTGCGCTCGGATATTTCGTTTCATTCTTTTCTTTTTCTTAATGCAATGTGCTCACTACGATAATGTAACCGTAAAGACGGTACACTTTGAATAACATACATGAAAAGGAGAGACGTGGTAATTGATTTGTTGCTTTATCTATGTACAGTGTTTACAGTGTGGCGGCGATACAATCAGCCTTCGAACGAGAATTTTTATTATTTAATAGTCGAGGGTAACTAAGATTCGCGGCGTTTTTACTCGTAATTCATCGAACTTCAATATTTCATAAATAAAAATTATTAAAAATCGAAAAGTAATGAAAAATACTTGGGACAGAGAAAGAAAATTAAACAAAACTATTAAAGTTTCTAAATTACAATGGCTTACCTTGTACACTCGTATAATAATAAATAAATAAATGATTTAAATTAAAGAAATTGTATATTTTGCTGTTCGATGAATTACGGATCAAAAGACTTGTTCTTTTTTTTTTTATTTTAAATTCGACTAGGTTAAGCTCGTGTTACGCGAATATATCGCGAGATATGGAATCTCGATCTCCTTAAAACTTCGATGAAATACACGCTGCGAATCGTTTACAAGTTTTACAAGTAACAGGGGGATAGGATCTTTTGTGTGTATCTACGATAACAGGCGAATGTCAGTGTATTTTCAAAGACGCTCTACACTCTCGGCGAGATGTCCCGAGAATGGCCGAGTATGAGACTCGTCTCGCCTCGGCTATCTTCGTCTCGCTTCGGCCTTCTTCGTCGCGCTTCGTCAGCGCTCGACTCGAAGGCGGTAATTTTAATCCAAGTCAACGAGATTTTTTGGCAAGAACGAGAAAATGAATGAATGTAGTAATAAACTAACAAGTGAAATGAGAATATAGAAAATATGTCTGATGTAGCTTCGCGTTATTAATTTCTCGCCAAGAGTGTAGAGCGGATTAGACCGAGGGTCGAGATCCATTAGAATCGTCCAAATTTCAGCGGAGTGTACTCGTGAGATCAATTTTTGAATGTATTTGAAAAATTGCTTACCGAGACATTTCGCTAAAATCCAGACAATGACTATCTACGATGTTTCTATCAAAAAACCGAGACACGAATTGTTTTCCTAAAGTTTCCCCGAGAGAATGCCTCAAGGTACTTCGAAATGAAAAAGAAAAATCAAAATCGAAAATTCTATCGTTCGAGTTTTCGATAGATTTATTTCTTTGATCTTGAGGAAACTTTGAGGAATAGCGTTTGAACGTACGCAAACTGAATAGTTGAAAAAGAAAGAGGAAATTTTATATTGGAGCCCCCTATGACAGTGATTTATACACGTAGAGCGAAAGAAAGGATAAACTAATACAGATATATAGATACATATACGTATATATAAATATATACATATATTATACCGAACCTTTTTCAAGTAAAGAAGACTGCAGGTCTGCGACGATCCACAGGATGCAGGGACAATGATTAACGTTAGGTCGAGCTCATAGCTCACAGCTTTTAACCCTTATCAAATTCGAATTCAATTACGTTGTAGTTGCAGATAATTCTTTTTTTTTTTTAACTCATATAAATCAAATAAATTTTTCTAATACAAATCTCTATATCAAACACACGAATAGTGAACAAGTATTCTTTATCTGTGTCTACAAAGTGTGAACGGATCTCGATAAGGGTTAAATTCGATCAGGATATATCATTGAAATGGGAATTTCGTATTTCGATAGAATGCTGCGCGAGCGTCCTAACCTAAGCGATGCCATGCAATCGTGCCAATGAAGAAAATTAAACGAAATAAAATACTCAATATATACAACTAAAATGACGACAAATTAACATGACGGCACCTGTGAATTGTGCATGATCGAACAAGTTCGTAATCAATAATTGATCGAGTTATTCTCTGCATCCGATGAAACAATTCCCAAGTATCGATAAAATTATAACCAAGTAACTCGAGCAATTATTGTAAATAATTTGTTATGCGTGATTATGCAATAATCAGGGCCGTATTTAAATAAATTTGCCTGCTTCGATTTTGGAATTTTATTAAAAACATTTTAAGGGCCCCGATTTTCATTTGCATGCCTAGGAACCGTCAACGATGGCTCTTTATGTAATAAATATTAATTAGGAAAGCCATCTGTGACGTATTAATCACGATATCGTTCAAGGCAGACTGCTTTTTAAATTTAATTATCTAAAACTTTGGATTAACCTAAAGAAGAAAATTCTATTTTTTATTTAAAAATACAATAAAAGAAGCAGTAGGCTAAGAACGAAAATCGTAGCCTGCACCAGCTCGAGGAAGAGATTAAGGTGAAAAATCGATAAAATACCACCGAGTTTCCGGTGCAGTTGTGAATGGACCGGGGTGTCTTTGAATCTATACGATACGTTACCCTCAGGCTGGATCTGCGTCTATCGACCGTTCCCGAGTGATTGGCCGTCATATGAAGGGCGGACAGGGAGCTCTGATGATGCTGAAGATGTAGGGCCCTGCTTCCACGACCGAGGCTACCGCCCGCGCTCACGGTGCTCATAGGACGACCTCCGGCTGTGCTGTTCCTCGGGACCACCTCCAGCTGACCTCTACACACACGCACACCACGCTACATGCACGCCTTTCCTGACCTACACTCATCCTGACCGTTTATATCCACACACCTTGGTGACACCGCGGACACACACACGTTCGGCACGTTTTGCAGCGAACCTCTCCTATTTTTTTCAACTAAACTTACTATATGTGAGACTAAGGTCTGTGCCTTACAATAAAAATAAAGGATGTGTCCCATATATGGATTCCAGAACAGTATTTTGACAATGGAATTGAAAAATATTAATTTTCTCTTGTTAACTTTATAGGGGAGAAGATTGATAAGTGCAGAATGTTCTGTGCGAGTGGAATAATTAAAAAAATTAATGGTAAATTAATTAAACAGTGGCTCGCTGCAAGTGCTCGACGATAGAACGAGATGTATCATAATGAATATCTAGTTACAACATAAATATACATACACAAGCATTTTGTGCACCATCGATGTAGAAGAATGTATAATAATAATAATATGATTTACTGAACGCCAAAGATGCCCAGGGTAGATCCAGGGTGGATCGATCGAGACGCATCGAACAAGGCTGTTCAATCAATTGGATTAAACACCGAACAATCAAAAAATGTAAATATCAAAGTTGGCAAATCAGAAAAAGATGAAAGGAATCCATAATGCACGCTGGTGTGATCCGTGGTTCCATTACAATTACACCGTTCCTATGTTTTCTATAAAGAAAGAAATTAATATTCTATCATTGCATAAAGAATGTTAAAGAAATTAATCAATTTTCTAATTTTATACAATACAGCTGAAGATACTATACAAAGATATTTACTTTCCTATTTCAGTGTCAAAGAGATATTTGATATAAGAAATCTCTGTCATTGATATATTTGTTTAAACAAAACGATCACGGATTACACCAGAATTACTAATATTAACGTGTGCTGTACATAGCGCAGTGCAGTGCAGGCGGCAGCTGTGGGCTACGGCTCAGCTATGAGAGACATTACCGATGGATCCGCGATCGAGTGGACTGCAGACCCAGCGAATCGCTGCGGTGCCGAGTACAATGTTTTAATAATTAATAGTAATAATAATAATAAATTCCATCGAGTATACTGCATGTTTGTATATGTACATTATGTCGAGACTGTACTGTACTGTATATACGTGTGTGTATTCCCGATATATCCAAGTATGGCGTGTGTATTACGGATGAGTACTTACATACTAAACCAACAGCGAGCAAACCTCGACGGTATCGAAACCTGTTCCATCCCCGTTTCACAGACGAGATTTACTCGAGCCAGCATGCACAGTTACCTCATTGTAGTATTTATCTATCTCATCATGCGTTTTCTGCATTGTTAATCGTTTCGTTCCTCGTCTCCTAGTTGGATTAGCTAAGGTCTCTTATGATATGTATGATGTCCAATGTCAGTTTGTCGTAATGAACTGATTCTATCTTTTTGTTTCTTGTTTGCATTTAAATTGACTGATTCTAGAAACTGAGAGATAGTATGATTTTAAAACAAACATGAGAGATAATGGTAGGAAGCTTGTAAAGTAACTTGTTCTAAATTTCAAACGACACTGGTCGTTTTTTTTTTTTACAGAAAAAGCATAGCTTGTAAAGTTGCAGATATCTTCCTCTATTATTTTCATTTGATTTGTCTTTCGTCTTCGAATAGCATAATAGAAGCCTTACGATTCTACTATTCTTTGCGTGTATATCGTGATTAGATTCTAAATTACCCTTTGCTTGATTCTCGATTATATACAAACTTTCCAATATTATACTGTTTCTATTAAAAACGCTTCAACGGAAGCGGAAATTTTCATCTTAAATAACATTAATGCAAGTTACTTTGTTTAAGCTCGCCCGATTATTATGTACAATTTCATCGATCTTGAGACGGATCAATTAAATGATATTCCCCCGAATATTAACATCAACGATCAATGATTTTTAATTGATAGATCAAAATTGGAAACCCTGAAAAATTGAGGCCTATCGATTAATTTCGTACGGTAACAATATCTATAAAGCTGAACATTGTTCAATGAAAATTCTTACGTTTATCTACTAGTAACTATTGTAAAATTTCTGAATACTAGAAGGTAACGTTGTAAATAGTTATCGCGTTAATTTTTATGCGTACAAACACGTATGATAATACACTTTTCTTCCGTGTAGATAATTGACAAGTGTCTCAGCGATATATTCTCTAAAATAGCTTCTTCTATAGATCACCGTAGAAAAACGATCCCATCATGCTTCTATTTGTATCAAATGAGAATACTTTACCGCTCGTTTGCAAATTATACTCGTCGTTAAGCGATATTCAAATGTGTCTCTGAGTCATCGATCTACCTTAATACATATATTTGTTCTAGCCTGAAAGAGAGCACCATGGTATCTCGTGAATTCTATAAAACCCCCTTTTGTAAAATCAAATCATCGATGCACTGACTCTCTCTCTCTCTCTCGAGCAAGAACCATTTAAATGAAATCTCGAAGACGATGAATTGTGTTTTGCGACGTCGAACTCGTTTTGTTAACGAGGTACGACGTTTATATCGATTAGTGAGCGTTGTCCAATGTGGCCTCTGGATGATAGTAGACTGAGTACCTTGCTGGAACGACGAGTGCTTCCAATTCGGCAGTCAGGTGTCGTCTGATCATGTGTTTTGCAGGTGGTATGCCCAGGGCTGTGGCCATCGTGTCACCGGTGAATGATGGTTCCAGCACGACGAGAGCACCGTGTACGCCTGAATCTGTTTAGTAAATAAACCAACGTTTCTATTCGATGTATCAAATGACTGATTTCGAAACCCAGGACAATTCCTTTCAAATACCTTTCAAGTTCTCCGCGTATTCGGTTAGATCAATGTTCCTTGCCCATCGAATAAACCTCTGATTCGTCCAAACCAGCGGATCCGTGTCGACCTGTTCGCACTGATGTCTTCTTATCGCGAGTGCCTATTATTAAATCAAGATTTCTTTATTACAGTAACGGCAGTTCGGAAACGAAAGAGGAAAAAGACGAGCGTGTATTTTTACTTGACGATCATAGTTGAGCATCCGCAACAGATGAATGCCGTGCACGATGCTGGCCTGGTGAAACTTTCTAGTCACCCCGAGCAACTTTTCCAACTCTTTTTTGCTCAGATGATCGAGCATCCTCGCGTCCACCATGTTGGTGGCGAAACTTTCGGAATACTGAGCGAGACCAAGATCGGGTAACCATTCGGAGCTAACCCAAGTATGACCCAGTTGAGCAATACAGGGATATCGAACAAGACTCGGATGTCTATGTTCTTCTATGGCTAAACGTAGTTTCTTCCTGTGTAGGGGATGTGTCACACCTAGACCAGCTTCTAATTCTTGGTCGTTCAGTTCCAACAAAACCTATACGAATAATTATAAAGAAATTATTTATCATAGTTAAACGGATTGTACAAAATCACTTACTTTGCCGGATTTAATATTTTCAGCGCATCGAGGCCCGTATTGCGGCATTCCAAGAGCAACCTCCAACCAGGCGAGCACGGTTGGTGCTCTCCATCTTTCCATAGGCACGGATGCGGCTTCTCTGAGCAAACGAAGCTTCTCGGCGTAGCCTTCTTCCGTGAGAGGCGACCATGACCGGTAAGGATCGAAACCATCCGAACCTTCGTTGCTTCCGCTTCCTCCGCTCGAATTGTTTGCCGCCTTTCGATGCCGCGAACGCGCGAATACTCTAAAAATTGATGTAACGAAACTGTCCTTCAGCTAGGAAGATGCTATACACTTCTGTGGGATCGTAATCTATCTCTTCAATTGATTTTATTGAAACGATGATTATTTAAATTCGAACTTCAGAATTGCAGGCTTTTACCTAGAAATAGAACCCCAAGTGCCTCCCCGAGTTGCAGAGGATCGCGAGTGCGCAGCAGGTGCAGCGACAGGTGTACTCTGCTTGTTTCTTCTCGGCTCGGATTCCAACGGGCTCGACAATTGCTCGACGGATCGCGATAACGAGGAGTTGTCCATGGACCTGGAGAACGCGTTCAGAGGCGACAACGTCGGGCTGCAATCTTTCGGTGTAGTCGCTGCTGGAAGAAGAAGATACATAATTTATCGATTGTACTCGAAAAATGAATAAAATATTTCTTTAACGTTTATCATTGTATTTGTGATATTCAACGATCTTGGTTTCCTTCGAGACGAAGAAACACCTGCCTTCAGTTTTCCGATCGCAACATTCGATGCAACATAAAGAACACACAGCGTATTCCGAGTTTCGTAGGCACAGGTTTTCAATGTCTGGATATTCATCGAAACAGGAAAATATAAAGGTGTGAAAATTGAAACGGTATTTAAAAAAATAATACTATCCTATTGAATGGCGTGTGCATTCTAACTCGAGTACATCCACTGTCCGGATATTAGCGAATAATTGGCCGCAACACGTGCATGCGCATGCATCACCTTCGATATTAATTTTCGATATCAATTACCATCGGTACGATTGAACAGATAAATAAATTAATAACAGACGAATCGCGGCTTCTCGTAATCAATTAACGCTGTTTGTTATCCTGAAAACATTTTACACATATACAGATATACGCATACACAACAGGAATTAACAGAATAGCAAAAATTAGAATTCCATTTAATTTAATTAAACTTCTTGAATTTTTTCTCAAAGCAAATTTTCAAGCAATGATTTCATTTGTTCGATGAAAAGCATGTGTTCCAAGTGAGAAGAAAGAAACATAGAGATAGAAGAATTTAAAAAAAAAAGAAAAGGAAGAGACACATAGAAGCAGAGGAATCCTCTGGACGAAAGGATGATGAAGAAACGGTCAAGGAGACGACGATCAGCGATTTTATGTTTGGACACTTACACTGGTATATGTGGGATGGTGCAATGGAGGAAACCACGGAGATGCTGTCCATGTCGAGACCGCTTCCCTCGACTGTAATTGTCGGTGTGCCTGCGCGGAAATATATAAAGTAAAGAAAAAAAATATTTTCGACGCTACGAAGAACCATCGTTACCCCCTCTGACACCCCCGCAGTTTCAGTAAATTTGCCTGTTCTTTATGTTGCACATTTAATAATTACACCATCTACTCGAGATGATAAATTAAAAATGAAACTTTTAATTAACGATCAAAACCGTGTTCAACGATAATTTCCAGTTCATTCGTAAAAGTATTATTAAAATTTCCCTCGAATAAACACCCGATAGGAGAATAATATTTTCAACAAGGATGGGTTTAAAATTCATGCAGTGGGACATGAAATATGCAGCACGGGTATTTCATGTCTGACCACGCTCGATTGTCCTAAGGCAAATCGATCAATTCGTTTTAATGCGCCGACACGAGAACTGGTTGAATAATATACGAAGGAAATGCGCTCGATTAGTGCGCACCACCTACGTTCGACTAACACTCGTGGTTGATGGAAGCCATCAAATCCTTTCTCTCTCTTTTTTTTTTTTTTATTCCACTGACTCTCCAACAACGGATGCACCGTAATGCACTTTAACCAGACGATTAATCTTACCCGCTCGTTGTACCTAAAGTATCCTCGCCTTCTAAACGCTCTGATGGATAATAATAGCTATCGTGTGTCGTATGCGATTCGAGAGAAATACTGAAGAAGGAATTTTTTAAAATATCATTCGATCGCGAGTTTACTAAATAAGGATGTGTGGGTATCTGACACATTTGTCGGGCCGGGCATCGCTAGTTCTAAAAGAGTAAATAAATATTAGAATGAAGAATTTGAAAACACGAACTTTTCTTACCATCGGTGGTCGAATCGGATAGATTTCCACCCACGCTCGTGGCGCCACCGCTTTCTCGGTCACTGGATCCACGAACACCGCTGTCCGCGCTGCAACTTCCTCGATCGCCAGCCTGTCCACCGGAGGAACCAACACCTGCCGCATTCCCTACGTTCCCAACGGTCACTCCTAGCTCGGTGCTTCCTAACGGTGGTTGAGAATTCATATGAGGGATGATACCGCAGCCGCCACCGCCGCTGCTGCTTCCGGCTCCCGGTGTTGCCGCCCCATTCACGCTACCCCTCGGGAACGAGACCAAGGATTCCTGGTCGCTCAAGCAGATACCACCGCCTCCGCCTCTTTCCGCCAATTGACGCTGCAACTGTACCAACAAATCCCACCTTTGTATTCAGAAAATCATTTTCAAATTGCCTTGATTTTAACCCTTTGATACCGAGTGCTAATAAATAAAAGTTTTGCGAAATATTTGCCCTACCGATCGATGTAACGCGATTACGAGCAGTTAGGTAAGAAGCATCTCGTACATGCAATTACTCGGAGGGGTGAGTCTGCTTTGAGCCCTGAAATTGTCCTCGACGATGCGCATAAGCAGACCCGTTCCTCCGGTTAACGTGTTTGAAACCGTTACTTTCGAACGCGTTCCGCTCACGCACCCCTTCGAAATTTACATTTCGGTCCGAAATTTGGGTCCGAAATAGTGCAAAACGACACAGACCGGAGCAAAATCGTGCAAGGGAGCGCGTTTATAGCGAGAAACGGGTCAAAACGGCCTGTAATTGTTGAACCGTCGCTGATATCGTCCAACTCTCGACGGAAATGTACTATTTGGGTCCGAAATAGTAAGAAACGACACAGACCGGAGCAAAATCGTGTAAGGGAGGGAAATTTACTAGAATTTTCGACTCTGCCAAAGGGTTAAATTTATTAGGTAGAATGTAAGAGAATATAGGATTCGAGGAAGGATTTACCTCTTTAATGGTCGCGTGTGCGTGCGAAAGGGCGGCCTCTTTGTCGGCCAAACTAGCCGCCAGGCTGAGGCTTCGATCCGCTTCGTCCCTTGCCGCCCTTAAAAGACTCCAACGTTCCCTTTCTCTCTCCCTTTCACGTTCCTCCGAAGGTATGCCGGCTCCTTGCTGCTGAAGGCGTCCTAACGTCGCCTCGTTCTCCCGCATCCGCTGTAATCAACGGTCAAAGAGACCCATATCCGGGCAGTAACTCCGCCCAAGACCGCCACCGTTTAACAATGCATGCGGCACGCGGGTACAAAGTGAAAAAGAGATTCCTTTGAAACGTGGAAACATCGGACTGATTAGAGATCACGGTCGGGGTTTATTAATCGTACAATTTTCTTCGTCACAGGAAAAATATGGGTCAATGATTTTCTACCCCTTTCCCTTCCGCAATCTCTATATTTTATTCGCGAGTACAACGCGAGTAAATCTGGAGAACAACGTAAGACACCATTTTTCAAGCTTAACTACCTCGGTTTTTCTTACCCTTTTTTCTGAAGCACAGTGTTCGTTACTCGACCGACGAAGGTAACTCAATAGCGGGCGGGGGTAACTCTTCTGTTATTTACAGGTGTCATGTACCTTCACCTATTAGCCAACAGGATATCAACTACGGAGAACTTAATCCACTTATCTCTCCCTCGGGCGCAAGGAAGTTCACGGTACGTATAACAGGTGTTGCAGTCGGTTTATCGGCTAAACTTTGGGACAACGCGATTACTGCCACTCCAGAGGATCGGTCAGGTGTTACCCGTCGGCCGGTCAACATTTTCCGAGTTAAAAAGTATCGATGCATCGTACGGTCGCACGGGTTTTACACGCGGTCGTCCGGAAAATCGGCTGCGTACACGCAGGTGACAGGAATTCTATGTCGTGTTTCTGGTTAAAAAATTTTCATTTCTCATTTTCTGTAATTAGAATTTCATAAATACATTAGAAAATTTTAATTATGAAAAATTCTCTTTTCGATCGATTAGCCCGGAGATTAGTTCGAGGGGTCCCTTCACATAAAAAGAAGTAGCTCAAATACAATTTATAAAATTAACATTAAAACTTGAAATAATTAATTTACATTGATTAATATTCAAATCGTCTTACGGGGGTCTTAAACGGCCGCCTATTCTGCCTAGGCTCCGGCTCTAACACCGACGGTTCCTTTAGAATAGTAGAAAAAATGTCGCTAATTAAGTTCAAAGGATTGATAAGTATCAAAGGGTTATTTGCGTCAACGCATTCACCACGAGGATGTTTCTTGCACATCAAAGTTCACTGAGCCGAGCGACCGACTCTGTACTTCCGGTTCTACAAGGTAGATAGTGCAAATGTTAAGTCTCGCAGCAAGAAGGAAAAAGGAGAAGGAAAACACAAAGACGAGCGTACTTCTTGTAGAACGGTGACACGTCGAGGCTCGTTGATGATGAAGTGGATTACGCACGATGCGACAAGACGTGCAAGAGGATAAAGCAAGGGGAAAATTGAAGAACCTCTTGGCGGAAGAGAATCTTCCGTAAGACCGGAGACAACGCGTATTTTCTTTCATGTTTCGTTAGAGAGAGACGAGGACTTTCTCATTAACGATTAACTTTTACTCTCTAATGATGAAGAAGAAAGGAAAAAAATTTCTGTCTCGATCGTTTTTAATTTACGAGTACCGTTGGTAATATATTCGATGAGGATCATGAGAATTAAACGAATTTGAACTCTTATATTTATTTCAAGTAGTGTAATTCAGTGTTTCGATTATTTCAATCTAGTTTCTCCAAAATTTCGCTATTCTCGGTGTAGGGTGTGACTGAATTCCTGGTACGTCTCAAAATTCATCGTAGTGAAAGGGTTAACCCAAAAAACTCGGATTCTTTTCGGTTACTCTTGAACAAAAAGTTCTGCAGTTTTCTCGAAAAAAAATTTTGAATTTTGCAATTCTCACGCCAGAATCGTAATCAACCTTATTTCATATGGAAACTGAGTGTGTTTCGAGTTATTTAACGAGGATCGAATTCCTGGTACGTCTCAAAATCCATCGTAGTGAAAGGGTTAACCCAAAAAACTCGGATTCTTTTCGGTTACTCTTGAACAAAAAGTTCTGCAGTTTTCTCGAAAAAAAATGTTGAATTTTGCAATTCTCACGCCAGAATCGTAATCAACCTTATTTCATATGGAAACTGAGTGTGTTTCGAGTTATTTAACGAGGATCGAATTCCTGGTACGTCTCAAAATCCATCGTAGTGAAAGGGTTAACCCAAAAAACTCGGATTCTTTACGGTTATTCTTGAACAAAAAGTTCTGCAGTTTTCTCGAAAAAAAATGTTGAATTTTGCAATTCTCACGCCAGAATCGTAATCAACCTTATTTCATATGGAAACTGAGTGTGTTTCGAGTTATTTAACGAGGATCGAAGGATACTTTTCATTTCCTGTCTAACAGAGATGTATATTCAAGGATATTTATCAGCTCCATAGACGTGTTTTACTGGCTTTCGCAGTTTGTTTCGGAAATACCGTCCTGTTCTTCCGGCTTAAAGGATATTTACGATCGTTAATATAGAACGTGCTGTTACTGGATATTAAAGTTTGCCTTTCTCTTTGCGCCGGATCCGGTATGATGCATCGTCGTGTCCTTATGAAAATATCCTTCCTCTCTGCCCGGCAAATGCCGCATTTTTTTCCCCTCGGATCCATTGATGCTTCGTCCCGGAGCTTTTGCAAGAAACATTAAAGACCTTCTGCATCGGGGAACGAGGGACGGTTATTAATCTTCTTTCTTACTTTTTATACTTGAAAGCAGTGTCGCGGTTAAAAGGAAGACAAACCGAACCGAGAGAGTACCCGGTCCGCAATCTTCGCGGTAAATACTTTAAGTGGCTTTCTCTAATCCTTTGTTTCTTCCTCATTGTTATCATGTTTTTCATGCAACAGCGAATAAACTTTGATTCAAAAGCTAATTTTCGTACGATTCTTACAAAAGATCTCTTGCCTTTTCTTCGGATATCGTTAGAGCTACGTTATACGCTTTGTAAAATAAAAAAAAAAAATCGCCCTGTGTTGTTCATTCGTCGAAATTGAAAGAAGCGTGGACGCGTCGGGTCGTCGCACGACGGTCGTTGGTGCAACGTTAACGGTGTCGAGAAAATGAGAAATTCCAGCAAGTTTAATGAAAGTATTTAACAGGGAAAATTGCTGTCCCACGTACCGGACTCGTGTTCCGCGTTGCAAAGCAACGCTGGTGTCGTTCGCCATGGGGAAAATTGAAATGCATTTCAACGGGATATTCGTTAAATAAATTCTTTTCTACTTTCCTCGACTCTTTCCATTTCGACGCGTTCAACTTTGAAACGTTTAAGGGAAACTATCCGAATAGATGAAGCGAATTACACCCGCGGTGTCGTTGAACGTAATTGAGCGCGAGAATGAAATTTACTCGAGCTCCGATTCCGCAGATTAACATGAAATTGTACTCACGAATATATATAACATCCCGCTAACAACTACTACTTCGTTACATGCACACGGATAGATTGAAATAACTTGTAAGGAGATCTACCTGTTCGTAGTTTCTTATAAAGTCTCGAAGTTCTCTTTCTTTGTCCTCGAGGGTGCCGTAAAGTGCCTTCATTTGATTAAGAAGATCGAACTTTTCAGCTTTCAGCCTCTTACGATCAGCCTTCAGGGCTTGCAGAGCTTCTTTCGCGTGTTGCAGTTCCATTTCGAGTGCAACGAATCGTGCCTCCTCTTCCAGGGCAGCATCCTCCGAGCCGACCTCTCCGCGTCCCGCTCCGGTGAATAACAATCTTCTCAATCTCGCTACCTCAGCTACCAGACGTTCGTTCTCTAGTCGAAGTCTCCTTGTGCTAGCTAATTCCACCGATCCCGTGCTACCTCCTCCGCCATGAATGTTTGATAGCCTCGATGCCACCAATGGATCACCGATTCCTGAACGAAACGCAGAGGGAAACGCGTTAGTAATGGAACTTAAGTTCGTTAAGCAGCAATTTACTAGAAAGGTTCAAGGAATTATTAGATGAAGAATTCTTACCTGACTCGAGCCCTCGATAACGCATCGATTCTTTCAAAGACGTTAGAAAATCTCTGGTCTAAAGAAAACTCGACCGCGTTTATATCTCGGCTTCGGGCCCGTGTTAATTCCGAGGAATCGGTAGGAACGCTGCCGAATCACGGACAGCGAATGTACCAGGGGAGGAAAGTTGAAAGGGAAGTGCTTCCATAATTAAATGCCGGGTTACCCACCCAGAGAATTAGCCGGCGACGAGGGTCTGCTGCCCGGGGCTGGTCCAGGTGGTTCATTGTCCTCCTCGGCTCGTACCTCGCCGTCCACGAGATCCTTGTCGCTGTCCTTCTCGTGATCGTTCATTTCCTTGCTGGATCGAAGAGAATCGCGATTCGTCGATATTCGAAGTCTCTCCACGCTCGATCGATCGCTCCCGCCTCGATGAAAGAAGCTTCTATTGCCGCATCCTCGATCCGGGCTCGCGCTTCCCGATCGTGAATCCACGCTTCCGCCGGAACCGGCCAGCCGCGTCTTCTCCAAAACTGGAGCGTAAGCTCGTCGCGCCTTCTCGCTCGGGCTTCGACTCGGCGAACCATTCCGTTTCTCTGCGTTATTAAAAAACGATGTTATTAGGAAAGTTGTGAGAAACGGTGTAGACTGCGGAGAGGGTGAATCATGGCAGGTCGTTAAAGAGACGGCAAACACCTGGGAGACGCGAGACACCCAACGTATCCTGAAAATCAGTATAAAGTTTTAAGCATGAAGTACTATGCAGCAACCACGGACTCTGAATTATATTGTGAAACTTTCGAAAAAAAAAAAAAGAAAAAAAAAGAATCACTGTTGTGAACGTAGTAAAAAGGAAAGATTTATGGATAAACTTGGACCATGTGAACACCCTCGGCGTTCAACTAAACTCTTTCTTTTTATTATCCTCCCGAAGCTCGTTCTTTACGCGATTTTCTTCCAAGAAGAAGCTTTAGAGTTCCCGAAGTTTGAGGAATGTAGATTCTTCGAAATATCACCATGACACTTTCTCTTCCCATAAAATATGGATAAAATGTTCTTTCTCCTGGGGAATCGAGGATTAAACGAAATTTTCAGCTTGTACGAACCTATGGGGCTGCCGCGTCGATCGATAGGGCTGCTTCTGTCCTTCCTATCCACAGGACTGCTCCTTTTTTCTATAGGACTGGCCGATTTATCGCTGGCCGAGCTTCGCTTATCGACGGGGCTGCTGCCGGCGCTCAGTCTCTTTCCATCGTCTTGGGACTGTTGCTGTTGAAGCTCGTTGCTGCTTTCCTGTCCGGGACTGGCGGTCGCGTTTCCGGTCGGATTGTTGTTGCTGTTGCCGGCAGCTAGATTGCTAGCCGCCCCGTTGTTGTTGTTCAACACGACCGGTAAAGCGCCGCGAACATCCCTTAACTCGCCACGGAGCACGGCGCACTCGCCCCTAGCTCGTTCCAGCTCCCCGTCCAGCCGGGCGCCCGTCGCTGCGTTCTCCTCCACCATCACGCGAAATTTTGCCTGAAAAAAAAATAAGGGAACAATGCGCGTTAGACGACGTGCCAAGGGTGACCCCCGGTTGTTTCGAACCGAGGAAAAAACGGGGTGTTAATCCGACGCTAACGAACAGGGATGAACGTCTCCGTTCCTCTATTCAGAGGATTATTTAACGATAGAATTACCGACGTTTGATGTATTGTTTTTAAGTTGAAAATAATGTAGAAAATTAAATAGATTTCGGTAGAGTGGGGTACAAGCAAAATATTTTGAGAAACTCGAAAATTAATTAATTAGTAATTAATGAAAAAGGATTAATTGTCTTATTTGTGTCCCACTCTGCCGAAATGATATCCATAATTTTTCAAGAGAAATTTCAAGAAAAATACCCTGATAAAATTTATAATTTAAAATAAGAAACTTAAAATCAGTGATTTTGAGCAGTTCTAATGTTAAATTGAATTTTATTTTTTAAAATGGTAAATATTGAAAATTTTTCCTGCGGATGCCTGATTCGATCGCGACGGTACAAGATGTTAAACATCGAAACAATCATCCCTGCCGTGTTCCCCAGCTATGAACTAGGATCTCGTGTCGAGAGTAACCAGGCACAAAGTCAATATCGCGGTGCAAAGAGCTTTCGAAACGACCGACACAATGGACGCCGTTTACAATGAGATTCCTGTTCCGTGTAGCTCACCGTGTTGGCTTATTAATATTGCGCCGGTTCACGTCGAAGCGAACTTTTTATCTACGGAAACGCTGTTTGTTCGTTTTACTTCGGCTCGCATTAACGTTCGCAAGTTCGCGATCCAACCGTGATGGAACTTTATACAACTTTCGATGAACGTTCATCATTTTCCTAGTGGGATTCGAAGAAATTCGTGGAGAAAATTTGCATAGTTTCCCTGGTAAAATTTCGACCACCGGATAATCGTTTAGTAACGGGTCGAACAATACCAAACGAGCAGGAACAACGAGGTCGAGTTTCTAGATCAAACCAATTCCCTGGAATTATCGTGGAAACTCTCGAACGTAATAATGGATGGGTCTCTGCTATTCCGGCCAACGCAGCAGCCTGCTTCATTCAGATAGGTCAATGATTACGGAACGTAGCTGCTGTGGTTAGCTACGAATATCGAAACTACTCGTAACACGACCGCCTAAAAGCCCTGTATCGAACCGAAATCAATAAGGTCATCCATGACACTTGACCTTCGTTCGAGTGCCCATCGTTTGTTACCAATCCTTGCCAGTTGGTCGATCGATTTCTAACACCCTTACAGTTGTATCATAATTTTTCCAAAAGGTCAATTAAATCCTCATCAAGTGTATATCTTCGTCGATTGAATCTTCCGAGCGAGCAACTTCCAAGCAAAGACCATCGCTCACTGTTCAAACATCTTTGATGTAGTAACCCGTTCAAGTGCTTCCCCCATCGATTCAATCTCGCTTGGCAAACTTTTAAGCAACGAAGAGAATCTAATAAAAGGCTAAAACTATCCGGATAAAGGGAAAATCAACGAATCTCGTTACACGGTCAACGTAGTTTCAACTCCTGATCAATAGCGGTCGAGGAAATCGATCGATTACGCTTTCGATCGGATAAGAAGATGGATAAAGGAAGAGAGAGACGGGTTGACGGACAACAGTGACTCACTGTTGGCCAAGTTCCAGGGATACAAAAGGATAAAGTCTGCGAGGATAAAGGCGTCGCGAACTTGTTGCATTCCCAGAGGCGCCTTCCGTTTTCCACCTTCCCTTCGACCCTATTCGCGCCCTTTTCCCACTCGAGAATCCTCGATAAATTTCTATTCGATGCCAGAATCCTGGAAATACCTTAGTATATTCTGTCTCTGAGACGAAAGTTGCACTTTCTAATAGATATTAACCCTTTGACTACTCTTGGCGTCTAAAGGCGCTTAAACTAATTTCAACTCTTATATTTATTTCAAGTAGTAGAATTTAGGATGCGACTGAATTCCTGGTACGTCTCAAAATCCACCGTAGTCAAAGGGTTAACCCAAAAAGCTCGGATTTTTTTCGATTATTCTTGAACAAAAAGTTCTGCAGTTTTCTCGAAAAAAAAATTTTGAATTTTGCAATTCTCACGTCAGAATCGTAATCAACCTTATTTCGTATGGAAACTGAGTGTGTTTCGAGTTATTTAACGAGATTAAATCCTTAAGGCCGGTCCACCGGTGACCCATGCACGGCAGCGAACGTGTTAACTAAATAAACTACCGGCGCCAAACAATGTCCCGTTGGTAAGCCAAGAATAGCAAAGCAAACGCAGCTTAGTTTGCCTCAACTTCATCACAATGCTTCTGGATGCTTTATGTATTTAAGGAACCTCTGTCTGTGTGGCGGGTACCGTGTGCACACAAAGTGCACCCCGATATAAGCGCCGTTCGCCTCGGCATATAGGTCAACGTTTCACAGATTAAATCATCGAGGAAGAATAAAAGCGATGCCGGTGAAGCAACCTGACCGATCGGTATCGAGACGTTATCGAGACGCACAATCCAACGGTTATATCGGACCCGATGTTCTTTCCATGCTGATCACCGATAAACCTTTCGACGATGCAATTAAGGGTGAAAGCAGCGTGGCGATTCGATCGAAGCTCGGAGAAATTCAAGCCTTTCATCGATCGACGTCCTCCGCAGTACGAGATTATTTTTCTAGAAAATTGTCAGAGGTGCTCTGATTACCGAAGACTCTGACGAACATCGATTAGTTATTCCTAGAATTAATTAACCACACGAATCGCTCTCAAAGCAAGCATCTTCCGATCGAAATTTGTCAAATCAACACTCCATTGTGGCGGTTCATTAATCGTATTTCCAGAGGCTTCAACGTATCCTAATTAAAATCCACAAAGGAACAATGCACGAATTTTCTCTTTGATCTCCTCTTTGTACTGCGAATGACAACCAGCCATTTTATATTAAGAATATTAATCGAACGTTTATATAATCATTTTCGTGGAATTTTCAGCTTCGAATCGACGCAGCGTAGAGACATTTTTAATATAGTTTTTTCTTATATCGTTCTTGTGGAAAGAGGAAAAAATAATACTTACAGAGACACTCGACATTTTGTCGGTGAAAAAATTACACTGGAAAAAGCTTGAGAAATGAGGAAACGAGCATCGTGGAGGGGGGAAAAAAAAGGGAAGTTATAAAAAGCGTAGAACTGGCGGAAAACGTTGCACATATTAAAGCGGACGATGCAGTAATTATCATGTTCGCGGTTGCGTAGGGGGCTCTGGAAGAGTCAGGCTCGAACGAGCAAGAATGGAAAGAAATATAGGCGAGAGGAGGAAGAAAATGGCAGGAGGAATGGGACACAGGGAACGAGCATTACCGGTGCCACTCGAATTTATGAAATTGCAATTTCAGTCTCGGGTTTCATCGCACCAGGGCAATTTATCTCGCAACGCGAGCAAGAAAACCTAATCCTTTCCCTTATTCCCTTGGATTTTCCTTCTGTCTAAGATTTCTACCAACGTTCACCAATTTAAATAATAATAATAATATATGAAGTAATTTTTACAATTACTCCTCATTCAATTAATAATCTAAAAATGATTAAAAAAATAAAAATTAAAATAATTTCAATATCAAAGATTAAAGAAAAGTAATTAAAAAAAATTGAGTAGAAAAAGGTAAACGTGAATTTAAATAGGGTAATTTTTTCTCGATTCAATGATTTGTATATACTTAAATAAAAATTAATTAGAATTAAAGTAATAATTATAATAAAATTAAATAAAAATATAATCCAATTAGCAAATGTTCCTTAAATATACGACATCTGAGCAACGAGATTTAAAGGTACCAGCGTGTTCCATGATGGTCGCTATTAAATCGACAGCATTCTATAGGCGATAACTATCCCTCCCAGCAGAGGGTTAGAACACATTTAATTTCGAGTACAATCCATCAGGAACAGAGCTACACGTACGAAGGACGGAAGAATTACGGTCATTCATAACCGCGAGAGCTTATGGAATTAACAGGAACGAGGCTGTGCGCAGACGAAACAACAGGAAACGTGGACCGCTAGGCTATTTAAATCATACGTCCCTTGTTGAGTTTCCAAATGTAGGTCAAACTCGAATTACACACGACTATGTATCCCAGGGTGTATTGTCCACCATTTACATTAATAATTTCAGCATTCTTCCTTTTCAAAATTAAAACAACTCGAGTTTAGAAAGAATCCCCGAGACTGAAAGTCTAATTCGAGGAGATTTAAGCTTTCCTCCTAAGGATCTTCGAAGAAGCTTTCCGAAGCTCAGGGTTTCTTCTAATCCAAGAAATTAATTTCTTCCCCTGGTTAATTTCGCGATTTTCCTCGAATCACTGCGTAAATTAAGGGAACTCATCTAGCGCGATGAAGTTGAACGCAATTAAATCATTAACTCTCGTTAATTTCCATTTTCTCGCCGCTGCTCGCACTTCGCCTGACTCTTAATTGTTGCGAAACATTCGCGCTTCCTATTCTAATTATTTATGTCACTCTTCTCTTTAAAGAAGTTCTTGAAAATTTTCAGTTTCGTTCGTAGAAGTCTACTAAGCGACTCATCGTGAAACCGGATGCCGACACCTTTTCCCCTATCGAATCGGCTTATGTCGAACACGGATTCATTCGTTTGTTAAATTCTTTTTCAGTCGAAACAGAGAACGAATAGTTCGGAGGGATGGATGATATTTTCTTTCGAGCAATAGAGAATAGAAGGCTTATCCAAAGGGGGTTAATCCATTAGCGATGGTGTTAAGGCACGCATAATGCTCGCGCACGACGCGAGTTCACGCGCGTGAAAAAGCGAACTTTCCAACCGTGTCCCATCGATTTCTATCAGAAACGAAACGTTTAACGTTTCATATTTTTCTGGCGAACAAGCTTACAGGCTTTATTCGCGAAAGAAACTAAAGCGCGTTTAAAAAGGGGTTAATTTATTCGCTTACGATGGGTGCTGTCGCGTTAATTAACCCGCAATCGCTTTATCATTTTTCCTTTTTTTTTTCGTTCGCCCACGATGCCGGTTATAATAACGTTACACACGATAACGCGGTGCGTATCTTGCAAAAGCGAACGAGGACTAGAAGGGTACAAAATACGGTGACAAGATTAATTTAAATTAAAATTCGTGAAACGTCATGGGGTCGTGCCGGTGAAATGTACTCGGTGCTGGTCGACGTGCCGAGTGCTCCGGTAATTAAATTTACATTCCTTTATTTTTTCAACGGCGAAGCGAAGCGAATCAGGCCACGAAAGGTAGAGAGAAAAAAAAAAAAATTACTTCTCACGAATTGCTACAGGGAAGAATCTGCACCGAGATTACGTTCTTCTAATTGTGTTCTGATATAATCAATTGCATTAATTAGCGCGGTAATAGGGTGTTCTGCAATAACTTTACGTAAAAGTCTGGTAAGAAAACAATTTGCTTTCTCTTCAATTTGTAAAGAAATTCTCAGCAACAAGAATTTTCCTTCAACTTTCCTAGTAGTTTCTTAGAAAGTTATGGTACAAAGTGAAATTCGGTTACACCTACAATTTGTCTCTCTCCTTCATTCCTTTCCATCTTCCCTGTTATTTTCCTTTCTGTTTGCGAAACCTTCCTGTAAGCCGAGTCGGCGGTGCCAAATTGCTTTTCTACTCTTTATCGGACTCGAAAGTTCGCGACCTCCTCTGAAAACTGCTAAGCCGAACCTCTCTACCGAGCAAGGCGAGTTTCTATTTGCATTTGAAACGTGCACCCCTGTCTCTTTCCCGATCCTCCTCGGTGAAACAGCGAATTGCTCATTTAATGGTGTGCATGATCCCTGAGAAAATTAAACTTTCCGGCTCGCTTGCCGCGACAAATGTTTAGTCGAAACCTTTTCCCTTTTCTTTTTCGCTCTTTCCAATGTTTCCTATGCAATCGGTTTATTATTGAAATCAAGGATTATCCAAAGGTTTTCGGGGGTTCGCTGATTCTGATTACAAATACGTACCACTGGCCCTCAAAGGGTTAATTGCACGACAAAGGCTTGTCTTCGGTCTTTCAAATTTATTTTTTTGGATACTCAAACCATCTAATTCCCAAATCCCCAATTTCATCCAAGTGGCTGTCTCTCAAAGGGTTAATTGCACGACAAAGGCTTGTCTTCGGTCTTTAAAATTTATTTTTTTGGATACTCAAACCATCTAATTCCCAAATCCCCAATTTCATCCAAATGGCTGTCTCTCAAAGGGTTAATTGCACGACAAAGGCTTGTCTTCGGTCTTTAAAATTTATTTTTTTGGATACTCAAACCATCTAATTCCCGAATCCCTAATTTCATCCAAATGGCTGTCTCTCAAAGGGTTAATTGCACGACAAAGGCTTGTCTTCGGTCTTTAAAATTTTTTTTTTTGGATACTCAAACCATCTAATTCCCGAATCCCTAATTTCATCCAATTGGCTGTCTCTCAAAGGGTTAATTGCACGACAAAGGCTTGTCTTCGGTCTTTAAAATTTATTTTTTTGGATACTCAAACCATCTAATTCCCGAATCCCCAATTTCATCCACGTGGTTGATACAAATTTCACGCGGCACACATTCTTTTCCTCCGGCCTCATCCATCCCGGTGGTTCCCGAAGGATTTCCCTCGTTGCAAGGGAAATCGTCGTGGGTTTAATGCATTAGAACGCATTAACGTCGCGTTGAAATTACGACGGGAATGTACCGTTGGCCTGATTAAAAGCAGACATCGTGACCCACTACTCTTTCCGATATGTTTACCGAGCTACAGCACTTTGTGTGCGCATTAACAATGCGCCTTTGGCTTTCTCCTGTTCCCTCTCGAGTTCCGTTGAATATGCAGGCGGGAATCGATCGGCCGTTATAATGCGTTTCACGTAACCGAGGCTACGTGCGCGAGTACGCGCATCTTTCATCCCGCAGAATTTTCCAATCTCCTCCGAAGAGGAAAATCGAACAGCCAGCTGTGCTTTCACCTTGGTTCTCAAGGCGCACCTGTTTCCCTAATTTACACGATTTTTCCTACCGTTCGAATACGTCCTAGGTATTAAATGAATTCTAATTAACACTAAACCTACCAGAGCGATCAAATGACCGGTTTTGAGACTTTAAAAATAAATGATTTTTGTATTTTATTGCCTCTACTAAATTCTATATTATTTATAATCAATTGGCCATCGGTAGAAAAAGGTATAAATAAAACGTCGGTAGGTTTATTATTAACGGTTTAAAAAGCGCGGACCTTCTCGACGCGTTATTGTCGCAATAATTTCTTGGTCAAAGGGTTAATCGGAGAAGGGGAGATGAAAGGGTAGGACATTTAATTGCGAATCCGCGAGGCACGTCGTATCACCGGGTGCAGTGAACCTTTTCCGAGCGTGACAGATGAATATAAACTTAACGCGGTCCAAAATTATGCGTTCCTCGCTATAATTAACCCGACTACCAACCACGACGATCGTGCATCCCCGGCGAAACACCGCGAAGCTACGTTCCTCGTCGCAGCTGCCTCTGCGATAAGTATTCTCCTATTCTTTTTCTCTGATGAAACTTCGGTCGTCGAAAGACAGCGCTGGATGCATGAATCGAGAATGGAGGCTGCGGCGAATGAAAAAGAGTTTCGAAGGGAAGAAAAGGGTGAAGAGGAGGGTACCACTTAGCAGCTCGACAAACACACCATACGCGCCACGGTATCGTTGAAAAAAAAATAGAAAAAAAAAGGCTGAAAAGAGGGTAAAACGAGCGCAAGAGACGCGTGCGTCTCCTGATTTTGCATTTTTCATTCAACCCCTGTTCCCTTTTGCTCCCGGCGAATCGTAGTGTATGAATCACAGATGCAAATCGTCGGCTAACATGGAACTTCCTAATTCTAAACAACTACGCGCAGTGATTTTTTGTTTCTCGAATCAAAAACGCTGATTCTAAATAAATTTTAAGAACGATGCCTCTTCGTGATTTACTAGGGTTTGCGAATGTTTTATTAATCCCCGCTGCGATATTGATTATTTTGCAGACGAATGTAAGATGAAAATACTGTGCTATATTCGTCGTGTCCTCGTTTTCCCTTCGAACGCAACTTTCGGTTAATTTCGAGGAAACGGCACGGTTTTCTGCGAGCGTGATCAGAGAACAAAGGAAAAGAGATACAGTACATAGAGCGTACGGAGAAACAACGATGTCTGACCATTTATTGACTCGTACTACTTGCAGCTGGTAACGAAAAAGAAACGAGAAAAGCGTAATAATTTTGAGATATTATTGGAAAATTCAATCGTTTAACGATCCTTGATTGTATTTTCGTTGTTTCGAATAAAAACAGAGTGAAAGCAGAAAGGTATTTCTTATTTAACCAATTGATAAATTATATTTGTTCGGAATCCGAACGTTTTAAAACGAAATTGTTAAAACGGTAAATAAACGATTCCCTGGGACACGTTTTCAATCATTCGTATTAACAAAGAAAATTTGCGCGCACGTATCGAATTGATTGCACCAACAGGAAACATTAAACTTTAATTATAAAACGCTTCGTCGAAGCTTTTCATTCCGTCTCTAATCGATCGCTGATAATGGCTCTTCATTATCGAATTACATTCTTTCCTCATTTATCGAGAAATCGAGATACCATTAACGCGTTAATTATTATCGTTAGTTAAAGAATTTCTATAAATTTTTGAAACTCACCTGTGCATCTGCGAGGATGCGTCGCATCAAAGCCAAGGTGGGGTGCGTTGTGAGATCATCCTGAAGGGCAAGCGCTTCACCTTCTTTGTTTAAACGATTTAAGGTTGTTAGAGCTGTAACAGAACAATGGTGGAAGAAACTTGAAAAATCTTATCGCCCGAACTCTGTTTATTCATTTCTACGGTAAGCTCGAAATCCCAGAAACCAGAGAAGAAACAAAGGGTGAAATTTCCAAAATCCACCACCTTTCATTTCTCAAGCGGAAGACACTGTCTCGATTCGAAGCAGCGGGATGGCTGTCTCTTGACTCGCTCATCTGCTACGGGATAATTGAATTCTCAAAGTACGGTGCTCGTGACACGAAGGGATCCAAAGGGTGGCAAACTGTTATCGACAAGTTCGCGGGAGAAGCTCGTTTCAGAATAGATCAGATTCGAGCACGTCAACCCTTAACATCATCCTCCCGACATATCGCGTTTGACTTTCAAGTACGCTTAGAACGTACCGACAAAATCGTCGGATCTTAATTTGTTTCCTTCATTTAACACTTTCGACCCTTCGATCTTGTTCCAAGCTCGAATAATCGTTCAACTTTCCAAGAAAATTTCAATGCTTTCAAAATGATTCAAAGCGTTAAAGAAAATTGGAAAGTTCGTTAGGCAAGGTTTGCTTACTACCACGTCATAATTGTACGAATTTGAAAATTAATTAAGGGAGAATGTAACAGGCTCGTAGCGAGACGCTCAACGAATTTCTTATCTCGTCGCTTAATTACTGGCGCAACGAAGTTCTTGATGAAAGGATGTAACACTCGAGGAAAGTGCGAGCAGGATCAGCTTAATGCAATTACTTTCTGAATTATTTGTTTCGTGGCAGGAGAAATGAAACGAAATTACCGGGAACGTTTAACGAGACAAGATTTTCCTCGCCGGGAAACTGTTTTCCTTTTTTCAACAAATTGCTACGAAAGTAAATTTCTTCGTTAAATAGAAATGAATTTAATTTGCCAAAATTGCCCCGTAAAAAATTATCCAATTATTCTAAGAAGATGAAATATTTTCTACGATATAAATTTCTTTCCCGCTGTTTTATAACCGATAACCGTACGTTTGATGCGAACGTCGCCGGAACATCGAGTACACGAATCGTGTTACGGTCCAGGTATGTGCATTAAGGTACATAAGGGATTCGCGTAGATCTGAACGACCCTTCCAGGTGGTATATAGGTCTACGTGCAAACACGCGAGCACGTTAAGTGCGCTTGCAGCACGAGGTCGCGCTACGAGACCAGCAGGGAACCGCGAAAGGGTTAGCCTGATATATGGGATAGTCTGATATTATGCGGTTCCCCAGCTGGCCTGGTACTCTTTACGATCTTTCGTGGAAAATGAAAAGCCATACGATATTTCGAGACACGATAAACACAGACGAAGAAATTCTTCGCAATATTTTACCGAAATTTTCAGGAAATTTTATTAGGAAACATAAAGTTCAAACAAGACAAACGTGTCTATAAGGGATTTCGGAAATATCTTTTTAACAAGCTAAAGTGAGATTCGCTCTAAAGCCATTTTTTCGGCCATTTGTTGAGATTTTGACTAAACACAATTTGGCCTGTACAAAAGTTTTATCTAGATTTTCGATCTTATTCGATACGGATTGTCTAATTAAAGAAAGATAGATAGAGTTGGAAAATTAGAGGCGAGGGTTTATAACTAGAGTGCTTCACAAAATACCAACGACCAATCACCAAAAAAAAAGCCCCATGTGCACCGTGGTAATCCCCGAAACCATTTGTTTCTCAGAAGACTCACCTTCCTCGAAGGGCTGCGCCCGTTTAGCGAATGCCCTCGAGAAAACGCCCCGTGGCTTCGAGGCCTCCACGCCGTTTTCAACGGCTGCGCTCATTTCTCTGAGTGGTCCTTCACGGAGCTTGTATTGCCAGCTTGGATAAAGGGACCATCTGAAATTTCACGTTACACTCTACATCTTTGTTTAACGAGTTGCCGCGGTAATCCGCGATTTAACGCTATTCTTCCATCTCGATGCCGCGATTTTTCGTTCCGTCTACGGAAAATTGAGATGTTAGAACGAAAAGTAGGTCACTGTGGTTCGATGTAGACTACTTTCAGTAAGGATGTGGGTGAAGGTAGGTCGGTTAGACATTGGATCGGATAGAAACCGATACGGATGTCTTTGGATCCTTAAAAATCGATAGAAACAATATCAGATCTCTGCAATTTGATGCAAAATGCAATACGTTTTCACTCGTTAGTCAAATATTCTCTCACATCGTTCGCAAAAACAATGAAGTATCGCAAGTCATTACCCGAACAATACTCGCATTACACAACAGACATATAATTGGTATTCTTCAATTATGAGTTTCCCTTTAATTAAATGTAGATTATCCGATTACCGGGAAGAATCGCGAGCGGTATATCAAAGATTAAAAGCAACAAAGGGTGAAATCCCGAGCAAAGCTTTACTCCGCTCGCTATAAATAACGACCGGTTAAGTTTTCCCTTCGCCGATGATTATTCAATTTTCATTATCGTTGAAAACATTGAACGCCGAGAGAACACGATTTTCCGAGAGAATCGCGTCCAACTTTCCGTAAACAGTTAATTAACGCAAAGAAAGAGGTTAATTAGTTTCGTCGATCGGAAGAGTAGAAATTCAACCGATTAGAACAATTATTACTATTAATCAGAGAAGAGAAAAAATTTCAACAGAAAAATAATCTATATTAACGTAGGTACGTGAAAAGAATTTTCTTCATTTAATTAATCAAATTTTCGTTTGATTAAAAATACTCCGAATTTTCCACGAACTCTGAAAGCCAGAACGGATGATAAACCTTGTTTATCGCCGTGTCGTAAAGTAATATCATTACCAGGCGAAAGCTGACAAGCAGTATACACAGCAATATCGGGATAACATCCCCTAAAAATTCTACCAGCCTTCCAGACCCCTCGGTATTGTCAAGGGTACTGTGTACACACGCGTTCATTCCCCCTGGTTGGAACTCGATATTCGATCGTCATAATTTATCATTACACAGGGAAAAGGACTCGCTCGATAAATCCTCGCCGAGTTGGACAAAGTTAGCGTTTGATTTATGCGCTTTACCGAGTCCAGTCATAAGGGAGACACCGTGTCCCTGAGCTAATGTACCTGCGAACTGTGCCGATACAAGGGAAAATGTTGAGAAATTATTTTCCTCAGAATAACGAATACGAATTAGCTGAACCGTTTCAAAGGATACGTGGGTGGATTTAATAGTATCTTTAATTATCGAATAAAGATTGAACTCGCAAAGTTTTCAAATAATAAACTCGTAGTTCTGTTACTGAAACAAACGATTCGAGCAACCGCAGGGATGCCTCTCGAAATGAGCCAGTAATTTTGATTATTACCGAGTTTATCCCAGCCAAGGCAATTTCTAACGTGCACAACCCCCCAGAGTTCAATTCTGAAATGGGTATACAGCAGTTCATCGATCCCTTTTGTCACCGAAAGGGAAGCGTTCGACGGTTTCATCTGAGCGATCATGACAAAGCCCAGTGAGTTTCTTTGTTTTAAACCACCGAAGGAGATTCGTTAAAGATTCTTTGCGTTAAAATAGAAAATTTGTTTACTTCTTACCGCGAATCGAATACGTGAGCGGAGAATGAACGAGGTGGAGGCGAGAAAAGAAGAAGAATCTCGTTAGGAAATTCCATTTTTGCGCAAAAGGTGGAAAGCTGAGGTGCGATTCTAGCTGTAATCTCGTGTTTCCACGAACAGAAGAGAGAAGCGAGGAATTCTTCTGTCAGAAGTTTTCGAATGGATGATAATTCTTGAAACAGAGGCAACGCCCCTGATTTACGCGAGATGCAAGCGAAAACTTTGAAACTTTCTCGAGGGAAGCTTTACAGCATCAAAAACATCCTTGTATCGTCGGGAGGATTTATAAAAGTATCGAGAAAAGTAAAGAATCTATAAAAGATAGAAAGTCGAGAGAAATAACGACGGGGAGAGTAATTTTACCGGTCCTGCGATTAGAATGTATGGGTAGAATCTCGGTAGATTTCTATAATGCTTGCCAACTGAGAAATAGGAAGGGAATGGCGATATAATTTGTATTTACGACCCTCTACAGAGCCGTTCTACCGTACTGCTCAATGGAGCACACATCCTTTTCAAAGAAGCATCGATCTGCCGACAAAGCGAAGAATGGAGCCAGGATATTACCGGTGACATAGAAGCTTTCTTGCCAGAAAATTCATCGTTAACCTACAACGATACCTTACTTTTTATTCCTCGAATCTCGTTATAAATGGAGCACGATTTAAGGTTTCGCGAACGAAGGTGAGCCTCGAGGACGAACGAATTAAAAGTAACCCGATTAAGGATCTCTGAATAGCGACACACGGTCACTGATTATGCATCGCTATAAATGGGAGACGTTGTCATTGAAAGTTTTTCATAATAGAGAAAAAGCAACGAATCTTTCAATGGCTTTTCTTCCTCTTTCTGCTTCCGTTTCCGGCTCGGTTATCCCAAAGAGGGAGAAACAACGAGGGGAAAAGGAACAGCTGAGTAACGTTATAATTACCCAGGTGGAAAAAGTAGGAAAAAGAATGAAAGCTGCGTAATTTTTCATGTGATTTAAAAACGAAGACGATAAAGACGTCTCGGTGCAATGTTCCGGAGCTGGTAAACGGAATTCACTATCATAGTACTGTTCTCGATCAACCTGCTTGATTTATGTCGCACGAGAACAATGAGCGTTGGAACAATCTGTCTCGCTCGAAAGAGCATTCAGGATGAGCCTTAACGGTGAAAGCCGGACCGGAAGGATCGACGATCCGTGACCACCGACACCGGCGACAATGCGAACGGTATATCTGATTCTTTTTCCTCGTTGAAAATAAATCGCGAACCTGATGGATCTCGAGAAGCAATGGAACTAAACTTAACTCGGCGGTATCAATTAAATCGAAACTGTGATTCGCGAAATTGGAACGGCCGTAATACACGAATGGTTCTCACCTGATCTACATTACAAATGTTATCGAAATAATAAAAGGTTTACCGAACCAATTACCGTGGAAACGTTACAATGGAA